CCCAGTTCTCCTCTAAATATCACAAGATATGCATGAAAACAGTACCTGACTAGAAATCCGAGCCATTGGCTGATACTTCATAATATAATTTTCAAATCTCAGTCCTCAGGAGCAAAGTTCAGAGAGAACGCCGACTCCCAGCTCAGCTCGGATGAAGCGGTGAGTCCCGCTTCAGTGGGCCGCTTCGGCAGCTTAACTCCAGCTTAACGCCAGATATTCAAATTGGAAGACGGACGAGAAGCGGAATTGTTAGCAAAATAAATCTGATGCGTATTACTGCGCTTTTTAAAACATGTAACGGGAGCTTTGGCTTAAAAGACCAAATAAAAATACCCAAAGTTTCATTCCCGCATGCAACGTCGGTGCCGTTGGAGCAGCGGGCTGGCGTTGGGTCAGTCGCAGGAAGTTGTGTCGGCCAGGTGAATGTGTAGCCAGTAACCTGATCTGCTGTTGACAGAACAGGGACAGGTGCTCCAGCCAAACTAATCCATACATGCATGCTAGACACAGGTCATCCATTAAGGCAGATTGATTCTACGCTTTAAAAGGCTTCTCCTCTCAACCATACCAGGCCAGGCCTTACCTTTGTTGTTGCCATGATAATTGCAGTAATTCAAGATGGGCTGCATCGGAAAGGGAAAGGAATTTCTCCAGTTAATACTGGCAACATTTTGCCACACAAGGGACGAGGGAACATCTCTGGAAATGCTGCTTGAACTTTAAGAAGGGGGAAATTAGATGGCTGGGCGGTTCGTCATCTGAAGTATTGGATACACAAAAGACACTTCAGATTTATTTAACTCAAGATTCTTCCAGAAAGAATTCGGGCTCAGGGAAGGTTTTATGGCAGTGGGTTCGCGGATGGACTTATTGCCACAGCAATAATTGCCTGACCATCTCACATAATAGTCCAACATATAAACCCCAATTCACTTTGATTATTTCGTTATTATCAAACCCACTCCCATAAGACCCCAAATGCCAGATAAAGGTTTACAGGCAGAGGCCAGACATCTGCTGCCCTCCCATTGGTTGAAAAGGCAGCAGCCAGCCTCACCTGTTATCCACAGCCCAGTGCATGGTAAACACCCTCGGTCGGAGCTGTGGGGAGAAGGAGCCCATCTGGTCGGCCGCATTAACAACTAGCTCTTTAACAATGGCTTCCAGGAAAAGGGAGAAGGGAACAACAGGCCATATCAGCCAATAAAAAGAGGCTATGCATGACATTTAGCGCCTGATGCCGGGCTTAGCGGCACACAGGTTACCTACTGTCCGCACCAGCGCCTGGCAATAAAACAAAAGGCAATCTCACAGAGCGTTGGGGGGCGGTGCGTGTAAAGGCGGATCTTTCGGCTGTTGATCTCATAATTTGTGTGTAAAGACGCAGAGAGAGAATAAAGTTAAGAAGCGTGAAGGAAATCATTTTCAGGTTGCTTTCGTATAGAAATCCCACAAGTGAACTGGCCTTTAGTTACACAAATACCTTTTCTCAACTCTTTCTAGACATCCAACAAAGAAAGGTGTCGTTGCATCTGGAGGATGGAGGCTGGGCGCAGCTAGTTTCCCTTTGTGAAGACGTGTGTGGGTTTTATTTTTCATTTTTTGGAGGGATGTAAATGAAAAGCACATGGAGCAGATAACATGAGGGAGCAGTGGAACAAAGTGGTCCAAGCAGAGGAGGCAGCCACTGGAGCGCTCTGATGGGGTTACTTGACCAAACAGTGCCATCTTGTGTTTGACTGTACAAGAAACCCGGATGGGGCAAGCGATGGAAAAGCAGTTTTGATTTTAATTAGAATAAACTTATTTATTGGTATCATTTTCTTGCAGATTACAAAATATTGTATTAATATAGTAACTCATTTCCTTCTTTTTCCCACTTTTCGCCCCTCTAACGGGACTCTGTTGGGGGTTTTAGGGCTTTAGGCCAGCACACATTTTATAACCCTCACCCACAAAAGGGTCTCTGACCAACTCTGGCTGATTAGATGTTTGATGGGCCTCTATTTTTACAACTGCCTCCACCTAGCAATCGACGGATGCAGGCAAAGTCTCCAAATGAAATCTGGTGAATACGAAGAGGGATGTGAAGACGGAAAGGTTCGGGGTGGAGTTTGAACAGCAAGCAATGTGCTCTCTACAGCTGCTGCCACTAATGAGGATAATTACCCCAGTAATAACATTAGCCTATCTGAGGGAATGGAGGGGAAGGACAAGTGGTTGTGCTTGTTTGCGTGTGCGTGTTTGGGTGGGTGGGTATGCCAGCGTGTGTGTGTGTGTGTGTGTGCGCGTGTGTGTGTGTGTGCGCGCCCTTTCCCTCTATCTCACTTGCAGTCTCTCCCTCGTTCCCTGAATCTCAATATCTCTTTGTTAGCCCACAATAATGGTGTTGGGCCCTCATATCCGCATTATCAGATTGGAGTTGGTCAAGGTAATTTGGCGGGGGAAGGGAGGCCTCCACCCCGGGAGGACAAAGGCCCCCAGGACATCTTTCGGGCTCCATTCGAGAGGGAGAGGTTTTTTAATTTTTTTTTTTCCTTCAAACCTCCCCCCCCCCCCCCCCCCCCGCTTCTCTCCATCCTTCTTGTCATTCACCTGTAATAAGAAGAGCACTGAATAGAGGCAAAAATGTAGCGGCAAGCAGAACCCGATGACATTGAAAAGGAGGAGGGTTGGGATTAAGAAGATAAAGCGGAGAAAGGGGCGGAAAGTGATTTGAGATGGAGGGCCGTGTTTTCGCCGCGGGCCTGTAATCTCCAATCAGCTTTGACTAACAGACATCGGGGGGAAAGTTCCTCGGCGTTAATGCGGCTTGCCATTCAGAAGGAGACGCTGGATCCAGCTGGGAGTCGGGGGATGAGGGGAGGATTAACTGGCACTCAGGTGGAGAGAGATGAAGAGAATCAGATGGAGACCCCGCGGATGGTTGCGCCGTCTCCCACTCCATCAGTCCCTTTCTCTTCTCTTATTGAAAGAACATGCTGTAAGAAAGAGGCTCAGAGGCTGACTTGTGTTTGTTTGCAATTTGTATCAAGATGAGTCAACCTCCCAAGTGTGCCCGTGTTCAATGGGTTGTTATTGCCATTCCGTTTTATTACAATTTGCAGCAATGAACACGAATGATTGGTTTTGCTACGGTACAGTAGGAAGGTGAACAAAAGCAGGGAGATGTTCAATTGTAATTTAGAGATAACGCCTCCCTCTTACTATTGAGACGTGAGATGGGGGCGGACAAACATCAAGCCCTTCAATGTGTAATATGTTTGCTGATTTGTAGGCAGCCTTTAAAGGCAGATCCTGTGGTGTAAACACGAGGAACAGATTTGAACAAATCACAGGTAATCTTTTTGAGAACATTTTGAGAAAGAGTACACAGAATCTTTTAAAATAAGTCAATTAGTTGAGAAACGAGTTTGCAAATGTAAAGTATGATCACACATTCAGCCGGTCCCAAGACCGCCGTGCTGATGCAGACATTTCCCCCAAGGCATTGTGGGAGATGCAAGAGAAGACCCCCCGCTGCCAGAGACACAGTTGCCTTGTATCTGAAGCCCGGGAGAGACACTGTAGCGCTGGGGAACGCCTCGAGTCTGAATTAACGACGGGATTTAATCACAGCAGATGATGTAAATATATTTTCCTGATCCATGACACATGCAGAATGAGGACGCCCTTCCATTGTGATACCAATCTGCTCTTTGCTGCGATTACAGTGTGATTGTCATCTCAGCAGAGGGAAATAGAGATAAAAACATCCATCAGCTGGACTCAGGTTTAAAGGGTGCACTCTAGCGGTTGAGTGTGACTTGACTGTCACAAAAGAAGGAAAAACAACGACAATTGTTGAAAATCACAGCAGCAGAGTCAGACTAAAGGCCTGTTTGTGTTCATGTTCATCGGGTTACATCTTTTTTGTTATTGTTGCTAGGCAACCACTAAACAAGTGGTGCCTTAACAAAAACGATGAACTGTACGCTACCACATAGTTAATTGTACAGTTGGGTTCATTAAAATGTTTCCACATTTTCTTCACCCCCTTGAAATATCTTCATCGGCTCCAAGTCCTTTCTGACAAAAAAAAATAGCATTTGCAGTGAGTATCCATGTCATCTCATCTTTATTCCTGCCGATTCTGCTGCCTTTCTTCATGTGCCGTTGTCTCTGGGCATGACTGGCAAACAGGCTTCAGAAATGGAGCTCAAATAAATATCCTGTTCCATCAGAACTGTCCCAATGTGTTTGTACTGTGGAAGTGGAGGCCTCTCTGTATATTAATGGAAAATATGGAGTATGGAAAACAAGGCCAATCTTTTAAGGCAGGCCACATTTCTCTTTTCAGGTGATTATGATAGTAATGTGATGTATTTCTTTATTGGCATGTTGTGATAATTTACCTCGATCTAATTCAATTCAAATGTACTTTGACTCAATGTTTGTTATGAAACAATAATTTTTTACATACTTTAAAATAGCATTACACACTTGCTCACGTGCAAAATACGTGTATGAATCTAACCGAATGATCACAGTTTAAATAAGTTACACCAACTTTACTGTGGGCAACTCTGTTTAGCAACGTGGCACTTTGTCCCCCGCACACAGCTCTTGCGGCTGAGCACAATTACTTCCCTGTGTAAATCCTGACCGTTCGGAGGCGTGGCTTTAATAGTAGTGTGTCTGACGTCATATCACGTGAGAAGCTGACGTACCGCAGCGGAAAGTTTAAACATGAAAATCACGGTAAAGGGATCGAGCAATTCCGGTATTTTCTTCAAAGTAAATGTCATTTCATTCCAAAGGTGTCACATGTTTAGCGACGACCGTGGTTATGCGATATGTTGTTACCTCACGGAGAATCACGCGGGAATTCAAAGCTCGAATTATCCTCAACCTTCCGTGCCGGGCCGCAAATGTGCGCGTGCGGTTGCTTTATTTTGAAGGGGCTTGTACAGGAAGTTGCGCGTAATCCTCAACTTCACTCTTTTCTACGTTTTACAGGAAGTAAAGAAACGTCTGAAGTAGAGAGGGGAAGCCTCCTCTCTATGAATTGACAGGTAAACCTTGGTTCTGCTCCTCCGGAACTCCTCACCCACGTCAGGCGCCTCTGAAGAAGAGAAAGAGGTCCAGTCAGTCCAGTAAGTCCCCGGCTCTGTCATCGCTCCTAACGGGCTCATCTGACACCTTGTGTGGCCACTTTTCTGCCTCTGCTCACTGGGTGACACTTTACTTTAATTTTAGTTTGTCAGCCTTATTGGCAAAGTTGCATTTGGTAACTGTAAGATCGCGCGATGACATGTGTGTTGACATTGATGATACACAAATGTTATATTTTGATATTGACAGGCTAAACATGCACACTGATCGCAATCAATCTGAATAGAATTGTGTACTGAGGGAAATAATGTTAAGAATGTAGCTATAATGGCACGTAGTGAGCTTCCATAAGTCTGTGTTGGAGCAAATTCCATTTCCATGCAGCAGTAAACACTGCAAACTGTTCATGGCAACAAACTCAAATAGAATAAGTCACTAAATTACAAATGTAGACTCGCTTTAAAGGTGTAGCTTCCTAAAAGCTAAGAATGGATTCCATCAATGAAGAGTTGCACATACCGACGTGTACCATCACTGTGTTATGTGGTGAGACGGGCTCAGGGTTGGTCTGGCTGACGTGGCGCGATGTGGGTTGGTCACACGTCTGTCAAATGGGTCTAACAGACCTTTCAGGTGTTGTCAAAGGGGCTCCGACTGAAGAATATCCGGTTTGGTGTGTGCACAAGTCACTCCTTCTGCAACGAGGCACCACAGCACGCCAACTGGAATAATGGCGGTTGATTGATTGTGATTAAACTAGGTTTGTGTGTCGCCAGGTGAGAGAATGGCCGAGACGGTGCTGGTCACGGGTGGAGGAGGCTACGTTGGGAGTCACTGCGTGTTGGAGCTCATTGAAGCAGGTTACCAGCCGGTCGTGGTAGATAACTTCAGCAACGCCGTAAGAGGTGAGATCCCTTCCTGGAAACACAGGCTGATGAATAACTTTGTACGTCACTGTGAACTATAAAGTTCAAAGGGAGTTTGTTTAGTGCGATGAGAGTCGTAACGTTGCTTTGTGTGTGTGTCTGCGTGTGCATGTGCGTGTGTGTGTGTGTGTGTGCGTGTTGCTACGTCCTGTTGCGGATGGAGGAGAGGGGGATGTGCCAGAGAGCATACGGAGGATAGAGAAGCTCCTGGACACCAGCATCGAGTTTCATGAATTAGATCTTTTGGACAAAGCTGGCTTGGAAAAACTCTTCAAAAAGGTCAGAAAGAACAGTACATTCTTTTAATTGTTTGGTCACTCGACAACAGAATCAACTGCAGCTATTTTGATCAGTGAATCCACACGGCTGAATGTGCATCTGTTCTGCAGCATTCTTTCAGTGCGGTGATGCACTTTGCAGGACTGAAGGCTGTTGGGGAGTCAGTGGAGCAGCCATTGCGCTACTACAGAGTCAACCTCACCGCCTCCATAAACCTGCTGGAGGTCAGTCTGAAACTCCTGTCATGTCGGTCAAACTCTGCGTTTTTAATCCTACTCCTCATGTGCGTGTGTGCTTTAGACCGCTGACCGGATGCATGCGTGTGTGTGTGTGTGTGTGTGTGCCGTGTTTGTTTGCATGCGTCCCAGGTGATGCAGGCTCACCGGGTGCACAATCTGGTCTTCAGCAGCTCGGCCACGGTGTACGGAGACCCTCAGCGCCTTCCCATCGACGAGCAGCACCCCGTGGGCGGCTGCACCAACCCCTACGGCCAGACCAAGTACTTCATCGAGGAGATGGTCAAAGACCACTGTAAAGCCGAGAAGGTACGGACCAGGAGGCAGAAAGGCACTCGCGCACACACACACTGTGTCCTCATTATTGCCTCTGTGTCCGCAGGAGTGGAACGCAGTGCTTCTGCGTTATTTCAACCCCATTGGAGCTCATTCCTGTGGCCAGATAGGAGAGGACCCTCAGGGTATCCCCAACAACCTGCTGCCATATGTTGCCCAGGTACATGAACTTTCTGCCAAATGCACCTCCGGATCGAGCAGAGGATGATCTCTCATTCATTCATTCATTCATTCATTCATCTCCTCCACAGGTTGCCATTGGCAGGAGGAAGTTCCTCAATGTATTTGGGAATGATTATGACACACTTGATGGGACAGGTATTAGAAAGGACCTTTTAACTGCGCTTAATTATTTTTTAAATATTATTTTTTGGAAGGAGCTCAAGGTTTTCTTTCTCTTGGCAGGTGTACGAGATTATATCCACGTCGTAGATCTGGCAAAGGGACACATAGCGGCTCTGAAGAAGCTCAAAGACAACTGTGGCTGCAAGGTATATTTGACAAAAACAAAATGGATTTTTCAGTAATTTTCTGGTGAATTTCATTGCTCGTGTGAATGCATGACAATGCAGAAGTACTCACGGTGGTGATGGCGGCTGTGCACTGTCGTCCTTAGGTGTACAACCTGGGAACGGGTACAGGGTACTCTGTGCTCCAGATGGTGAAAGCCATGGAAAAGGCATCAGGGAGAGAGGTGAGTGACGGAAGAGCTCTTTTCTCTCCAAAGTGAATAGCGTTCAGGGTCAGCGGTTGTATTGTGGTCTTCTGGGGGACTTCGAGTCATCACCACACCAGCACGTTGTGTTATCCTGTGAGTTAAAGGATGCCACAGCTTGCGTCGACTGCGAAAGCTGACGAAAGTCGACGGCAACTTTGAACGAATGTGTCCTCTCTGCAGATCGCGTACAAAATCGCCCCTCGCCGCGGAGGAGACATAGCGTCCTGCTACGCTGACCCTTGTCTAGCTGAGAAGGAGCTGGGCTGGAAGGCCCAATTTGACCTGGAAAGAATGTGTAAGAACAGCCTCGTTGTATTTTCTACAATCCTTTTGTGAAATGTAACCCGCCTCATATCCTGATGTAATATTTCGTACCCATGTAGGTGAGGACCTGTGGCGCTGGCAGTCCACGAATCCCACTGGATTTTCCAGTGGCACAGAATCCTGATGCAACTCCACGTTATTGTTAAGTCTTCCGAATCACCGGGACGAAGCCAATCATCAACATCCTCATTTTTGTCCATATAATATAAACACCATAATTGGGCTTCATGCTTTATATTTTGTGATGTCTCTTGTATGATTATAATCTTATTTACTGTTTAAACTTGAAGAAAATGATCTGATTGATATATTGGTATTGATAACAATGGACATGTTCTCTATGGGTCATATATAGGAGAATAAATACATTTTCTTACTGAAGCAACCAAAGCCTTCCATTTCTCTCCATCATGAAACCTGCCTGTGTAAAATCAGGGTAATTGAGCTAAATTGACTGTTAAAGTGCTGACTACATTATGGGATTAAATCAATATGTTTCAGTGACACAAACCTACAACACATAAATGACAATATTCCAGTAAAATACAGACACACACACCTGAAAAGTCACTGAGCACAAGAGGAACATTATTGTCGTCATAGCAGGACACATAAAACAAATCTACTACTGTGCTGTGTGGGCATCTGAGGGTTTCAGCATCACAGACAACAAATAAACCCTGTTGCAGGAATATTGCATTTTTTTTTTTTTATAGAAACGGGGTGTTTGGTGACCAATATTAAACATGTTCCCAGTACACTTCTTTTAAACGGGCTGCTAGGGCTTTAAATGGCTCCTTGAACCCTCGGGCACCCAGTTAATAAACACCCACGTCAGCACGGCGCTCCAGTCGCTCTAACCGGGTTTCGGTCTTTTAGGGCTGAGCAGGAAGTGCCTGACTGTGGACCCTGGACGAGGGGGGGGAAGAGCACAGACAAAAAAAAACCCAAAACGCCAAAAGAGATTTAAAAAAATAAAATGGAAATGGTGGCAGACTTGGGGGCGAGTAGACTCTACCGGGCGCCGGGTGAACCGAGTCACCAGTGAGTATCGACGGATTTTTTTTTTTTTTTTTAATTTTGTGTGTCCGCGGGTATCACGGCGTGGGGCGTAAGCGGGTCCTGACCGACGCCTCACGCCTGCGAAGGACTCCCCGGGTCCGGGCAGAAAGACGAAGCCTCCTCGCCGAGCTCCGGACCTCCGGCGAGGGGAGAGGGGGAGAGAAAAAAGGGGGCGCTTCTAGAAAAAAAAAAAAAAACGGGCGTCTTTTCTCCTTATCACGTCGCCCGTAACGCGTTCACGTGTGTCCCGCATGTTCAGCTGCCGGAGGGTTTTGCGCGTGTGTGTTTTTTTGTTTCTTTTCGTGCCATTGTGCTGCTGCCCGCAGCCTGGAGTGGGCGTCGCTCCGGGACGGACGGGGCTGCTCCCGGTGCGCTGCCCGCTTTGCTCCCTTTTTTTCGCAGGACTGCAGCACTCTTGGTGTCGGTCGACCGACGCCGTGACATTATGGGTTAAACATAAAAAAAAAAGAAAGAAAGAAGGAAGAAAGGTCGGTAACGAGGGTTACCGGAGGTCGGTGGCGTCTCGCGGGCGTTGCGCCGTGGGTTACCGGGCGCCGAGACCCAACGGAGGAAACGCGCGAGACGTGGTGGTGGCTAAATAGGTTACTGTGGAAAGATGAGCAACTATGCTCTGCGTGTGTGTGTGTGTGTGTGTGTGTGTGTTTGCGGCACGTGTTTAGTCTCTTCGGGTAACGTTTGTTTCCGCTTGCAGTGAGTCCGTTGCGTTTGTTACGCGGGGGGGGGGGGGGGTACGCGCCGTCGCCTCCCTCGGGAAAGATTTAAGGGGGGGTTTTGCCACCCGATGCTCCAGCGACCGGAGACGGGTGTAGCTCATTAGAAGAAGAGCCTGATGGATTGCTCGTCCGGCCAATCACAGGGCAGAATGAAGCCGAGTGGGCGGATGGTTTGCTGGAAATCGTCCAGTGCAGAAACAAAGACGGGGGGAGAGTTGACAGCTATCAGTGGGGTGTTATTGTGTGACCTGCTGTTAATATTTGGGGTGTTTAGCACCAACCATTTACATATTTTACCATTTAAATGATGATACCGTCCCACGAATCACACTCCACGAGAGTTGAAATGATGTAATGTGTGTGCATATAGGCTTGTTCACGTAAGGATCATGAAGATGCAAGTCTCTCAATTCCATCCAGCGCCCACGAGGCCTCTTTGTTCCCGTTGTTTTCTTCGGTCTACACTGCATGCGCGAGCCGGTGTGCTTTGTCCCCTTGTCTCCCGCAGGCAGCCCCATAGGTGGATCAACGCTGCGGACATCACGGTGGCTCACCAGAGCAGCCTGCTGAAGCAGCTGGACCAGCAGCGCCGCCAGGAGCTCTTCTGTGACTGCAGTGTGCTGGTGGAGGGCCAGCTCTTCAGGGCCCACCGCAACGTCCTGTTCGCCAGCAGCGGCTACTTCCGCATGCTGCTGTCCCAGGGGCCCGACGGGCTGTCCGACTCGGTCAACGCCACCTTCGACGTCTTCAGCCCCGAGACCTTCACCGTCATCCTGGATTTCATCTACTCCGGCCAACTCGACCTCTCGAGTCACAACGTGATCGAGGTGATGTCCGCGGCCAGCTACTTGCAGATGAACAATGTCATCAACTACTGCAAGAACTTCATCAAATCCTCCCTGGAAATCAGTGTGAAAGACGAAGACAGTGACCGCTGCATCAGTTTGTCAGAGACCTGCAGTTTTATCAGTGGAGGAGGAGACGACAGCTCGGAGCAGCAGCAGCAGCAGCGGCAGCGAGGCCCCAGCTCAGTGAGCCCCCCACCGGCGCTGTGGACCAGGGACAACTCACGAGTGCAGTGTGGCTTTATAGGGAAGGACCTAGACCAGGGTTCATTGGCCTCAGCCTTGAAGACTAACCCCAGCAGCCCCGCTGATGTCCTCAGCGCAGAGGCCGAGGACCCGCAGGACCCCGAGGACCCTCCGTACACGCTGCCCGGATCGGAGTGCCGGCGAGGCAGAGGGGGAACCAAAAGGAAAGCACCCAACGGCACCACTCGCGCCAACCAACCCGAAGACTTGGACATCGAGGAGGCCAGGACTAAAAAGGCCGAACGGGCGGAGGAGCTGTATGCTACGCTTCCACCTATTGTGAGTGTCATCGGACACTTTAATCAAGGTGAGCTTTGTGAGGAATAAGCACGGGCAACTTTTTTTTATCACGTACTGCATTAACATTTTATAGCTTTCTGATGACAGACGAGGAAATGCCGAGAGAATCATGAGATGGTTTGTGAGTGACTGTGCCCCTCCTAACGCCCCCCCCCCATCTATCTAAGACCTTTTAACAACTAACCATACTATGACTTTAATGACAACTATAATAAATGACTTTTAAACATTTCATACTATGACTTTCCATCACATGCTTTACTGTGTTTTCTCACTGGATGCTACTATGCTGTTATCTGTCTATTTGTGACTTTTACGACATGACATGATCAAACTAAGTTTTAATGGCTTTCTGTGACATACCAAATAATGACTGTTTTATAACATTCTAGTAACTTTTTACTAACATTATTCACCGTGACACATTGTGACATTTTACATGACACTTTATTATGTGTTTTTTATGACATAATAATACAGTTTTTCATTTTGACTTTTCCTTTGATACTTTACTATAACTTTTTTTTTTAATCCTTTGGGTGTTTATTTAGACTTTTTTGAACAAACCATATGATTACTTTTTTTTAATAGCATACTTTAACTTTATCATAGTATCATACATATCAACAACTTGTTGACTTTGACGAAAAAACATTCAAAATCATGTTTGGCGATCCAACCAGTCATGTGTTATGCCATGCTGTTTTCATGTCTTTCTCTTTTTTACATTGAATATTATGACTTTTCTCATGGCTTGTTTGATGTAGAATACTTATCCATTTTTTATTAATTACATTATACATTTTTCAACAACTTACAACAACAACCTTCAAGCCAACATTTTTAAAGATCTTTTTCAAAATTCACTTTCAACATTCAACTAAATGCAGTTTTATTGGGACTTTTTCGCCATTTGTGTGGCTTCCTGATAACTTTTTGACATTTTATTACTCATAATATATAGTGACTAAAGAAATGTTTTTGGAAAACATAGTATTCTAAAGACATGATTAAAGGAATAATACCATGAGAGTAGCTCTGAACGTACAATAATCCTGTTCTTTACGTATCCGAGGAGTAAGTAATTTTTTCTTCCTCTTTTGCAGACTCCAACCCTATTATGCGTTTCAAATGTCCCTTTTGCACACATACGGTAAAAAGGAAAGCCGATCTGAAGCGTCACTTGCGCTGCCACACGGGAGAGAGGCCGTACCCCTGTCAGGCCTGCAATAAACGCTTTACACGCCTGGAGCACCTCCGGAGCCATTTTGAGACGGTATGTTTATTTACAACCGGGAGGTAAATGTCCTTCCTTGTTGAAACATAGCAATTGGGATTAAAGTCATTCTCGGCACTCTGCCGTATAAAAAAATGAGGTATAAAAAAAAATTAACCAAAAAGAAGACAACGATTTGTGTTTCTTCTTTTGCCACAGATCCATCAAGCCAGGAAGCTGGTGTGCAGGAAGTGTAAATGTCAGGTTTCGGAGGAAACTGGGCACGTGGTGTGCGAGGGGACACGACGCTACCGCATGTGCACCGCATGCATCCAGGAGGTGGACTGTGACGACATCCCCATGGACAGTCTAGACAGTGCCAACGAGGAGCCGGCCCTCTTATTGGGGGTTGACGGCGAAGAGGAGGGGGACAGCGCGAGGAGCTGGATGGTAACCGATGACGACGACCTAGCGGAAGACTCGGGGGCCGACCTCATCATCCAGCAAGTGGACGACAGTGATGAGGAGCTGCAGTGAAAAGGAACCAAAGTGTGTGTGTGCAAAGGCACGCGTGAATAATAAACTTTGTGTGTGTGTGTGTTTGTGCACGCGCTTAAGCCACGCAAGAAAATTTATGCAGAAAATATGTGATCCACTATTGTAAATACATGCACTTGATATATGTTAATTGTCTATTATTTAAATGCAACTGGTTAATCTTTACTGGATGTTGACCTTTGTTACAAAGAGGAATTCCTTTTGTTCAGCTTCATAAAGATATGCAGTATCCAAAACTGTTTCCTTTGATTGTATTACAGTTAAATTATACTCTTTCAAAGAAGTGTTTTACAGTATCTATGGGCGAAGACCTCTGATTTGGGACGCTGTACTTTGATAAAAGCTGGTCTTTCAGTAAAAAACAAACTGACAATTACGGAATAACAACTCGTGCCAATTCCCCGTTTCCTGTAAGGAAGATCAAGAGTGGACTTTCCCCAATTTTACGCAATTGCATTTGTTATGATTACGTTTTATTATGACATGCACTATGATGAACAAATTATAATGTATTTGTTTGTTTTGTCTTTTTGACACATTAAAGATATTTTATACATTATGTGTATAAAGTTTGGGAAATAGTGAAGATCAAATTCATGTTTTAAAAAAATGTTTAAAAAGTGGAATACAATGATGCGACGGTCCTCTTTTGACTGATAGCTCGAGCATCCAATGAGATAATAGGGTGTTTGCATATTAAAACGTCGATTTGCGGCTGGGTCTTCTCGCCCTTAAATGAAGAAATTTTATAGCTTATTTTCGTTGTCATTCCACTTCCCGCCCGTAGATGGCGTCGCGAGGCTTCATCGTCGGCGAGCTCGCGGAGGAGGAGTGACGTCAGACTGAAGCGCTAGTCAACGATGGCGGCCGTGGTGAGACTCGTCAACAGAAGCGCGCTGGGTTCAGCAATGGGTCAGCGGTATGTGGCGTTCAGCTCGGCGGCGAAGGTCAACGCGGTGAGTTCCCTTTCCCGTTTTACCTTCCAGCATCATCCCTTTGGACTGGACGCCATTGCTTATCGGCTACGTTAGCCGTTAGCCTCCCCCTAAGGTTAAGCTAGCAGTTTACCTATTTGGGAACACAGGCGGGTTCGGTTGACCGCTTGTCACCTTTTTAACATGTCAGCGGTCGTTTCACGGATGCTTCATTACACAACGATATTATAATGTGAATGCGTCTTTGCGCAACTCTATTAAAATGCCTTTGTGTGTTGTTTGCCTAGGCCGGCCTGAGGGCAGGTCGAACACTTCCGGATAAGGTGAAGATAGTGGAGGTGGGACCCAGAGATGGCCTTCAGAATGAAAAGGTAAGTGTGGAGCAGGTGCACGGCTCATCCTGCGCTTAAGTCAGTATTTGTTTCAAGTGTTCTCCTTGTTGCTTTTCTTTCTCCACTCGCAGACTATCGTGCCAACAGAGACTAAAATTCATTTGATTGACATGCTGTCAGCGTCGGGGCTGTCGGTCATCGAGGCCACCAGCTTTGTGTCACCAAAGTGGGTCCCGCAGGTGAGTTTGTCCTCAGAGAGCCATTCGTACCGCACGCAGGAGGCTGTACAAACTGCATGCAATGGGCCCCGTGTGTTTTCTCCCGCGCTGATTAGTTTGCTGTGCTCTTCGCTCCAGATGGCCGACCAGGTGGAGGTGATGAAGGGGATCGATAGGAAACCTGGAGTGTCTTACCCGGTCCTCACACCCAACCTCAAGGGTTTTCAGGCTGCTGTGAGTTTCATCACATCCCAGAACACTTTTCCCAACGACTCTGCTGACGTGTTGTATATCCAGCTTCTTGCTCTGTAGATGATGTGTCTAAATGCCCCTTTTTACTGCTCTTACTTAACGACAGGTGAAGGCAGGAGCTTCGGAGGTCGCCATATTTGGTGCTGCATCGGAGCTGTTCAGTAAGAAGAACATAAACTGCTCAGTGGAGGAGAGTTTACAGCGCTTTGACGAGGTTGTGAGAATGGCGAAAGAGGCCGGTGTGCGAGTTAGAGGGTAGGCTTCCTCTCTCCCCCTTTGGACTGTCAACACATTTCTAAATCAGCGGAGATACAGAGTGCAATCACTGCATCGCTGTTCATCTCTGTTTTTATTTCACCACAGTTATGTGTCGTGTGTTCTCGGATGTCCGTATGAAGGCAATGTGGCACCCGAAAAAGTTGCACATGTAAGTTCTCACTTGTCGTTAACGTCACATTAACTTTCAGACATTTATTCAATCATCCTTTGACAAATGGCAGGAACACAATAAAAGCTGTTTTCATGCAGCCAGGCCCATCTTTGAGTCTTTGTCTCGCAGGTAGCTAAGCGTCTGTACTCCATGGGCTGCTATGAGATCTCTCTGGGTGACACTACCGGAGTGGGGACTCCAGGAAGCATGAGTGACATGTTGGAGGCAGTGAGCAGGGAGGTGCCTGTTAACGCCTTGGCTGTGCACTGCCATGATACCTACGGCCAGGCCCTGGCTAACATCCTCGTAGCCTTACAGGTGAGACATGGTCCTGTAATGCCATTTGAAGAAAAAAAAAAAAAGCATATCGTTGAATGATGCAAAAGCGAGTGTGGGTGATGTTCTAATTGCATTGTTCCAAGTAAAATGTGTGTGTGTTTTGCAGATGGGAATCAGTGTGATCGACTCTTCAGTAGCCGGGCTGGGCGGCTGTCCCTACGCCAGTGGGGCATCTGGAAATGTTGCAACCGAAGATGTAGTCTATATGCTGCATGGGCTTGGGATTCAAACGGTAAGAAGACTCACTGTGTTCCTCTTTATCCTTCCTTATATTTTAGATTTTAAAGCATCAATCAAAGATGCTGCTTTAGTTCAATATATTATTTTCCCAATGCCAAATGGTCCAGTTCACCCCGACATGATTTGCTCTGCAAGTGTAATTATTGTGTACGATGTGAGCTTACTCAAGTTTGAACCTTTTGCCCTTTCTGTCCTCACCTCAGGGAGTGGACCTCTCAAAGCTGATGGACGCTGGCGCTTTCATCTGTCGAACCCTCAACAGGAGGACCAGCTCCAAAGTGGCACAGGCTACATGCAAGCTGTAGACACAGGCTCCTTTGCACAGACTGTACGCTCCAATACAATCATGTAAGCTGGAGCCTTCATCCTCTGTAGGTTCAGTTCAACCTTATTCTGATTTCAGTTTGATTCACTGCCTCCCATTAAGGGAAATACAACTTGGATGTTACTGAACCCTCCCTTTTTTTAAATAAAACATCTGATTAAATAAGTGCCTTATCTAAAGTCGGTCTAATCACACAGATGGGACTTATTGAAAGCCTTCACCTTCAATAGTGGGCATACATTCCTTTCTGGGCAGTTAAGCCAAAATGAGGCACAGACTTTAGACTATTAATTTATGACGCTGTAATAATACTGTCTTAGCGACGGATAAACTCTGACTCCACTGTAAGAAAAAAAAAAGTGCTGCTTTGACCTCTTCTGAATGCTGTGGTCACTGTCTCCAAATGAATTCTCTATTTAGGGACCGACTATGGAGATTGGTCTGTTAATTTTGGGCATTGGGCATTTATTTTAAAATGCCTATTTTCAGTTGTAATATGTACATATCCAGCTAGAATGTAAATTAAAAAATAAATATTATTTGATCAATCAAATGTGTCCTTCATCCAACGTAAAAAGCATTGTGTTGAATGTACAGCTTTAGGTGATAGCTGAATAGTGTATAAAAACATTATGGACCCCTTTTTATGAACGTTTCATTAAAAATGTATTAAGAGCCATCTTTGACCATTTAAAGCAATAAATGAGCACTAATAGTTAACGTACTCAATTTTTTTTTACCGCACCTTGTTAAAACCTGACTGACACGTCTGACAGGCGGACTGAGATTCCGCCGTCAGTTTCAACACTTTAAAACCCGATTGCATCACAGAGAGTAAAACGGCGTGTCATGGTGACTCCCAGGGAACGCTCCTGGGCAAATGATCATTGCAGTCATAAGGAATGCAAGCATTCGGGTCCTCCATTTACCCCCTCGCATATAAATAGAATGTGTATTCCAGGAATGGAATTGACCGCAGCCGTCATTGTTAAAACACCAAACACGCATTCAATGAATTTTATATATTTAGTTTTGTAACAAATAAACAAAAGCAAGAAACACTTTCCCACCTGATGTGCACAACGGACAGGTAGGGGTCATGAAAATGTTTGTCCAACCCCCCCCCAGCTCTACCAACAGAGAATTCAGCAGCAGCATTCCTTTGCCTTATTTAAAATCAACATTGGTCCTGAAGTTTGTGTACAAGAAAGTCAACACACGGGATGTATGTACAGCATAAACCAGGCATACGACCACCGTAGAAATCTATGAATGAAAACAAAAGAAAATAATGCAGAAAGTGGCCAGCTCACACACCTTCAAGTATTACTCAGCCATGACTACGCATCTTGGAAATGTTCCCAGGAGGAATCTTTTCTTACCATTCTTCTGTGATTTAAAAGTATCTGGTCAGGCAGATGCTGAAGATAAAAATATGATTGAACGTTCAGCTAAACAAAGGGAGATCACTGAATTGTGCACAAGACACTGAGGGACAATAGAGCACCATGACACACCACTGTAGACGCGGGCAGGGAGGCTGAATACCTCCGCCAGGTGTGTCCTGCCTCCTTGTCCCACGCTGACGGTCATCATTTCCTCCCCCGTCCGCGTCAAAACTTTACCCACAACCACACAGAAACCACACAGGTATGTTCTAATATGGGTGAAGTGGTGCGTTGAAAAGACACGCTGACCTGTAATGTATTCAAAAAAAAATAAAACTCATATCATTTACAAATCATTTGGGCTCTGGCTGACTTGTAAATATTGTGGCGGTTGACTTGGAAACCAAAGTTCATGAGTTTAGAAAGAGCCTTAGATGTGGACGCAGGGGCCCACATGATGAATCCAGTGCTGATGACTCGACTTCCAGGGTCTGACACACGGTTCACTTTTGGCTCGTAGTTCTGAGTCCGAGGTCCGCGATTGGGTTCTAGCCACGAGCCCAGCTGAGTGCCGCAGCCTGACTTTCTTTCTCTAAGAAATGGACAGATTAGGAGCAGAGGCCCGAAACCTGTCTTCCATTTTGAGCCCAGATATCCTGGGCGGAGATTTGGTTGCCGTCTTAAAGGACGGAGGCTGATCTTTCAGGTACCTCCTCGACATGATCTTGTCGGCGTTGTCAAAGTGGTCCTTGTACACGTCCAGAGGCACGTCCAGAGGCAGGGGTGGGGTGCGGCGGTGAGTCCTGGCCTTCCTCGCTATCCGAACAACGCGTTTGGAGATGAGATAAATGACCTCGCAGATGTTCAGGACGATGCAGAGGCCCGAAGCTCCGACCATGAAGTAGGTGAAGACCTTCTTCTCGGTGGGGTGGCCGATGTAGCAGTCCACCAGGTTGGGGCAGGGCGACACACCGCACTTGACCAACCTCGGCAGGTAGAAACTGTCGTAGATGTGGTGGAGGATGTAGAGGAAGGAGACCTCGATGCCCGTCTTCACGAAGAGGCTGATCAGATAGGTCCACCACAAGCCGCCGTGCTTCTTGCCCGTGTTCTGGTACAGCTGGGTGGTGTTTCCGTGCTTCGCCTTGTACTTGCGCTCGCGGTCGTCGCGGTACGCCACGTGCATGACCACCATGAAGGACGGGCAGGTGACGAAGATGAGCTGCAGGGCCCACAGGCGGATGTGGGAGATGGGAAAGAAGTGGTCGTAGCAGACGTTGGCGCAGCCGGGCTGCTTGGTGTTGCAGTCAAAGTCCTTCTGCTCGTCGCCCCACACCCGCTCCGCCGCCACCACGTACACCATCACCCTGAACACGAACACCACGGACAGCCATACCCGGCCGAACGCCGTGGAGTATTTGTTCACCCCGCTGAGGAGGGCCTGGAAGGTCTTCCAGTCCATGTCCTTGGTTGTAGTTTATCTTCAAACCTGGAAGAGACGGATCGAAAGAGAAGTCTTCATTGTCTGCCGAGTATTCTGCTGCCACTCTAACTTCAATAACAGAAACCTTTTCACACATCCAAAGCGGATACAATGTTGATAAAAAGAACAAATCAATTCTGAAAAAAACACATCTGTAACAGCACTCGATCCCCCACGACAATAACAACAGTTATGAGAAGCCCCTCGAGCCAAACCGCTCCTTAAGGAAACAACCATGGATCAGAAAACAGTGAACCAGCTTCACTTCAGATTATATATTATATCTGATTTAAATAAAATCATCTGACGAATACAATCAGCCTATGTTGTGTACGTGTTACACTTGAGTCATTTGAATTTAGAGTTAAAACAAACAGACTTTTACGCACAAGCTGCGTGATTCTTTAGACATTTTCTTTTCGGCTTTCAGCCGACATAAAGCCCTTGGAGGACTATGAGAGAACCGCTTGGCATTATTCGTGGTTTTCATAGAAAGTCGTATTCAACCCAACAAATCCAAATCAAGTAATTTCCATTTGGCTAAAGCGCGAACTTTACGGAGCTCCACTCATCGGGCACATTACAAGTTCAGTTTTTAACTTACGCAGAGAAGCATTAGTCCATCGTTGGGTGAAAGACAGACGTGGATTAAAGGAGGAGGGGGGGGGGGGGGGGTCCTGACCGCTTTCCCGTCGTTTGATTCCGTCCGCGTACAGATTTGGATCCGGCGCAGGTAAAGAGGCGCAGTGTTGCGCCAGTGGGTGTGGTTAGAGGAGAAAAACTGAAGCTGCCTCAGATGTTCCTCTCCCCCACTCCTCCCTCCCTCCTCCCCCGCGTCTCTCCCTCTCTCTCTCTCTCTCTCTCCCCCTCTCTCTCTCTCCCTCTCTCTCTCTCTCTCACCACCAAACACTTTGGTGTGAGAGGGAGAATCAAATATTTTCAGGTAGGACAGAAATCTCCTGCAGCCACGTTGGAGGACCACTGATGGGCAGTGCGTCTGGAACCAGATGAACCAAACGGAGCCTCGGTGATTAGTCTTGTTAAGTGTTAGTCTTCTCCGACCCGGAGGCTGTGTTTGTGCTCATTCTAAAATTCTGAGAACACCATTTGGGTTCCATTGTTTTGATGTGCACGTATCCAGGAACTGCCGTCTCCATGTTCAGACGTGTTTCTGACAATTATGACAGCCGAGGCACGCCCCAGTGAATGCATTTCATGGTCGTGTGCTTCTCTTCACCGTTGTATGACGGGTGTAAGGAAGCATTCTAAGATGTTCTGACCTCACCAAAAAGTCGTACTGGGTTTCCTTTATTCTCTTTAAGGCCGAGCTCTTCTCAGATAACGTTGGGACAATTCGAAAGGCCTTTTGCGCTCCCCCTCATTGTCAGAACGCGGGCTTTTGTCCCCCACTTCACCATCCGCTCGCTCTCACGACAGCCCTATGTTTCTTTCCCTCTGCAAATAGGACTTCCCAATGAACCCGTTGTTACGAGTTGGCAGGTACAGCCAGAATGATCAAAGGGCAGCGTGCCATAGCTGGGCCAGAGCCTGCCTGTTCCTGCAGACCGGTGCCTGGCCTCCCGGAGGAATTAAAACCTGCGTTTACATTGTACAAAAGGATAAAAGATGAATTACCGGTCTCTAGTTAAGTCGCTTGTTTGTATTGCTCAGTAGAATCCCGGACAACGTCTCAGCCGGTGTGTTTTTCCAGCTGACGACAGCAACGGCTCACAACAAGCAGGCCCACTATTTCCAGGATGTAGGAAATGGGAAAGTTTCTGAGAACAATAAAAGTTGCACCGCTGTTACACTTGTGCAACCTGACAATCATGCTGTCTTGTTACACAAATGTGGATGTGAAACTGAGACGTGCAGAGTTGGCTAAAACACGGCTATACACAAGTAATTTAATCATCCGGTCACATGTTAGAAGGCCTCAATTAGAATATTGTTGTTCATGTTCTCACGTCAAGTCTTGCAAGTTCCACAAGCTCCACAAGCTCTCCGAACATTGTTAGAAGCACCAATCACACCTTTCAGGAAAGCTCATAAAACCAGGGCACGCAAACACAGCATCTGTGCATCAGGAACGGTCGAGTTCACACTGCGTCTGCGTCTTGGCTCCAGATGAGGAACGGGTCCAGGCAGTCTGCAGGAACACACCCGCAGGAAGGAACGCTCTGTCCCAACCGCAGGCCTCAACAAGACGGACGAGCACAACAGGATAAACCCATCGCCTTGCACTGCTGCCTCTGTGAAAGAAGCAGTTGTACCGGCTCACACGGCAGGCCGCGACCGAACCAGAAATGCCACCTAAGAAGAGTTATGTGGACACGCATGAGAACGAGAAAGAGAAATGTGCACCTCCGAAGCGCGCGTATACTTTCATAGCTCTACAATCGTGTTTGAGCAACGTAAAAGTCATCACTTCAAGTTAATTGTCACATTGGCCCTGGAGAATGAAATCCCTACTATTTTCTTGTGTATTTGGGAGGGTTGCCAATTAAGTTTTCTCCAGTCTCAAATCACCCACTTCCTCCTTGTGGATACAGATATCCATCTGTGACATTTCTTGTGCCACCCCGATAGAGAGGAAGTAAAAAGCGACATTCCAGAACCAGCTTAGCCCAAATGAGTCACGTAGTTACCGTGATGAGTTACAGGCCTCTCTTGTTAATAGTTCGCCGGAACTACAGTCTGCTGAAACAGACATTAATGGTTCCAATGAAATCGGTTACTGGCGATGCCTGCAGATTATCCACATTTCTTTTGTGGAAATACACTCTACTGTTTGACTTTTTTTATATATATATCATTCTTTATTGTTCAAAGAAGTGCAAAATGTATTTTTTCTCCTCCCCAAGAATGAGTTTCAGCATTAAGACATTACAAAACTCCAGCGGAGAAAACGGATGATATCTGACTGGCACAATAACACGAGGAGTGAGTAAGAAAATACGTGTTTGAACTCTCTTAGAAAAATGCCTTCAAAGCCTCCACGGACCCACAAATTCCTGCACTGGGTGGATCCACGCCCTTCGGCACGGATGATTCAAACCCCCCCCTTCTCAGTCTACCAATATCCCTAAACAATGAGGGCACCGCTCCTTGCGACGGAGCAGTTGGTGCCCCAGTGGGAGGGGAGGGCTTCATGGAACAAAAGTTGGAGAAGAAACAAAGGCTGACATGTTTGTCAAAGCACAGAACTCGAAGAATCAACAAACCCTTTGCCAGTTTATGTTTAGTATATTTTCTATGCAGAGACACGTTGGGTAAATATGACACTACTTTTGAATTGATAGCAGTATGCGTTTGGACCTCATTTGACTTTCTTGATGTTAAGGAGGGGGGACACATTTTCAAATCATGAGTGTTATTAACTTTAATGTAAATTATTATTAACAAGTGTGCAGCCTCACTGCACAACACTGTGAAACAGGGATCAGGGAACCTCCCTGATCTTAACGGCTGTGTTTACAGCGCTGCATTGGAACGTCACTGCTCTCCTCTGTGCACACAAGAAGCAGTTTTAAAACAAGTTAGGACAACAGCATACAGCACAATCTTTCCATCCTGTTGATAAATAAAAGGGCAGTATTCACAAAGAGTCAGACACGAAGGAGGACGAGAAGGGTAAAGACGGATTGAAGCTTGAAGTAAACGTTTCAGGGTTGGGCACTGAGTAGCAGGAAAACTTTACGCACAAAAAAAAAAAAACACATGTGTGTTTTGCGCGCACATGCGCGCCATCTGTGCCAAACCATCGAGTGACTCATGCAATTGGTCCCAAGGCCAAAAAAGTACAAAAAACATTGGTAAATACTCAGACCAAAAACCCAGTGAGCACATTCCAGGTCGATGACACATTCTCCCCGTATTCCAGAAGTTCTTATTTTTTCCAGAGTTTCTAACGCAGCTCCGTCTCTGAGCACTTCAACGTCAAACGTTGTTTGAGGAAAGGCCTGTGGAGGAAGGAGCGCTGCATTTCCTGTCCCGCAGCAGTCTTTCCCATCAAGTCTTTGCCTTTTATTCTCATGGGCCTCAAGACACGGCCGCGCTGTACGAAGGAGCCGGCGTCCCGGGGGGGGATTTGCCCGCCACCTTAAGGGTGTTCGAATCCATCAGGGTCGCGCCGCTGGACAGCGTGCTGGTGTCGACGTGGCGAGAGCTTCTTCCCGCGGTGGCGCATTCGCAGCAGCGTTTCCCCACCAGGTAGAGGATTTCAAAGATGGAGAGGAGGATGCAGGCCAGGCTGGTGACCACCATGAAGATGGTGAAGATCCGTTTCTCGGTGGGCCGAGCGATGAAGCAGTCCACCACGTTGGGGCAGGGCTTCTCTTCGCACTTGATGAGCGAGGGGAAGTCGTAGCCCTCGTAGATGTGGTACAGGAGGTAGACGAAGGTGGCGTCCACGGCTATTTTGAAGACCAGAGTGAGCACGTAGGTCCACCACAGGCCGCCGCGCTTCTTCCCCGTGTTCTTGTAGAGGCTGCGGCAGTTCTCGCCGTACTTGAGCCGGTTCTTTCGTTCCCGGTCGTCCCTGTAGGCCACGTGCATCACCACCAGGAGAGACGGGCAGGTGACGAAGATGAGCTGCAGGGCCCACAGCCGGACGTGGGACACGGGGAAGAAGTGGTCGTAGCAAACGTTGTGGCACCCGGGCTGAGCCGTGTTGCACAGAAAGTCTTTCTGCTCGTCTCCCCACACCTTCTCCGCCGCGACCACGAATACCATGACCCTGAAGAGGAAAACGATGGAGAGCCAAACGCGGCCGAAGGCCGTGGAGTACTTGTTCACCCCACTGAGGAGGCCCTGGAGGAATGCCCAGTTCATGACGAGGTGCGTTCACGGCCCGTCTTCTCTTCCTGCTGATGGAAGACGGGAGGTTTTTTTTTTTTTACAGTTGAAAGGGAACCGACAACAGACAACCAGCCTGAGAGAAAAAGGACATAAAGTCACGGATGTGGAAGAAGGCTGAGAGAACTAAAAGAAAACCGAGTGCGCCAGAAACACTGCGGTCAACTCAGCAGACGCTTGAATTTTAGTGCACGTGTATGCTGATATTACGGTATTAAACAAGTAACCGTAATAAAAGCAACTTCAATCAAAGATTCTGGACAATGACTGAAGTATGTGTTTATTGTGCAGTGCCAGTTTATTAACACATGAATGGATGAGATGACGATCTTTGACGCAAAATATGGTAACAACTCGGAACAAAATGGTCACATAAAATGATAAAAATGTTTTTATTCAAGAAACTTTGACAAATAAGAAGAAACGTTTTATTGTATCGCTGTGCTGAGCTACAAGTCAACAAATCACTTCTAACGAGCGCTCTGGTTTGGTCATTTTGTGCGCAATTGCGCGTAACGACAACATCCACAAATAAAACCTCTAAGTCCGCGTTACTTTCCGACTCTACTTTAAATATCATTGTGAATACTTACGGGTTAAACGGTGGAGATCGGATCGGATCGGAGTGGAGGAGCGTCGGCGGGTCAGTCAGCGGAGAGAATCTCAGTATGTTTCTCAACGTGTCTGGAGGGGGAGGAGTTGTTCTCCCCCGATGACTTTTCTCCACACAACCTGCTCAGGTGTGGCAACTCCAACGCATCAAATACTTCGTCCAAACAGGAGGGGCGACTATTGTTTATTTTAATTAATTTACTTTTTGGTAAATCTCTGCCAGGGATCATTTCATAATTTACACGAAAGCCACGTATATGTATCACACGATTCAATAGTCGAATTGTGCATCTCTCCTTTTGAACAAACTCTTTTTTTTCTTCCCATAATCATTAAATACAAGAGCAAAGTTGACTCACAATGTTACAGAAATTTACAGGCGCGTGCACAGATGGACCCCTAGTGGCGCTCAAGCACCAGCGCTTTTGGCCTGTGTGGGAAAAGTGCCCCTTCTGCTGGAGCCTTTTCATTTTTTTATTAACTTTTTATTCATTAGTTAATATATAAGAATAACAATTACTCTCTCTCATCAATTCGCCCCAAATGTGTTTTAATATCCGACCGGCATTTATTTGAGTTCTCGTGAGAATTTCCCCCGACGCGCAGCGCTCACAAGCCCCGCCCCTCCCTCCTCCCCCTCTCGCGCAGCGCTGAGCGCCAAACGCCCGCAGCGTCAGACAAACAGGTGATGACGGTGTTCGTGCCAACCAACTGTCAGAAAACAATTAAAAAGATCGCGTGTGCTGTCATCATTATAGAGATTATGTAGGTCACTCTTGATTATTATGCACAATTTCGATTTATCTCATTTGCAAAATTTGCAGCATAATGCCAAGAAAAGAGAGACTCTAAAAGCAGAAGGACAGGAAAAATATCCTACTGTGTTTTTTTATTTTACTATTCATATTGTAAATTTCCTGAATCATTTTGGCGATGGATGGAAATTAAGTTTTACTTCCTACAGTCAGGAATCAGGAATCATTTATTGCCATAATATGTCAGACCTACAAGGAATTTGACTTGGCGGTTGGTGCGTAACAGCAGACGGTACAACAATGGACGACAAGACAACAGTGCATGAGGAATAAAGTCAAATATAATGCTACGGGTTAGTAGTATAAAGGCTATGGGTTAGTTTAAAAATAAAGGAATAAAAGTTACAAATATTTAAAAATAACAAATAAAGTGCACCAGCAAACAGAAAATGACATGTGCAGTGAGAAAGAAAGTGGAGTCAGTCAGTGGGGGACCGGGCTCTGTTGATGAGCCTGACTGCCGACGGGAAGAAACTGTTCGTGTGGCGGGAGGTCTTAGCCCTGGTGGACCTCAGCCTCCCGCCAGATGGAAGGGGCACAAACTGTTTTTGTCCGGGGTGAGAGGGGTCGGCTACAATCTTTTTAGCTTGGTTCAAGGTCCTGGAGAGATGGCAGATTGCAGCAGCTCACCCTCTTTGCAGAGCGGATGACACAAATTGCACTGCTCAAACCCCCCCCCACTCCTCTGGAACCTCCAGACTTGACAACTGCAACAGCATATACGGCTCTCCCAACAAAATCCTCAACAAACTCCAATATGTTCAGAACTCATCACATCATCCATCTGTACTTTTATCTTTTTTGTCTGGGTTTGTTCTGTAAAGCGTCTTTGGGTACCTAGAAAAGCGCTATAAATAAGTATTATTATTAAAAATCCTTATTGGAAATTCACAAAATAATATCAATTTAAAGAGGTTATTGTCAACAGGAAACAAGATTACACAACAAGAAGCAGCAGACATAGGTGCTGAATATTTCCTTCATAATTAGACGCAGATGGTTGCCATGGCAACGTCTCTATCCCTCTTCAGCTCACTTTGGTTGGGGGTCGTCCCTCCAGAGCCTCGGGGGTTTCTTCCATTGTGGACCTCAGAAAATTCGGCCGTAAATCTCTACAGGAGCTGATCCCTGTGTAGATATAAAAGTGTTATCATCAGGTAACGGAAACATTCTTTGAGATTACACACTGAATACACATACTTATTGATATGTGTTTATTGCGCAAGTTCAGAGGGCTCAGAGCGCCAAGCGACTTTTTTGAGAGTCAAAAAAGTAAACGCTTACTGCGGAGGGAAGGCCTTTCCATGGTTAAAAGTTCCTTCTTCGTGGTCGGTAAGAAGGAGGGAGCTGAAGCTTCATCGGCCATTATCAGGCTTGCAAATATGAATAAACATTTCTATTAGGGATGGGGCCGATCCGATCCAGTATCGGTATCGGGACCCGATACCAGAGAAATTCGGGTATCGGATTTTCCGATACAACCTTTGGAGATTTCTGATATCAATGAGCCATGTCTGCGCTTTAACGTCGTCTGCTGATATGGCTCCAAAAGTGATCCCCGCCTGCTAGCCTGCTAGCTGACTGCAAACTGTGGAATGGATTTCCTGTCTCATAACTGTCTCATTGAGCCGCGCCTCCGTTCAGGAATCCATTCCACAGTTTGCAGCCAGCTAGCAGGCTAGTGCTGAGGCTAGACTGTTTAGCACGTGGATGAAAAAAGGAATCGTCTAACTGGAGAGAGCAGAAATGCTCATATTCCTCAAGAAGAACCTGCCGATATAAGATTTGTTGAACACTACATCACTTCCTCAGAGTCAACTTTGAGACATTCAATTTTTGTTTTCTTTTAAAGAATAGTTCGACTCTGGTGTTTAGTTTATTTCAGGTCATCTTAAGTGCTGTTCTGATGCACACTGTTTTAAAACTTATTGTGTGTGTGAGAGAGAGAGTAAGTGTGATTGCGTGTGTAAGACTGTGTCAAGTGTGTATGTGTGTAAGATGTTTACAGTTATTTTATTGCACTTTTCTTCAGATATTTGACATGTTGTTCATGATACAAGAGTCAGTAAACGTCGTTTACGCACCTCTGGAATTTTGGAAATAGCGTTTACGCACCTATAAATAGCGTTTACGCACCTCAAAGTTCCCTGCGCCTTGTATTCTTCCGTTGGAATAATCCAAAATAAACTTGTTGTAATTTTAAAATAGCTAAGACTACGTTTCCTATTGTTGAACATATAAACGCCGTAGTCTGAATCATGTTCCTCTGCGCTGTATTACGGTCTGTGAGCATCCAATCAGTGCCTTGCGGCTGCAGCAGCGACCAATCAGGATCCAGGAGGCACATACACGTTGTGGATCAGCCCAGTGGTCCCCAACCTTTCTTACCTCACGGACCGGTTTCATGTCAGACAATATTTCGCGGACCGGTCGAGAAGGTCCGATGGGGGTTGTGGTCGTCGTTGCGGGCGGAACGACCGACGGGGGGTGGGGGGTAGTAGTCCCGCTTATGTTGTAACTTATGTTGTCAGTGTAATTGACAGGCTGCTTAACTGGTTAACTCTTAAATTCAACATATTTTTTCAGGCAGTGATAGGACAGGCAGTGATGCAGAGAGAGGAGAAACACCAGGTCGAATAGAGAGAGAAGCACAGAGGAGCCATGAACCCCAGAACGCGTGTTCTGGGGTTCATGGCTCCTCTGTGCAAGGCAGGACCTGACATGGAGGACAAGGAGGCCCTCTGGGCACTTCTGTAAAAAGGAGACTCCGTATGTAGATAGTTCTTAATCTGCAATTGCCTTGTTGTATTGTGTTGACATACTTTTCTTTACTGTTTTCTTAAATTTAATAAACTACTAACACATGTATTCGTTGTCATTGATTGTATATGACTTTTACTGATAACATAATGCAATATAGCCAGGACAGCCTTACAGAGTCGCGACGCTTTGTGTTGCGTTGCTTCGCATCGCGTCGAGGTCTGTATGATCACAAAATTCAGAGTTTACCCACCTCTAATTTTACCACTACAGCACTGGATGGACCCCTAGTCGTGCTCAAGCACCAGCCCTTTTGGCCTGGGTGGGGAAAGTGCCCCTTCTGCTGCAGCCCAACTTTTTATTCATTAGTAAATATATAAAAAATAACAATTACACTCTCTCATCAATTCGCCCCAAATGTGTTTTAATATCCGACCGGCGTTTATTTGAGCTCTCGTGAGAATTTCCCCCCGACGCGCAGCGCTCACAAGCCCCGCCCCTCCCTCCTCGCGCAGCGCTGAGCGCCAAACGCCCGCAGCGTCAAACAAGTGATGTGCAAATAAACTGTCAGAAAACAATTAAAAACTTGTGTTTTTCACACACGTCATCATTATAGAGATAATGTAGGTCACTCTTCATTATTATGCACAACTTCGATTTATCTCATTTGCGAAATTTGCAGCATAATGCCAAGAAAAGAGAGATAGAAAAAATATCCTGTGTTTTTTTATTTATTGGTTTTATTATTCATATTTTTAATTTCCTGAATAATTTCAGCAATGGATGCCCCTTTGCTTTGGTTTGAGCGCCTGCCCCCCAAAATGTCTGTACACGTGCCTGGAAATTAAGTTAGACTTGAAAATAATAATAATAATAATAATTTGATTTGAATAGGTTGCTCTTCAGCTACAGTTAAAGCAACATTACATTTGTACGAAGTAAAAAGGCATAAAACTGTAGCTTCTTTATTTTAAAAAACAAGGTTTATTGAAATATTTACATGGCAGATGACATGTGCTCAAAGTACAAAAGATCCCAAACATACTTGTGGTCTCAGACATACACTAACCAGAATTGACACATACAAAAAAGCACATATTTGTTTTCTTTCACACAAGTTCTCCACAGTCAGATATGATGACTTTCTGCTTCGGCTTGCCGTCCTTATTTCCCTCAGCCTGCAAAAAAAAAAAAAAGAAGGCACACCATCCCCTTACTGAAAATCCCAAAACTTTTACATGCTTCTATTATAAATGAACTAACACTTTTACATTAAGCCCGGATGAACGTTCGACTTCCACATTTAATGGTACAATTACAAAAAGCAAAATGTTTTATGTGTAATAATATAATAGGATTATCAGATCTTAGAAATAAAATACTCGTCTAAATGTATGTTTACACATTTGGTTTGAAGATGTTTATGGATTATATTAAGTTTTTGGGTACTTGCTGCTTAGGATGCCTGTTTTTTCTGATTTTATTTTTTGCTGTAGTTCGAGGAAAACCTCCCATCATTGCTAATCTAATCATCTAAAAAAATCATCTATTATTCAGTTTGCTAATCGTGTACACACGCATGCTTTAAATTACATGTGTAATAGTGAGATGCAAAAAGTGAGGTTGACATTAATCAACCGATTATTAATCATGGCCCGCTGCGAGTGTCTTTAAGCTTTTATTACCACTGAAATAACTGATTTTACAAACAAGAACCTGTGAATGTATTTATATGAAAATAATATTTTGCATCAGCAGTAAACACTTTTCGACCTTACCTCCATTGCACGCAGCACATCCATCCCCTCCACCAGATCACCAAACACCACGTGTTTCCCGTCCAGCCAGTCGGTTTTGTCATTGGTGATGAAGAACTGAGAGCCATTCGTGTTTGCCCCCGAGTTGGCCATAGAGAGCTGCCCTGTGAGCACAAGAGGAATGAATATGGGATCACCGGTTATCCACATGATCAGCGAGTCGACGTAAAACCATGATGACCACCAACCCGGCCTGAAAAACTTCTCACCTGGCGCCGTGTGCTTCAGGACAAAGTTCTCGTCATCAAACTTCCGGCCGTAGATGGACTTGCCGCCGGTGCCATTGTGGTTGGTGAAGTCACCTCCTTGGCACATGAACTGCGGGATTATACGATGAAAGCAGCTTCCCTTGAAGCCAAATCCCTTCTCATGCGTGCACAGGCATCGGAAATTCTCTATATGGGATGGAGGAAAAAGATGCTGGGGTTATTATTTGCCGACAGATTATTTCACTTCATAAAAGGGAATGGCATAAGTATGCACTTGTGATTTGTTGTTTAATGTCACTTGTACATTCCTGTGATTCTAAACATTGTGCATGTATTCATGACAAAGTACTACAACAACACACCTGCTGTCATGGGAACGATGTCAGCCCGAAGGAGGAAGCGTAGTCTCCCCGCTGGCTTATTTCCAATCTTAATGTCCATGTAGACTTGAGGATTAACTCTGCCCTTCTTAACAGGAGGCTCAGCCTGTGAAAACATATCATACTTATAGCATTGACTTGACTTAATTAGGAATCGGAGGCACAGTTTTGAGGAAGCCATCGCACCTCCGGTGTTGCAGTGTTGGTCGTTTCTCCTGCCGCTGCCTCCCCATCAGCCTCCTCTGCAGTCTTCCCAGAGAACTTCTTCAGCCAGTCATCGTCCGACCACACTGACAGAAAAGCAGAGTTAAAATAACAATCACAGATTTAAACCACCTAAAAATGTTTGGAGTTTATAAAACAGGTTTCATTACTCACCTGGTCGAGAAGAACCTTCTTTGATTCTCATGGGCTTGGCGGTGTTGACCCGGATAGTCCTTCCAAAAAGCTCAGACTCATTCTAGCAGAGAAACATTAAAGCAGAAACGTCCTTTAGGTCCTTTTGGAGAAGTTCACAACAGCCAGGTCAGAGAAACAAACAAAAACTTCACCGACATGAATGTGCAGCCATGTGATCAGCTTACCATGTTATCAATAGCTGCCGCGGCATCCTACAGAGGAAAAAGGTCATAAATTGGTTATAGGAAATATTTACAATTTATGTCCCAGTTCATTTTAATTACCAACTATGTGTAGATGGAATTCACCAGTCAGGCTGCCGTACAATTTAATCCAAATAAAAACAATATCCAAGGAAATGATTAAGCAGGCTGCATTCAATTCATATTCACATGCTAGGGAATTTTAATAACTGGTGGAAAGCCCCTGTTAAACATACGTTTTGTTGCTTTACATAAAAAATTAATTCAATAATGAAGGAGATGGACAACTTTGTGTTTGGAAAGTTCTGTTAAAGCTCAGAGTTGTAGCTCAGTTCAACATCTCCCTCAATGAACTCAAAAACACACAGAATTAAGCGTTGACTATGATCTCATTGAGCTCAGTGTAAATAACAGTATAGTCTTTAATGGCCCAATTTCCGTGTGTACTTCACCTACCTCTCCCAATTCAAACTCGATGAACGCAAATCCTCTGTGTTTTTCTGAAAACAGAACACAAGACACATCATCAGAGCTCAATTTTCCTCTGACCCACTGGGAGTGAATGTTAGATAGAAACACCAGCTGATGGAAACAACTCGTGGTCTTACCGGTTTCATAGTCTATTGGTATCTGGATGTCTGTGATGTCTCCAAACGGAATAAAAGCTGCGTGTAAAACCTTCTCATCCACCTCCTCTGCCAGGCCACCTGACAGAAACACAACGAACTGATACTGAGCCGATGAACATCAAGTCACTTCCTAAATAACGTTATGTTTTGTTAGCTAAATATACAACCGCGGATAACGTGCCACGGCCATGAAAGCATGAGCACGGTCGCAGGCAACAACTTGTACGTTCAGCTTGTATTTTCAGCTCAATAAACGTGACGCTTTTTAGTCATGAGAGTCGAGGGAACTGTGCGAAGCTTAAAATCAGCGACTTTGCCATGTTTCGCCGGCTAAAACTTTATGTATCGGAGATTTTTTCATACTAACGTTACGTGCACTTTACTTATCTTCGACTATTCCTCCTTTAGTCATTTACAGCTCAATATCCGTAAAATGTTAGCATAGCTTACTGGAACAATCTAATTTTAAAGTATTTTTAAGAAAAGTAGCATTAACTTACCAACATACAGCACTCGTTTATTAGCCGCCATATTGGATGTAACCTTTCAACTGTGAACCCGCCAGTCTGTGATTGGTTAAGCGAGGCTAAATCCCGCCTCCCAAAAGCCAGAACACCTCTACTGCCACCTGCTGGACAAAGCGGTATCGCTCCAATTACACCACTTTGCCTTTTATTCGCATTTCTGGAGCAGTTTCTAAATAAACTAATCTCTGTCCTTTCACCGTCCTATAGAAGAATGAGAGGAAGGGTTGATATTTAGAAAAAGCTTATAAAAGTAGTTGCATATACCCTACGTTAGAAAACAGATGTGAAAGTGAAACCTATGAAATCATATTTTCTTAAATGTCTTTACTTAGACAATTGTATGCATCTAAGGCTAAATATGAAACCATGCAAAAGTACTCACAGCTTGCTTTCCCATGACAAAATCAATTTTGATTTTAAATGCATAAATGATCATTTCGAAATAGGAAAAACTCACATCTCCTTGAAAACAGGGTTTCTTTTTCCAGCACCACCTATGTTTGCTGGTACCACCTGTGCTTTACTGACTGAGTGTGTGTCAGATACACACATGTTATATGTAAACTTTAACAACAAAACAGTGGCCAACTTGATATATCATGCTTTTATTGAGAATACCACACATCCATCCATAATTTCAAATCCAAACTTTCATCAAAGAAAATGAACAAGGCTCATAGTCCTTTTAGAAGAGAGTAACTCTCCCATGCCACAAAATAAAGGACTTTCATGACTCATTTGCAGCATTTCTTTGGTATGCAGTTTAAAAGTTTTACAGGAATAGAAAATTATGAACTGTGATATTTTATATCATTTTATTATGTTTTTAAAATCATATTTTCCTTTTTTTTTTCTTCATTTTTAAAAATTCTTCAGAGGAGTCAGGTGTTTGCGGTCAGTGTAGTGTGTCTCTCTGCATCTCTGCCTATTTTTCTGTGCCCTGAAACAACATAATGACATTTCATTATTGACACAAACCCCAAACTATGTATATATGCTTGACCGATGTTGTTTTTTTTGTACCAACGCAAAACAGCGCAGCGTCTTCAGGATGTGGCAGCAGCAACGGTAGTAGTTATGCTGCCCACTTTTTGAGTGGCATCTTTCTTTGCCTGGTGGGCTTGCAGCACGGCGACGGCCTCTTCCACCTTGTAGAAACATTTAATCCAACATGAATAATGACCGATTCATATGGATCTCAGAGTGATATTATTGCAACAATAGCGCTAGCCCCGTACCTTGGAGCGCAGAGACTCATGGGACTCGAGCATGTGCAGCAGTTCGGAATTGTCAATCTCCAGCAACATGCCGGTGATCTTTCCCGCCAGGTTGGCATGCATGGATTGAATCAGCGGGAAAAGACGCTCACCTGTTTGGACAAATGGAGAATGAATGCGCCTAATAAAAACGGAAAGTCCTCACCTTTCATTCGCTATGTCACGGGACACTTACCAAGCATCTGTTTCTGCTCCTGAGGGGGTGCAGCGGCCAGCATGGAGGACGTGAGAGGCTCTTGGCCTTGAACGTGCACGGCCGGCTGAGCCTAAAAAGGGCAGAAGGATAAGGTGTATGATAGGGGCTGGATATGGGATATATGGATACCCCATGTTTTATGGATGTCTAACACTAGATGGTGGCATCGGCCTCTCGTTCATACCTGCTGTAAGGCCATGGGTTGCACCATCTGAGGGTTGGGGTTACGGACACCGGTGGCATATTTGTAGGGAGGCATGGTCCGGGGGCCGGGGACTCCCATCGGCGGCCGTGGACCCATGGCCTGGCCGGAGGCTGGCAGCAGAGAGGTAAAAAGACAGATTCAGGATTCAGTGATGCGACAACCTCTGCCGCGTGTGTAGTTGTTTATCACATGAATCGTTACTGGTGAACGTACCTCGTGGGCCCTGGGGGCCGCCACCAGGACTCATGTGTCTCATGTTGGCACGGGGTCCCGGCTGACGCAGCGAGCTGGGTACCCCTTGGTAACCCCCTGGGAGTGACAGAAGTTGAGCCGAAAACAATGAGACACGATGCAAAACTTGTTGAAAAATGTTTAAAGAGGGACATTGCAGAGTAAATATGTATGCTAGGTAACTAGAGACGAGGTAGATGGTCTACATTTATTGACGTGTTCTCACCTTGACCTCTGCCCCCTTGTTGCTGCCATCGTGGGTTGGGTCGCATTTGGGCCACCTGGTTGGGTGCATAGTATGTAGTCCGATTCTGGGCCTGCTAAGTACAAGTAAATTAAATTTGTGATTTTCAAACAAAAAACTATTTAAGCTTCCTTGACATTCTAAATGAAGTACTACGCCCAGTAAGTGTGTTTCACATCATTCCCTTTCCTTTAGGAAATATCTGCCTCTTCTGCCCTGAAGCTCTACTCTGTTCTGCAGCTAAATCCGCTACAATCTGATGCGGAGATGATGTTACATGATGGCATTGATAGAATTGGGTGATAGCGGTCTGTGGCTTGGTTGTTTTAACACACGCAGACTTCGATTGTCGCACCTGAGGCACGGCTGGCATGAAGTAGCCACTGGCGGGCTGGAACTGGTTGATGATGGTGTTAGCCGGCATGGCCCTCATGCCGGCAATGCGCTGCATGTACTGGTTGGTGAGGTGGGCCTTGCGCTCCTCTTTGCGCTGGGCGAGAGCCACGTAGAGCGGTTTGGAGCCAACGATGCGTCCGTTCATCTCCGTCACCGCCTTGGTGGCCTCTTCGGGGGAGGAGAAGCAGACAAAGCCGAAGCCCTTGGAGCGACCCTCCTCCAGCATCACCTGAGATGGAGGCCGACCATCAATCACAATGTTGTTCTCTCATACCCCACTGTGGTTATATCTATATTGCGTCATCACACAATTATAGCACTGCAACATCTGTCTGTCACCTTAGCGCTTGTAATAGATCCGAACGGAGAGAACTCCTTGCGCAGCTTCTCATCATCTATGGTGTCATCCAGGTTCTTAATGTAAAGATTCACACCCTGAAACCAGAGGGAAGATCAAGATGCATCCACAACAGCTTCTTTGACAGCGACCGGCTGAATTTTACGATGAGTTGGATTCATTGAGGTCTCGACCTGATAACGACTGATCCTCTCTTGTTTCAGCAGCTCAAACTTCCTCTTCAGCTCCGTCTGCCGCTCCATCTTCTTCTGAGCCCGGCCCACAAACACAGTCTTGCCGTTGAGTTCGTTGCCATTCATTTCCTCCACAGCCTTTGGACGAGATCAAAATTATCTCAAATCCCAATAAAGACTAACGAAGCATTTCCAGTTGGTCAACGTACCTTGTTGGCGTCCTCATGTTTCTCGTAACTAACGAATCCAAAGCCTCTGGATTTGCCGGAGGGGTCCATCATCACCTTCACGCTGAGTGTTTTACCTGCAAAGGTTAAAGGTCAGAAGATTAAATGCAGACAGCAGAACTAGACCACATTGAAAATTGAAGTAATATCCGTTTATTGAATCCCATTTTACCATATTTGTCAAAGTGCTCCTTAAGCCGGTCATCGGTCATATCGTCTCCAAAGTTCTTAATGTAGACGTTGGTAAACTCCTTGGCTCTGGCACCAAGCTCCGCCTCCCGTTCCTTGCGTGATTTGAAACGACCCACAAACCTGAAGACGGAAGGAGAGCGGCGAGGCACACTCTTGTAAAACATTCCTGACAGAAATGAGAAAAACAAACTAGGCTCCTTTTCTTCCGATCTAAAAACACGTGATCCGGGAGAGGACAACCTGACTACGCGAGCGCGCTACGTAAAAGAGAGCACGGGGACAAGATCCACGAAACAGATTCACAGCTACTCCCTCATCATTCCTGCTTTTGGACAATAAAAAATACATCCACCTGGGGTTAATATCACCACAGGCAGGCAGGCATGTGGGCATGCTCGACATCACAGTGACAACCGTCTTAATTGTTGGTCCAAAAACTTGATGAGGAGGTGGATGGAGAGGGATGGAGGAACAGAAGAGTGAAGCTGAGAGGACTAAATGATCTTATATACCTTGCTATGACGACCTCTCCCCTTCCGCCATCCAGTATTGAATTCCTGCATTCGATCCATCACTAAAAACACACAAGCGCGGTCATACACACGCACGCGCACACACACACACACACACGTACAAACAAGCGCTGCAAGACGGGTGACCAGCGAGTGGACATATGAGGCAACACAAAATGCGTCCGGTAGGACAGATAAGAGTGAGCTCAAGCATTTAGTTCATCTATCAGATCAGAGGTTATCTTCATACTGGCGGTAGTTGAGTTTATTAGTCAGATTGTTCACACACAAACACGCCAACTGACAAAAGACACGAAAGGTCAGTTCACTCAACGAGTGTAGAACAACCGAGTCGGGTTTACACACAATAGACACAACTGTTACTGCACTTTTAACACCAGAAGTACTGCACCTTCTACAGCTGGACTTCCAACTTCATCATTACTTTGGAGTACTTTCTAAATTCTGTTGATATACTACCAACGATGAACGCCCCTTTGACCCCAGATCCTGGACGAGCGGACACTCACACCTTGCGGTCATTCAGAAGCATTCCGTTCATCTTCTCGATGGCTCGATCAGCGGCGTCCTGGGTCTCAAAGTGGACGAAGGCGTAGCCCTTGGAGCCATTTTCATCACACACCACCTGGAGTAGAGGGAGACATTTGCAGGTGAGAGTTCATCCATTAGAGAGGCGTCAACTTTAAAGGAAATTTGTTCAAGATTTCGGAACGTGTGCTTGTTTGCTTTTTCTCTGAGGGCAAGATTTGTAGATCAATATCCATTTTAAACCGCTAAAGCTGCAGCTAGTGAGCTTAACTTAGACCAGAAACAGTGGGAAATAGCAAGCTTGGGTCCGTACAAAATAATGTGTTTAAGCTTGTGCGTTTAATTTATGTAAAAACCAAGACGGAAATCTGTGGTATCATAGGGGTTGTTGGCCAGTTTTACTCTTCAGTTGTCACGCCAACAAACCTTCAAAGCTAAGTTTCTACAGGAAAGCAAATACGTGTTTCCCCCAAAGACGAAGAGCAGCTGTATGAGTTTACATTAGATGCATGACAACGTTATTCTAACTGGAAGTCTCCTTATGCCGCAAGTCGCATCGCGCCAGTTGTACCTTGCAGGAGAGGATGTTGCCGAAGGCAGAGAAGGTGTCGTACAGGGCTTTGTTGTCAATGGACTTGTCGAGGTTCTTGATGAAAACGTTGCCCACCCCAGACTTCCTGAGGGAGGGGTCTCTCTGTGACCACATGATTCTGATTGGCTTCCCTTTCACCACGTCAAAGTTCATGGTGTCCAGGGCTCTCTCAGCTAGAAGGAGAGGGGCAGAGAGGTGGAGGGGGAACGTCATGGCTGGTTGTTCATATGGACCCGTGAGTCTGATCAAAACATTAGTCACTTGTATGTATATATATACACCACATAACACTTCTATCAAGGGACAGAATGAGGCAGAAATAAAGCAGAAGTTCTTCAACCCACAAACACTGTGGTCTATTTGTCCTTTTGTGGGCTAAAATGGAGAATTCCTGCCCGCCAGCCCGTTTAACAACTCACATGAAATAAGGTAAAGAGTCTGCAGTAGACCATGATGCAGATGAGCAGCTGGGACAAGTGTGGGGGACAGCTGCAGTGGGCAAGCTGGGAGCACATGTCCCCCTTTCTCTAACTCGCCACATGCTGTTGGGCCACGTCCCACCGAGGCAAGTTGCAATAGCACAGCAGAGGGCCCTCAGATGACAAAATGGGCGTACAATGTGGTATCGAGATGTATTATGTTTCAATTCATCGAGTCAATATGCCTTATTTGAACCCAATGTGATCGCCAATGTTCAATTTATGGCTTTTCCATCCTCCCGCTGTGCTCTAACTCTCACATGGGCTCTCATGACCATGTGGCCACACATGCCAAAACATCCTTTTGTTCAGTCACTCACACACACACACACACACACACACAATCACACAGGCCGGGCTCTCCAGCTAAAAGTGTCTGGTAAACAAAACGGAGCTGCCTTGCGTCTGCTGGCATCAGCAGTTTGGCTCGCAATTGTACAGCTCGTGTGCTCAGAGACGGCGTGTGACCGCTGTCAAACATGTGGTCTTCTGGAAGGTTCAGGGAGGGAACCACGGGTTTCAGAAGGGGACAAAGCCACCCGCGCAACGCATTGTCCACATCGCAGAGGGAGGCCATTCGGCGAAATGTCGCCGGCGTTCACGCTTAAGAGCTTAAAACTATTACAGCCAGGCAAATGTTGGGCTGCTCAGAAAGACGACCTATATTTAGAGAGGGGTCCTGGGAGGTATGTGCTGGCGTGGAGCGTGAGTGGAGCAACCTCTATCATTGATGGGGAAGAGGAGACGAGACTCAACAAGAATGCTCAGATGAGCAACGCTGGGTCTCGTGAGCGGTCACAAATACAGCCGAGACGTGGGGAAATCCAACAGAGGGATCGCAAAACAACCTCGCCTGCTGTTTTACTCTGCATTATATCAGATGGTGACAGTTGCAGTCACTGGTCTACACCGTCTACACTCCTTCGTGGCGTCTTCTCACCTCCTCCATTGATTCTTGCCAGTTGCAACGTGCCGTTACTCCAGCTTTCGGCGACTCACACACAGATAACGCACAATGTGACAGGTGTTAAACGTTGACACAAGAGGCCAAGAAGTCCGTGCAATGTAAACAGCGTGGCGGGGGCCTCCGAAGCCAACCATAACACCTGCTACTGTTGCTCAACGCTTTGATGGCATTCCTGTGGATTCACAACCCACATACGTCTTAGTTATTACAGGTAAACTAACTGTGAATCAGGTTATTTCCCAACAAGTAAACACTTTACTTGTGGACAGCGGATAGAATATTTGACGTTGATGCAGAAAATTCACTTAGGACATAAAAGAGGAGCATTGCAGCAGAGAGCAATGGGAATTAGTTTTATTCCGTTGTAACATGAGAAACGGGTCATTTGGGGCATTGTGAGCATGTGAGCGCAGTATTACTGGGACATGCGCCTATTTGGGTCTTAACTCCTCCAACCTGTCTGGGGATCCGCTGCTTTTACTTAGACTGTAGAAATATCTTCTACTCCAGCGACATTTTATTCGCCCTCAGTGTGTCGGTGACATTGTCCACATTTAAAAACGAATTCACGCGTTCCCTTTCGGCACACCGGTGCGCCAAATGCGCGCAGACTGCGCCGGGATCACTTGTCGGGGTTATTTTTTTTTCTTCTTTTCTTACCGTCAGCGGGTTGAGAGAAGTTCACATAAGCGTATCCGAGGGATCGCCGGGTGATCATGTCGCGGCACACCCGAATGGAGAGCACCGGTCCGGCTGGGCTGAACTTCTCGTACAGCATTGCCTCCGTGATATCGGGGTGCAGGTCGCCAACGTAGAGGGAAGCCATCGGATAACTCCCGGTCGATGTGTTCATATCTCGGGGTTCACAACAGGAATGCGGTCCAGGTTTCACTCAAAACGCCAGAAAAAAAAATATGTATAATGATATCAATCCAGTCGGCGCTGTATTCCGGATCAGAAACTGCGAGTGAATTCTCGCAAATAATAAAAAGACAGCTGGTCGAGCTAGATGAGAGGAAAAAAAAGGTAAACCTGAAAAATCCGCGTATAAATGATTTCTTCTGAGGTATTTCTTCCTTTGGTAGGCCAAAAAACCTCGACCTTCTGTTTCTAGTATTTTTTGTAAATTAATATTTTTCAATTTTTTTAAATAAATGTTTGTATTTCTTTAAGTAAATGTTCTGGTTTTTATAAAGATTTTGTGGATTTTGTATTTTTTTATATTATTTTTATTTTAAGTTTTTGAAGAGCGGTGAGTTAGACACTCACGGTTGTTTTGTGGCCAGGGAAAGAGACTGCGTTTGGGAACTGGTGGGCACTTTATAGAGAGTGGCAGTGCGGAGGAAATAGTGACCAGGGTCACTCATGGGACAGAAAAAAAGAAAAAGCACAACTGCGCATGCGTTGGAAAAAAGAAAAAAGGAAAGGGGGGCGGACTGCAGAGCCCACAGCGACATCTGGTTGGGAATATAAAACACAAAAACTGGCCTCACTCCGTTTATTACTCAAAACGTCCATTTGCCCATTTGTCCATAAGTGCCGTTATAGAATATTCATTGTATGATGGATCCTCCTGAGGATGAGAGATTGAGCCCTACCAAATTAGTCAAATCCACAAGCATAGAACATGATGACATAAATTAACTCAACAATTCCAGGAAAGTTGAACGCAGCCCTGTACGTTTAGGCTCCGGTTTTCTTTATAAAAGCAAAAAAGAAAGAATCTCAGGAGATGGAGAGACAAAACATTGTTGGATGAAAAGCTGATGCACCATCGTTGTGGTTCTGAAGTCCTAAGGTTGACAACTTGACCTAGAATCTGCAGAACTGGTCCTGCTGCTGCAGGAATAAAACAAACGAATATAATCCAACGTATGTGTGAACCAGATGACTCATCTCATCAAACGTACCTGTACGGATATGCAGCACTGTCGTCAAACTAGAACGGAATCTTTTAGTGGAACCACCGGTACTTCCACTATCTAGTCTAGGCATCGGGGCGGAGCCTCCTCACAGGTAGGCGGGACTTCCGCACAGGTAACGCCAGTGTGCCTGCAGGTGAGCGGCAGCGGAAGAAGACAGCGACGCATTAAAAAAAGACCGCACACACTCAAACGCTCTGTCAGAAATGACTTTTATAAAACATTTACACTAATATGATCCACTGTTGACATAACATCCACCATGGGGAGTTTAGGTAAGTTGACCTTCACGTGTATTTCATTGTCGTGGTAGAATAAATGTTGCGGGCGAAAGCGTTTTTAGGCGTGGTCTGCGCGGTAGTCAACTGAGACGTAACGTGGAAAGGGTTTTTTTTCTCTCTCTCTCTCTCTCTGTTGTTTGAGTGACAAAACACAGTGTGATATCTTAGTATTTCCGTTCATCAATGGAAACAGTTCCAAATACTGTTTGAGCCTCGCGTTTATTTTGGTAGTTTCCCCTGAATGAAAATGAAACTTTCCTATATGATTCCTTGTGGCGTTGTAGTGGCACAATATGACTCCCACTGTGAGAATTTTAAAAAAACGTAATTGAGTGTCAGACATCAAACAGGATAATATCAGATATCAGTAATTAACAGAGAAACAGAGAGAAGTCATATCTGAATAAAGGATACATTAGTTAGTTACCACGTCACAATCTTAATTCTATCAGTGTTTCTATGTGAGCTATGGGGGTCGTCGTGGCGCAGGGGGTAGAGAGGGTGTGCTGGGAACCGCAAGGTTGGTGGTTTGAGTCCTGGCCGCCTCATGTCTCAAGTTGAAGTGTCCCTGAGCAAGCCAACTAACAACTAAGTCGCTTTGCATAAAAGCGTCAGCTAAATGATGTAATGTAATGATCACGTGCAGCAAACCGTCAATATTGTGACCAAAACAAAGTGGCCTTTTTGTTCAGCTGCATATGGTTTGAATGAGATAGACCGGAGGACGATATGTGTTTCTTCCTTACCCTTGGGGCCGGTTCAATGTGGGGGGGGTGACGATGTTTAAAATACCCAAACCAAAGCTTTGTCCTGGTTATGGTTGAGTGGCTTCCTCAGAGGATGGAAGGAAAACAAGAACAAGCAACACAATCCCCCTCAGACCTCCGTCCCTGAATTTCCCGCTATTGCTGCAGCCTCTGGCAGCACTGCAGGGGGGTGATTGGAAGTGTTGTCATGGTGTACTAAACATGGGCTCGCTTTTTTAATTTTTTGCTCTGCTGAAACCACAGGATGACAATGTACTGCAGTTACATCTCGTCCACATTAAATCAACTTCTGTGTGCTTTTGTCGACAACGCTGACCCTCACACAGCTGGTATTTAAATACAGTCCGATGCCTCGGTGTGATAATATGGACTGGTCATAAACGCTTTGTTATGCATTAATTACACATCTTGTCGGCCTAAGTCACAATGTTCAAAACAAAAGTTAAAATATCACCTTTCTGCCTCCTCCAGGAGTATGTTGTGCCAGCCTCAAGGACAACAAGGCCCTGATGAAGATGGGACTGGGGCTGGTACTGGTGGGCCACGTTAACTTCCTTCTAGGAGGGCTGGTGCACGGCGCCATGCTCAGGCACGTCAACGTGAACGCGGAGGCCCGGATCCTGGTGTACGCCATCTCTAACGTCATTGCTATTGTGGCAGGCTTGGTGGTAAGTGGTCTGAAATCATGAATATCTCCAAAGCAAATTGATATTTTTATAGCGGCCGGTGGTTTGAAACAGGTTTTTAGTAATAGTGTGGCATCCATATTTGTGATAAAAGACCTGTTTTGTTCCTGTTGGACTTCTTTTCCACTTAGGGAACTATCGGTGGAATAATTGCCATTGTCCTGTCCAAAAACAAGAGGAACAAGATCCTGGTAAATACTGCTCCCCCTCTTCTCCATTTAGCACCCACACAGTCATTTGCAAGCTCTTGTCAGGACCTGCCCTCCTGTTTTTTGATTGAGTGCACGAGCGTAAACATACAGAAGATGATATCTGCAGCAACAGGCAGCCTCCCTTTTCTACTACTACTCGACGATGTTATTTTGTCGGGAGGAAAAGTCTCTTTCACACAGCAGGTCCGGCGTTGTGTTTTCCCTAACGTCCCGTGGTGTTGTGTCCTCGCAGCAGTGGGTGCTGCTGGTCTTCAGCTTCCTGGCGGGCCTCCTGTCCATCACCTGCACCGTTGGCTTGTTGGTTGCAGTGGTGAAGGCCATCATCAACAAAGGCAGCAACCTGCTGACACACTGCAAGTTTTCTGGGCAGGATTACGGCTCTTCCAGCATCACATACGAATGCCCCTTCGACCCCACCCGGATCTACGTAAGCGCGACGTAGATATTATCTGCTACGAAAGACTTTTCCATCAGCAGTTTTTGTATTGACTTGAAACACTGCAAAAAAAGAAGACAAGGTGTTCATGTGTCGTCGTCTTTTTCATTTCTTTAATCAACCAGAGCACCACGATCATCCTGTGGGTTCTGCTCATCTCGATGTTGGTGGTGGAGATGGTGTTCTCCTTCCGCTGCTTCGCTGCCTGCACTTCATTCCTCTACCTCTGTCCATGCAGGAGGCGGCCGATCCGGGGCATTAGGGTAAGTATCTGCTCCATCGCCTTTGTTTGCCCCGCCAATCTCACCGTGTCACATATACACACACAACTATCCTTTCATTTAGCCAGTTGCCTTGGTTTGAATTTCCAGCCGCGCAGCCACGGTGAAACTCCATCACTGCCTCCGGAGCGAAACCTGGACAGCGACGCCGAGCGAGCCGAGCCCGCGGAGCACATGGAGCTGCTGGAGGACACGGCAGCGCAGCAAAGCTCGTGGCTCTGAGGCAGCGGAACCTAAAGAGAGAGACAGACAGACGTGTGGCAAACCGCTGGTCCCGCCTGCATGGAACGAAACGTCGGGAGTTTTGGTATTTAAGAGTCTGTTACAGATGAAATATCTAAAAAAGATATGTCTTAAGGCAGAAATGGCATTTCGCTCAGATAAAGTACTACCATTGTTTTGTTTTTTTAAGATGTGTGATTTTGTGTGTGTGTACTTGGTATGGTCTTGAAAATAAATACAGAGCACCTGCATCTTGAATCTATCGCTTTATCAGAACCCGTAAAATTTTATCAACTCTTTTTTTGGAAGAAATTAGGAGAACAAAGCTACTTCACTTTTCTGGGCAATTTTTATTGGTGTAAAAAAGGGGTTGTCAACGCACACTGGGATCTGTCAGATTTAAACAACACTTTTGAGAATACAAATATATACACAACAAATGCATTCTGGCATTTGTCTCCCATTTTAGATTAATACACTCTGGATATTTAAGTCCAAATTAGCTCTGACGGCAGCAATTATGGGATCCAAACTGTATTTTGCGGCAGGAATCCCAAAAAGACAAAGCTGTCAAATGTTTAAAGGACACATAGTAAATTACAACCTAAAATATAAAACTGTAATTTCAAGTTTATTGTGCCTTGTTAAAAAGGTGTTCAGGTACACTCGACCCTCTTGACCACTCGGTGACTTTAGCAGACAAAACCAGTGACACAAATGTATTACAGAAAAGGATCTATTGCATTAACATGCTTCAACTGCATTTTTAAAGACATGACAAGTCATAAAGACAAAACAAAGTAGCCAAAATATCTATGATTTAAATAAGTTAAATCCATCAGATATATAAAAGCATACGTGTGCTAAGCCATTTTTACAGAGTTACGTCACGGGGGATAAGCAAAAAGATTAATAATAAAAAAACGAGAAAGCATACAAAAAACAACAATACTCCGTTGAACCTCAGTCCATAAAACCGGTACAGTTGAAAAGGTGTCCTAGAAAACATCTGGATCCCCATCCCATTTGGGGGGGGGGGGGTGGGGGTCTCATTACAAAGATACAGTTCTTCACTGACTTCAACAGCAGCAGCCCAGAGAGAAGGATTCAAAACAATCTTGCTTTAAGATGTGTCCCGATCAGTTGCCATGGCGTCATTGGCTGCTGAGGACCTCACGGTGTCTTGGACTCCTCTTTTGGCCTAAAAAAGGACATAATTAACACACACACACAATAAGCCAACGTGATGAACAACATGGGTCAATAAGCGCGTGCACGGTTTTCTCACTTTGAAGTGTCCATTTTCTCCTCCTCCGGCACCTTCTCTTCTTCTTTTACTTCTATAAAATAAAAAATAAATTCATAGTAGTAATAATACAGCCTGAATGATAGGATGATCCAACTTAAAATTATGTTCTTATCAAATAACATGAAGACAAGGGAATGGAAGTGTAAAAATACATTTAAAAAAATGGATAAATACCTTTTGTTTCCTCCTCACCTTTCTTCTCTTTTTCTTCTCCCTCTTTCTCTCCTTCGGTTTTGGCTCGTTTGACTTTCTTGAAGCTGGCTGCGTTCCTGCGGCCTCCTTCGCCTTCATCCTCCGAGTCAGAGAACTCCTCCTCACACGCTATCCTTTTGTCGTGAGCGCGGACTGAACACAGACAAGTAGGGGAAGGGTCGAATCAAAACTATGAACTGCGCCGTTTCCAGAGATGCAGATTCATTCTGATTGAACATCAGGACTCAGCGTTCTTACTAGAGATGCGTTTGTTGGGGTCCTCCTCCTCCTCGTCACCGCTGTCCTCCTGCACGGCGTCCTCGGGGATGGCCTGCATTTGGACCCCGGGGGCGTGTGGCAACATCCGCAAGTTCTCAAACAAGCGCTGCCTAGAAGACAGAAAGCAGGTTGAACTTAAATTGGGACACAAACCTGTCTACGATGTAGAATGTGGTCACTTCAACCTTTTCACAAAACAAGTTTAAAAACAAACAAACTCACTTGATCTTCTCCAGATAATCATTTGTGTTCTGATTGGTCATGTTGGAGGGGCTGATGTGCAGCTTGAAGTCTGGTCCGAAGTACTCGAAGTAGTCGTTGTATGGGAGCTCTGTCGAGTCAATTTTTTTCACAGATTAATTGTTATAAAAGTTATTTTACCATTTGTATGAGGCTACTATAAATTCTCTCTATTTTCTCTCCCTTCTCAGATAAGCAACTAATGATACATAAAATATATTGTGGTTTCATGGTCAATGGACATGGTGATAAATAATTCATCAATATTTAATTATTGAAAAAACAGTCTATTATCAGCTCTCAAAAATAAAAAAATAACGATTTTCCATGTAGAATTGGCATGAAAGACTGACCGTTGGGGATGGAGGTGTCGAGGGCCACTGCAGTCTCATATGTCCAGCAGCGTGCCACATTACGGATGGTGTAGCCTCCTCCACCCAGCATCAGCAGTGGCAGGTTGAAACTCTTCATGTACTCCACACACTTGGCATGGCCTGAGCACAGCACGGGGAGAGAAATTCAGTTTCTCAGTTGTTGTTTATATTTGCTTTCAGTGCAATCAGCAAAGTGGTGTTAAAAAATGACCTTTGATGGTGAGGTTAAAGCAACCGAGCCGGTCCCCTGACAGAGAATCGGCTCCACACTGCAGAACCACGGCGCTGGGTTGGTACATCTCCATCACCTTGGCCATGATCTGCATAAACAATCATCAACGCTCTCAAATTCTGCTGTCCACCCGAGGGAGACGTCAACTACAGAAAAACCACTGACAACAAGCCTTTGTTTACTCACAGGTCTAAAGATGGCTTCATACGACTCGTCGTCGATGCCATCCCTCAGCGGGTAATTCACAGCGTAATATTTACCCTTACCGGCTCCGATATCCTGCAACGAACGAGGGAAATGTCAACTCACTGTATGAAAAACGACGATGGAAATGGGGGTTAAAATTATTCCAGGCTCACCCTCAGGTCACCGGTGCCAGGGAAGTACTCCCCGTACTTGTGGAAGGACACAGTCATGACACGGTCTGTGGTGTAGAAGGCCTCCTCCACACCGTCGCCGTGATGGATGTCAATATCTATATACAGAACTCTCTGGTGGTACCTGGAGAGACGAAACAAAAGGTCAAGGACTCCCTAAAACGCTCAATCTATCTTAAGGAAAACTTTGCGCCGTCTTTCGAGGTATTCAAATGATGCATTTTAAATAACTTCTGAAAACAAATGTGCCCGTTTAAGATAACGACCAGGCCCTTAACTCATTAGTTTCCTAGACAGACATTTTTGATCAACCACGAGTCCCAACCACTCGTGCTAAACAAACCGACCCCTGTGTGCACGATGGGGCCGCTGCACTCACTTCAGTAACTCCAGAATAGCGAGTACGATGTCGTTGACGTAGCAAAACCCAGAGGCCTCGGACTTCTTGGCGTGGTGCAGGCCTCCGGCCCAGTTGATGGCGATGTCTGTCTGCTGCTTGTTCAACTTCACCGCACCAGCTGCAGCACAGAGAAGGATCAACACGCTGCTTGTACCAAATCTTGATATGATTACCGGGGGAAGCGATGGCACAATAACAATAAAGAGGAAAACAAATAATACGTACCGACGGAGCCCCCTCCGGAGAGCTGGCAGAACTCAAACAAACCGTCAAACACGGGACAGTCCTCTCCCACGTTAACTGCAAAGCAGAGAAAGGCAAATTGTGAATACGGTTTGTTTGATGAAAACAATATATGTCAATTAAGCCCTCCCCACTAAACTTACATCTCTGCATTTGTTTGCTGTACTCCGACATGTTGTCCGGTCTAATCGAACGGAGGAACTTGATGTAGTCGTCGCTGTGATACTTGGTCATCTCTTCTCCGCTGGCTTTGTGCGGACGCTGAAACAGGAAAAAGGTGACAGGTCAGTTCCTGGGAGACGCAAGACGAGAGGGTGAAGCTCCGTGACTGTAGCTCATCGTACATATATCTCCATCTTTCTGTAGAGTCCATAGTTGAGCAACAGGTTGTGAGTCATGCGGATCCGGTGGGGCTTCATGGGGTGCCCCTGCCCGTAGTAATAGTTTCCAACATCACCTGGAGGGGTGAGGGGGGGGGGAGAAGAAGAAAATAAACACACAAGTTTATTTCACATGCAAATGTACACACGGGGCAGGCAGCGATCACCGAGGAGAGGACTTCCGGCTCGGATCGGGTTTACGCGCTGAAAGGTGTCCAAACATCAACCACCGGTAAACACCGAGGTGCCTCCGTGAAACTACCGATGAGCCCGGCTACACGTACACGGCGGCGCTTTGCTGCTTAAACGTCGATTAACGTCGATGAAAACGTAAACCCAACGCCGGCAGGGAAGATGAGCAATTTTAACGTAGAGGCTCGAACGTCAATGCCCCCCCGCCCCCCCCATTGTTAGCTCGTTAGCTAGTGACCCGAACTAAATCACGCTACAAATCTAATGAAAAAACTATCATCTGCTACGAAAACGCATCGGAAACACATCTCGACTGGCAAGCCGCGCGCGACATCGACACCGTGCGTGTATTTGGCGACGCTCGCTCCACCGCGATGAGGGGAAAGCCGCCTGCTACTCAAGCTAGCCCGGCTAGCCAGCTAGCTAGCGCGCCGTGCTAGCGAGTTGGGGGAACAAACGGAAGCCTTTCGGTGCGCGCGAACTGTGCGAATTCGGTTCACCCGCGGCTCCGCTTCGGTGAAGTAACCGCAGGCGAGTACTCACCGTCGTAGTAGTAGCAAACTTTCTTCTTTGTTCCTTGAGAAGTAAGCGCCATTTTAGCGCTTTTTTTTGTGTGGCTGGCTTGTCTTTCACCCCCCCACTCGCACACCGCAGGAGACAACAGCGACAAGAAGCGGATAGTTTGTATCACGTCCAATCAGAGGGGAGTAATACCGGCTGCTTCCGGCAGGGAGCGAGCGAGTCCTCCCCTTACTCCTCCTCCTCCCCTTCCTCCTCTTCCTCCTCCTCCTCAATGTCGATGCTTGTTTGACACCGTTGAACTAACGTTACCCGTTAACTATATAACGTATTAAAGGAAGTAAAGCCACAATGTGCAAACTCAATTACAAGTGCAGGAGAAGTCAAATGCACTTACAAGTACTGTTTCTGCAGCAACGTGCTTCCCCTAGTATCGCATTAACTTCTATAGCCTATTCATTCATATGTTTTCAGATTCTGAGAGATTTATGTACCAATGTGTGCAGCCTTTTAATAATGCAGATGTTCCAGGTGGAGCGGTGTTCATTCTTTATAAAGGCCCAAATGTGCCCAGAAGTATAACGTAGAAAAGGAAAGTAAATGAAAGTACTGAGAAGCAGAACAAGTAGTAGTAGAAGTAGTTCCATATTTTTAAAAAAATACAGTCCTCTACTGCTTGAGAGACGTGCACAATCACAAATACATATTTTTGGTAACTGGGGAAAATGTTGCCAACTGGACACAAGATCAAAACTACAATTTCCAAAATTTAGTAAGATTGTATTTAATACATGTGTATAACAAAGAATTCAAACATTTTCTTCAAACAATCTTGCATTTTTGTATTATGAAATAATGAGCAAAATTGATCTGCCGAGGTAAAACACAGATGAAGCACTTTGAGGGTATTTACATCTTGGTTGCATGGCGCTCGCTATCCGTTCGCTATCCGCTCTGCAGTGATCCAGCTCTCACGGGACTGTCCAATCTGGAGACTATCTAAGAGCACGTTTGGGTGATCACAGTTTCAATATCAATATAACGGCACGTCCTCTTTACAAACAAAGGGCAAACAATAGCCACCCTCCATCTCCAAAGGCTTCGCCTTCAGTTTAGTCTGATGTGCGTCCGCCGCCCAACCGGAGCTATTCCTGGTACTGCCTCTCTGTGGCAGTGAAGAAATCTTCCAGAACGCTCTTCAGGTACTCAAAGGTGGGCCTGTCGTCCGGGTTCTCCTTCCAGCACAGGCCCATGACGCCATAGAGTCCATCTGAACAGTTCTCCGGCTTCGGCATTCTGTAGCCCCTCTCGAGGTTCTGGATGACCTCCGGGTTGGACATACCTTAAAAACAAGTGAAACACTTCTTATTTGAGTATTTTTATAAACGGACACTGCGATGGAGGGGCATGGGTACAGTTCACGAGTGCTTACCAGGGTACGGTATGCGTCCATATGTCACTATTTCTGTCAGGAGGATGCCGAATGACCACACATCTGATTTTATGGAAAAGGTGCCATAGTTGATAGCCTCTGGGGCTGTCCATTTGATGGGGAACTTTGCACCTGACACGGGAAGAGCGACGTGAGACACATCATATGGCCTGAAGATGAGGATGAGCATGCGAATTCGCCGACGCTGTTTTACCCTCTCTTGCTGTGTATTCGTTGTCCTCGATCAGCCTCGCCAGTCCAAAGTCGGCAATCTTGCAGACGAGTTCACTGGACACCAGAATATTGGCTGCTCTCAGGTCTCGATGAATGTAGTTTTTCATCTCTATAAAAGCCATGCCCTCGGCCACCTGCAGGGGGAAGCACACCCTTAGACGGGCCCTGTGACCCTACGTTTCAGTTCGGAGGGACCTGTGGATGTTTTCCATATTGTGTTTGCTGGTCAGCTGACCTCCTTGACCAGGGAGTCTAACACTTCCCCAGCCTACCTCCGTACTCCACCCAGGTACACAGCTGCGCCGGCTCCACTTCCTGATATATGAAAAGCTTGCCGTGCTGCCTGTAGCTCAGTCTCCTGCAAGATTGACGGATAACTCCTGCGACTGCGTGTTTCTGACTCAATCAAACACCGCGTGGGTCACCTCGACATCGGCAGAACTCAGAGGGAAGTTCATGCTTCGCATGATATCATAAGGTTTCCACAGAACTCACAACGCATAGTTTACGCATCTGGGCCTTTTGTGAACGTTTTTTATAGTTCAGGCTCAAGAATCTATGACGTAGGTGCAAATGGCCCCGAGGGTCTCGTCACAAATGTGTGACCTACGTATGTCTGTCTTCTGTTGTCACGACTCCCCCGTCGGGCAACTTGACACCTATTCACCTTCCGTTTGATTGTGGTGCGACTCAATCCGAAACTTTAAACCATTACTTTGCGTTCGTTGAACTATTTAACTAAAGCACGTTTCTTTAGCAGAGATGAGGATGTGGACATCGTCCAAGACCAGATCAAGGCCATCAATCATTTTGATTGTTATGGTACATCACGTGATGGTGGGAGATTTTGTCTTCGCTGGCTGAAGAATCGCTTGTCGTGTTCAACTGTAAAGTTTCAGTCTCTCATCCTGTGGTTTTATTTTCCATTCCCACGCTCACAATATATGTAAGTTCCTTTCCTTGCAGGTATACATTTTGAGAAGTAGATGTGAGCGTGATTGTTCTTATAGAACTAGATAGGAGCATTGATATCATATCATATTGATCATATTTTTACGCTCAAACAGAAGCCAAAGCCGGTAGCTTGGCCTAGAAAAAAGGGTCTTTCAACAACTAGGCAGTTAAAAGTGCATCACGTAAAAAACATTAAAAACATCTAAAAATAAAGCAAGAAGATTTAAAAACAGTCAAGAACATTGTTTGTGCTGAAACAAGCTAATGTTGAATTATCCCTTCAACTTGCAGACCCGATCCTTTGTGGAATTTTACATTTCCCAACATTGTTTTTCATACGGGTGACAGAACACGACGGGTGTCACATCGGCGAAGCTGTGACCGAGCGTCTTACTGTATTTGTAGAGAAATTAAGCGGAAGAATCTGCATAGTGTGCAGACAGTACATGGTTTTCCTTGTGGTGAATTTGTCTTTTTTTAATCCACTAATTCGGGCTTTCATTATACAACAGTTTTATTTGTGCCAAAATGTTGACATCGGAGTTCACGGCAATACACACACACACCTCTGCTCACACACCTGTGGTTGTTACACGATTGTTGAGTGCAAGCTTTGTTTCAACAGTAGCTCATTTTTCAGTCTATGAGTATCGCGCTGAGAGAATAGGAAAGGGAATCCGGTAAATGACGTATGGAGAGAAGTATGGAAATATTAACAGTAAAAAAGAAAAATAAAGATTTCTTGCCTGCGCCGCCATGTCAATCAGAGTGTTCATGGGTAAAGTGCCTCCCTCTGCTGTTTTGAGGTAATCCACCAGGCTTCCTGGAGAAAACAACATTCAAGACTTTGCTCAACGATATGAATTCATATTATAAATGATGCCACCACAGCTGACGGAATTTAGCAACCTACTTGTGCAAATTATGAACTGGTTTACCACCATCAGTGCAGCCATAAATACATCACAGACAAACCAAAGCCGTGCTTTGTCAACAACAATATTTTCCTTGTCATGACCCCCCCTTCCCCGACATAAATAGACAGTCGGACCGGAAATAGCATTTCAAATCAGAGAACATAACATTTTGAGGAAGTACACAGGACATCTGTCATGTTGATGCAAAGTTTCTGACAACATATTTTGTGCTGCGTTAGATTAGCAGAGAACAATACCTCTGCATGCCAGCCAAAAGTCAAACCAAAGGAAATAAGAGGAATGAATGTCGCAGGAAAGAGGACGCCTTCAGTCCAGAAGCTTTAGAAGTCTGAGAGCCAGAGGATCGCTCTTTGTCGAGGTCACAAAGGGAAGCTGGGATGACACGCCTGTTATTTTCCATCTTTGTTGGCTCCAACAATTATTTTTTTTAAAAAGGTCAAACTGGAAAAGACGGGCCCTTCGAGCCATCCTTTCTCTTGACAACAGAGGCGGCGATTGTGTCCTGTCCACACGGGGACAGCGGACAAAGAGGCGGCCTCGTGTAGGGCCGCTGCTGGTGGTTTACAGGCCGCTCATGCAAGACAAAGGCACTCCATTCAACACAGCTGGAAGGCGGTTGCTTTGCTTGTGACGGCATCTCTCCGTGCATTTTGTAGTGTTCATCCCAGGGAGAAAAACAATTAGAAAGACTTTTGTAATTATTTAAGGGAAATGGATCACTTTTACGCGTATGCTGCATTTGGGTCCAATAAAGTATTTGTTTACAGCTGTTACCACGTCTCCGTTTTATTAACTTGTGTTTGTGAGTTGCAGCACTCTCACACCTACTTTGCTTTGTAATGTTTTAGCTTAATAGGGTTCATGTCTGTGGACACACGTGTGTAATGCAGACTTCGGGATACAGGCTGGAAAATAGCCAAGTATCATAAAGGCTTCTGGGTGAACAATAACCTTGTGAATCACCCTCTCCTTGACACCTCCTCGACGCAGACGGGCCGCGGGAGACTTCCCCTCGGTGAGTAAACACCACGTAACCTGTCTGGAAAAGGGGCCCGGAAAAGAAGTCAAAGTTCATGTTTGCTCTGAACCCATATTCAGCAAAGAGCGGCGAATGCGGGAGCGCCGTGGGGAGAGGCCGAGAATAGCAGGCCACTTCAGCGGAGCGGCGTGCTTCGGGAGGAGAAGCATCATGGCCTTCCCTTCCTAAATTTAGGTTTGCTCCCAGAGCGGCATTCGCGTCCAATCGCGATTGATGATTGTGCGCTATTGTTCCAGTAATGTGCACCTCATATCATTTCCATTAGTTAACACGGACGCACAAGGAGGCAGCTGTGGTTCTGCGAACAAAAGGCGTTCAGGTAATTCAACGGAGTCACGTCTGAAAACACAGTGACTCACGAAAAGGTCGAAGCACTCACTGGGCAGACGTTGTCTTTAGTTTAAGGATGTGCTCCGGCAACCTCAGTGCGGTACGTGTTTGGTCCTGAACGTCTCCCACTCACCGCTGTCTATAAAATACTTTCTTTGTCTTGATCGGGGCAGCAGATTATCGAAGAAATAAGTTTCAGACAGGTTTGGGCGTATTCCTGATGACTAGACTGAACTGAGTTGGTGTGATGACAGAAAAGATATTTTTTTTGATTCAGCTTGGAATGAGCATTCCTTTCACAACGATACCCTGGGACCAAGCTCATCCATGTCCTCAGAGGCTTTCGGTGATGAAATTCCCTCATGATGGTCGGTGTTATTAGCAAAATGCCGCATGCTGTGACACGTCTACAGTATTTCTACCCACCATTTTCCATGTACTCCGTGACAATATAGATTGGCTCCTGGGTAACGACGGCGAAGAGGCGTACGAGGCACGGATGCTGCAGGTTCTTCATCATGTTGGCCTCTGCCAGGAAGGCTTCCACTGACATTGTTCCCATCTTCAGGTTCTTAATAGCCACCCGCCTGTCGTTGTTGTAGATACCTGAGAAGATACATACATTTCGATATCAGCGGGCCATTGAAAGACATCCATAAGAAGAAGGCATGAACTATTGCATTGTACATAACAGCTTGTAGGGTTCATACATATCGCTATCATGCCAATCAAACCCACAGCAACATCCTCAGTCATCCAACAAGGCCAGCATCGCACACCGTGCGTGAAGCATAGCAATAGGAAAAGATTGCATTCACTACTCAAAGCATTCCTCCATATTTATTTGTTAATTTACAAGAACAAACACCTAATAGCAAGTGACAGTCCCATTACTCAAGCAGGTAGTTTATTTAACCAACGTTTGGATGAGGACAGAGAAACAAATACAATGCCAGACGCCATGCAAGAGGATACTGTAAATAGAAAGTGGCTGTGAAATGAGACCACGTTCCATGGTTGGCAATGTTTATCTCTGGTACAGCGGTTGTTTGGCATGAGGTATTTTGCTGGCAAATGCGAATGGAAAATAAAAGGGTAAATACCCGTCCAATTGAATAATAAGGGGATTGTGGTACAGATCATTTCAACTGATATCCTCGTGCTCCAAACATAGTGCCTTCTTGTTCGGGAATCATTCCTCCTGTCAGTTAAGTCTTTGGAAATGTATATTTTGAGTGATGTTGCATTACGTGTATAACACAACTCATCATCCTCCAGTTAACCAACTCATACAGGCCTACAATTATGAATGTGCTGTGGAAACTATTCTGCACAAACTGCAGAAAAACCCTGGCTCAAAAATATTCAAACTCCTGCGCACAAAATGGAAATCTCTGAATTGACGGCATTTGTAGTCCATCCCACCTCCACATGTCCCCCCTGTCACTTACCCATCCAGACTTCCCCAAACTGTCCCGCTCCGAGCTTTTGCTCCAGCTTCAGGGACTCTCGGGGAATCTCCCACTCGTCCTGCCACCAGGGCTTTTGCGGTGCCCTCGACTGACACGGCTTCATCAGCTTTGTGCACAACCCGTCTGCCTCGCCTGGACGACAAAGAGAGGGGGGGGTTAAATATCGCTGCAACGAAGACCCCCGGCCGCGAACCTTCATTAGTGCCCTCAGCGGGCCGCACGCACGTGAGTGATGCTGGACGAGCTCCTTCAGCGAGCTAAAGGAGATCTTGGCTGTGATGTAGAAGCCACCATTGTCCATGTTGCGGATTCTGTAGTGCTTTACTCCTTCCCCGGTGTCGTGGTCTAAGTCCCTGATCGAAAGGGAATATGAACCTGGAACAAGGAGGAAGCACGTCCTTCTGTGATGTGATATCTTAACATATTATGGAACAGTGGAAGGCCTTCCTCAAATATGCTGCTGAGAAACTACCATGTGCGCAAATAGAGTTTAATTGTGTTAAAAGTTCACCTTGGGTCGTCTCACTCTCTCGAATCAAGAAGGAGCCCAGCGTGTTCCCAGGAGACAAGAGGAGCCTCATGGCTTCGTTTCTAGAAATGTTCTTAAAGAACCACCTGCAGCACAAGCACACGACATGCATCACACTTTGAGCTAACCACTTCCCCTTGGCCCGGGGACACAGCGTGCACGGTGCGAGTGAAGTGCCGTCGAGAGAGAGGCATCATTATGTTTTCTGTGCGACGTACGGTTCGGTCTCCACTGTGGTCATTGCCACAAAGTTATGCGGGATGTAGCCTCGCTGGCCCGTGATGAGGGACTCCGCCAAATACCACTCTGGATCATCCCTGGATGTGAAAAGAGACAGCAGTGAGTGAGTTCACATGGGGGGAACGAATACACAATCACTGCAAATGAAAGGTGAAAAGGTAGGTAACATAAATGTCTAGGCTATGTAGTTTGGACATTCATAGGAGAGTTCTCCCTTGAATCAAAACCATGATATTCTTAAAGATATCTTCCAGGCAACAAAGTGGTAAAACCAATTCTGACTGAATGAACTAAAAAAGACTCCATTAGAATCTGATGTTTGTATGTATATATGCACTCCATAGATAAACTCTTTACAGTCCATTAAGGTTCTGTCTTTATTTAATAGTTAAGAGTAGAGAGACGGGAAACTTGAAGCCGCAGTAAGGGGTGCTGCTGACATGCAACACATCCCCGGGCAGGAAGCTGAATGCATGACACGTGCCTTCTTTCATCAGATATAAACGGCTCTTTAGTGCAGGCTAGAGCGCACGGCACGGAGCTGGCACCTACAGCGACATTTTTTGAGCGCTGCTCTAATTGGCGGAAGGACTACCGTGGGTGGTTGTCCTGCGAATAGCGACAACAGCAACAAGGTCAAAAATGACACCTCGTTTTTTTTTTGTTGTTGTTGCCTGAATACACTGAAAAACGACCGGGCTCATGTAAAAGTCCCCGGGTCACCTTGAAGACCATGTGGCTGTTTTGATAACTAAGTGGGCACGGATGTCCCTGGCATCACATATTGTCCTTTACTAACTAGCCGAGGCTTTTCAGCTGGTGGTACAAATTCTTGTGTTTTCTACCGAGCTCTGGACCAAATTTATTTCAATCAGCAGCTTACTTGTTGATGATCTTGAGCGTGTCTCCCTTCTCAAAGCCCAGGTCACCATCATGGGTGGGTTCATAACTGTATATGGCCACCACAAGGTTGTCTGCAAGAGGGATGTCTTAAGATTTTGGCAAACAAAACATGAATGAAATATATTGATACATTTTACACAGCCAATGTTGTGTGCTGGTTGTTTGGATCCCGTGCGATCTGATATTTTGACAAATGGCTGTCGCTAAAGGCTCGATGGCAACGTTGAATGGAAGTAGTGGGACATTTCTACTATATATACAGAGCATGTATATATGTGTATACATGTCCCGTGTGTACAAATTGTAAAATCCAAAATTACGAATCCCAAATTTGCCTCAGAGGGTCTTACAATCTGGACGCATTTACTTACTCGTATGTATATATACATATACAGAAATAGATTTAAAAAAAAAAAAAGAATTGTGGAAAAAAGAAGAAAGCAGATTACACACTAAAATATTTATGGGATATTATTAAAACAATAAGGGAGATTTTGTCAAGCAAAGCGTCAAATGTTGAGGGGGGAAAATATAAAGCGCATTTACTAGAATAACTTATTTTAATAACAAATTTAGTGGAGATGGGAAAATTCTAAGCGTATCAATATACAACATATTTAAATATAATTCCATTATGTAGCCAATCCTATTATAATACAAACCATTCATATTCACTTATTTACTACTACTTATATTCACTAAAATACATTTGCTTCATAATAATGCCGTTCTGTTTTTCCACATTTCCCTTTAGTTTACTGCCACTGCTTGTCCTGTAGATAAATGAAGACCTGCTGCATCGTGTTACCTGGTAAAGGAGATGTAGGAGGTGAATGCTGTGCTGGGTATGGAGTCAGCTGGTCTGTGTACTAGTGAAGGAATTACAATATTAGATTCACAACTTAATCTGAACTTTTCAACAAACACCAGAAGATTGATGCGCTAAAACAAGACACCAACACACACCAGTAAAATGTCACCAGTGACATTTTTTTTCTCCCAGACAAAATGTCTCGACCTATTGTAGCACACGCAGGTGGCTTCCCCCGTTATTTTAATCTAATAGGACATCTAACTCATGCAGAGGATCCAAACCACTCTGGAAATAATCTCTCTCCCACTACATCAAACGCACAACTGAGAACTTCAAAATGTTTCTGGATTCAAACATACAGAAGGGTGACGCTTTATAATTTACACTTAATGAACCGTGGGAGCACTTGTTGTGTTCACACCATCCCACTGGTACCGTGGGCGATCTATAATGATGACCCACGAGTGGGGTCATTCACATTCAACCGCACTGTAACCCAAACCCACTCACGTTAATCTCACTCCCTCACAGACAGACTCTGATTCATTCATGCGCTGCAACGTGCCACAACGCACATTGACACTTACTGGATTGCATGACTGGGGAGGTATGGGACAGCTGCAGTGCTCACAGATTTCATCCAGGTTCTCCATCCACTCCCCGTCTGAGTAGTCCGAACTGCAGTTACATCCCATGTTTTCTGCTTTCTCTTTTTAGGATGAAATTAAGGTTTAGAGTTTATCATACGATATTGATTAAAGCTACTCACATTGGAATGAAAAAAGGGCCAGATATTAGAATTGCAGATTCCCAACTCGTGGTTGAGTTTCCTTAAAATCACTGTGATCGGATGGGACAGGGGGCCTCGCTTCAAAATGGAGGCGAAGCGCTTGAATCGAGCCGGAAACTAAAAAACCAACACTTTTAAAAAATCTTCCATTTTAGGACCAAATTTTACACCATTGGAACCTGCACACACCGGCCCACTAGAGCCCGACCCAGAGCTGTGTCACACAGCGACACCGCCGTTGCCACCTGAAGCATCGCACATAGCGAGCGGCACATGTTCCGACTCTACTTCGGGCCTGAGAAGCAGGCTGCACGAAATCTTGTGTAATCCGACGACGCGCGCGCCCCATTGTGCTTTACACCGGTGCCCTGCACGCATGGGCTTTCTCGAGCTCACTTGGCTGCTGTTGGGCCGCTCCCAGAACAGGGTCAGTGGGCTAATCGCCCCAAAGGCTTTAGAGCTGTGAGAAAAATGTGGAGAGGCCTGACCCGGCGATAACAATAACAGGCCGCCAGTGTACTGCGACCCCAAGCAACGACATCACAGTAATCCACCAGGGTATGAAGAGGTTTTTCTTATTATTATCATCAGTGCTGCTACGCCGAATGGCCAACACTCAGGGGGGCTCAGATGAAGTCAGAATTTTCCATTGAGGGGCTTCCCTCTTCTTTTTGTGATCTGCAGCTGATGGCCTTTATAAAGAGCCTTCCTTGTGAGACTGACCAAAGACTTCTAGCTTTGGTCAGTGAGTAAACTAATAATCTGCAGTTTCCTGCAGAAATGAAGAAGGCTGCGAGAAGCTAAATGAATAAAAGAGGCTTTGTTAAACTTTTGTTTGCTTCAATTTTGATGTTTCACACTGAGATATTGTATTATCACGTACATTATCTTACACAAAGTTACCACGTAATTTAAAAACACATACATGTCTGAAGTTTATATTTTAATTTTTAACCCCCCTTTTTTATGTTTTAGTTTTTTTAACAGATTTTTTTCAACTAAGAAAAGGACACAACCAGCATCGGCTTTGTGTTTATGTTTATATCATGTAACCCCAAGAACAATTTAAAAGGATTTTTACCTGATTCTGGGTTTGGACATTTTTCTTCTCCATATATCAATTTATATATATTTTATAAAATTCAAAATATTTTCTCAACAAAGCTTCTGATTTTTTCAGCATACTTGATACAACACATGTGATGATAATAGGTTAAGGGTTTACAGTAACCGTCTTTTTATTACTATTATTATTATATTTTGAACCTATGTAACGCTGATAGATCTTGATAGATAAGTTGGAAACTTACCTCTTGAAATATAAAATGTCTCTTAACGCGTCCAATGTCAGATTTCCTGTACCGCCATAGAGATATTCTTGATTGAACAGTTATCCGGAGCCCGGGTTTCGAGAAATCATCGTCCGCTTCTCTTATTATAACTATCTCTGCGCTCGAGGTGCCGTGCTGTGCGTCTGTACGCGCGCAGATACACACTCAGGAGGAGTGGAGCAGAGCGACTCACAGGGTTTCCTGTCGTTGAAAGGTTGAGGGTTGCTCTGCACGCTTCTAGCAGGTGCTTCACCTCTGCAGCTCTGTGCGAGCAGGAGGAACGTTGTGGGCTCCATGGAAGTAAATGGGTCAGGACAGCACGTCTATCAGCGATGTTTCCAATTCAGTTTTTAAAGGAAAAAAAAGAGGCCATGGTAGGGTTGGTAGGTGAGGTTATGTTTATATTTTTAATTTTTGCGTGTAACGTCGGTGCATCCGTGACCTTTAATCTGAGGAGCATCAACGTAAAGTTAAGGTGAGGTGGGAACTTACCCTGCAAGAGAGTATTTGATAAGGTAGTTTTACAACTAATTATAAGGTAGAACATTTGCAGTGATGTAAATGTCAATACTGGCAATTTGGGACAGGCATATTATCTCCGTAGGCCTCAGGTTCCTATGAAGTCAACCTGCCTATTTTTGTCAATCGCAAATGTGGTTTGTAGCTGTTCTACTTGTGGCCAGCAAACCTTTTTTAAAATAGACTTTGGCCGCGGTTCATGCCACCAAGTCAAAAGTGAAGGGAACTAAGATGAAATGATTCTTAAATATCGCACGCACAGAGGAAAAGAACCAAACAAGTGTCACGTAGTGAATGAACCCCCCACCCCCTCAGGCCAAACCATCATTTTATTCACGGGTTCAAAGCCGTTCACTTTTAAGCCCCCGGAAGGACACATGAACAAGGGTCTCTCAGGATGCACACACTCAGACACTATACGCTGGTGCCTTTCCTACCTTATATATAGGCAACTCCGCTGTGGGCCACCGCTCTTTTCTTGTGGGGAACGGCTGCTGCTACAGAGCCGGCGCGGGCAGGAAGTCAGACCAAACATTACAGGAAGTGCACAGACGTGTGTGCTAAGACGCCATAACGCAGATCGTGTCTCACTTGATGAAATTATTTTTCCGTTGAAGCACAGAGATTGTGAGGGTGGGTGAGGCGGTTTAGCTTTTTGAGGGGAGAACGTTTGATATTGATGTTATGTTTCAGAGTTTTTTACCGAGCTAGTTTAAATAGCCCGTCGTCCAAGCGTATCACATCTTTCTTGCAGGACAGAATTTTATGCAACACAAATTTAATACGAAGGGAAGATAAAAGAGCCTAATTGTTTCTGGAGATCTGCTTTCTCCTGGCCCCTGTGAGGCTTTGAGGGTATTCCTACTTTCCTTTGGACCACAGCTGTCGCTACCTTTCAATGTGGTTGGAAATCAGATTCTGTGACGAAACTGAATCAAGATGCTGTCAAAGCGCGGAGGTTTTTCTTTCCAACCCTCCTGCCGACCCGCTTTGCAATGCAGGTGCTGGCCTCCTTTGTGTGAGCGAGTGCTGCTTCGGTTGTGCTGCTAATGCTTACTCATGTTCATTTTAAAACGGCCCTCTACCCATTCAAACAGCATGCATATTTAAAATTTGTTAAGTGTGAAGACAAACATGGCCGCTTCTGGCCATGCAATGACGTGTGGTACGATATATAAAGTAAAGTTCAAGTGGAACTATCTCCAGGGCAGAGCTGGGTTGAAGCAGAGGTCTGCAGAGCTTTTCTTTCAAAGGCTTCACTGTACAACGGAAGCCTCAAGGTGCGATACTAAGGCCCCTGTTCATTTTCCATATCATCTAAATTTCCATGCTACGGAGGCCTAACGTCTCACACGAGGTCCTCCGTGTCCTGGCGCGTGCCACATAAGAATCCACGCAGTAGCCGCACTCTGTTAAGGCATATTCGATTTCTTGTTCGACTAATTATGTGCAACAATATCTGTGGTTTTGCAAAATCCCCCTGGGGCCACGTTCTTACATTTGGATGTTTCGGCGAGTCGGGAATGTCTCATGGCAGGAAAGAAGAGACCATTGTGCAAGATGGCCTTCTGACCGAGGATGGATCTGATGGAGCACGTGGTGACATTTGACCCCGGATAAGACAAAGAGGAAGTTCTAACCATGACCAATCATTTAACTGCTAATCAAACACCATTTCTGAGTGACAGACCGCTGGTGAGGTTTCTCAAATATTGAGTTGCATGCGCAAAAAAACATTTTGAACGTTTAAGGCATTTCTTTTTATTGTCATTTGTCATAAAGATACATTCATATAGCAGTAGCAGGATTTAACAACGGCACTTAAAGGTTTTTTTTACATTTAACAGTTGTAACCAATGTCTCATATTATTAAACCAAATATCTCATTCATCCTACTTGCCGTTTCTAATAATATAAAGCTATAAAACAAACCGCTGAACTTGCCCTAAATTGCCCAAGCTGCCACTAAGTCACTGTCGAACCACATATATTATTTTAACCCGGGCTCTGCGGCATCTGGATGCGGTAATGGAAAACCAAATGCAAGAGGCATAGTTTCCTGGGTCCTATCACTGCGCTGCTGCGGATATAGAGATATATTTGGTTTGTGAGGAGGAGGCGTAAAAATGCTGGAGAGGGACCTCCCACTTCCTTTGAGGCTACTGGTACTCGTACTTCTTTTTACTCCACAAATAAATGTAATACTGATCTGAAGCAGTAGTTTGCAGTGTGACCTCCTAAAAGAAAACCCATTGATTTCCCCATATCTGATAAAAATTGGTTGCCCCGAACCCTCGGGCCTGACTTACAGTGACCACAAAGCTCCCCCAAGACACCTTCCTGTCTGAAGTCAGCTTCTTCTTCTATAAATTATTTTTCTGCAAAGCAAAACTAGGCGCCCTATAACTGTTTTTCACTTTGGCACAAGTTCAACTTTTTCTTTTGCAATACAAAGCCATTGCTGAAAAGACACAATGCCGTAACTCCGCATCCACCTTTGCATCTCAGTCTGGCTCTTTATCCATCGACTCTGATTAACGTGACTGTGCAAAGAAAAGTCAACAGCAGACCAGCCGGGGCGTAATGCCGCCGCAGGGTGTGCCTGCATTACACTAAGGGAGTGAGCCCCAACAGGTCTGCACACTCAGGCCTCCTCCTGCACGTCAAGTCAGCCAGCGGTCATTTTCCTTTCCACTAATAAATGTCAGTCCCTCTTATTTTTTTTTTCAACACAGTGAGAATCGTCTGGAGTTGATGTTCATCTTGGTGAGGCCCAGGTGCTTGAGCGGCGTGGACAGAGCGAAGGCGGCCTTCATGGGGATGTCGCACAGCAGGTCCGACTCCTCGTCGCACTCCTCCAGCTCGTAGGAGGCATCGTCCAGCATCTCCTTGTGCCGGTCGCACACCTGCTCCACTTTCAGCCGGTGGATCTCCCCGCGCAGGCGGATCAGCTGGCGGGCCAGGCGGTTGTCCTGGACCTGCATCTCCCTCTGAGTGGAGGAAGGGTGGAGGAGAAAGGGAGCATCAGTGAGATTCCACAGGGAAAATATGTGCGACTGGACTGGCGACGCACATCGTGTTGCACAAACTGGCTGTGAGGAGTCATGCTGCTGTGCCCCAGTTTAAAGTTAACATCACTGACACTTGAAGAAGTGATAACAAAGTAGGAAGACAGACATCTATTTCACAAAACGTTGCATGCATGCAAACGTTTTTGTTTGTTTGACAACGGTGTCAGCTGTGCTCAAGGAAAACTCACCAGCTCTTTCCTCAGAAACTCCAAAGCATCGTCGATGGTGTCGAAGCCGCAGATGTTGCGCACCACCAGCTCAGAGTTCCCGTCTCTCAGGATCGTCGGCGCGGGGACGGCTTGTCCCCCGGGGCCCGCGCTGTCCGCCGGGTCCCCCTCCCTCCACGGCCGGTTCTCGACACGCTCCTGCCACTCCAGGTAGGACGGCCTGCGGGTCTGCAACTTCAGCTTCTCCGTGAGCGCCTTCACGCTGTCCAGGTCGCCCGCGTCGCCCTCGGAGGACTCTCCTCCGAGCTCTCCGAAGTCCATCGGAGGGGATGTCCTCGGGGTGGAGGAGGCAGGTGAGGGGTGGGGGAGGAAAGTGGATTTCAAGTTCTCCTTCGGGATCGGGCGGCGCGTGCGATCAGAGCGTCAGCGAGCTCCTTTGGTGCTTTATAGGAGAAGGAGTGACCGCCCATCCCGCAGACAGGCGGGGGGAGCAGGCGGGCTGGACCATTCATTGGCTTCCTATTTTTTATTTATTTCAGGAAGACAGATTTCCAGAAGTGAGGGTGAAAGAGTGCTGTTTTAGTGTATTTCAAATACAGTTATTTTTGTTAATGTGTAGTGTGATAAACGTGTAAGTAGTGGTGGAATAAGTATATTAAGATGACGTTGTACAAGTTACATAACACTAGTACTATTGTATACTAGTAGTAAGTGTACTTTATTAAATGTAAACTTGTATTGGGAATCTCTCATGTGATATATAATGTTTTCTGATCATTTATTATAGTCCTGGTGGGATCTTGTGTATAATTAAGTTCAAGTTCAAGTCCTGATAATAAATAGATTTTCTGGAGATTTGAGAAATGTTCCTCGTATTATCTATTTAGTCGAGAAAGGGCCTCAATGTGTATCAGGATGTTTATGACTTATGACATTATTTTATCGAAAGATGATATATTATCATATTCAATTGTTGGCCACTGCAGGCGTTGTATTATTCTCTTGCCCTATAATCCATTAATGTCTTAATACATTTCGGATTTGTGGGAGAATATTATACTGTTACAGTTGGTTCAGAACTACTTAATAGGTAGTTTAATGTATTGTAGTGACGTGTATTTTACTGATATACGCTACATTTGTTCACGTACTTTGTGACATTCCACCCCTGTATTGTAATACTGATTATACCAATACTGATACTTATTGAGCATTTTTATAGGCTCAAATCTTTCTGGCACAAAGACAAACACAAAGCACCATCTTTCTGCTTTTGAGCACTCTGCCATCTAGCGGCCATTTATTGTACAACAAGCGCATCAGTGCTTCTCTCCCCCACACACATCTCCCTCCCACCATGTGTGCGAAACTTTTACCACCAATATGCGTGACACATGTCGTTGCTGCTGTTTCTCAGGAAACAGGAACTTCCGTCTTTTGTCGCCTCGAGCAGCACATCGTTCTTTCCACAGCAGTCTGCTGCACAGCCACCTGTGTGAGGAGAAGGTGTAACGTTAGTGGCCGGCCATGCTCAGAAAGAAACGTCTATTTATAGGCCGCGTATCACGTGCAAACAACGCGTAACGCGAGGTGAGGAGGGGGCTTTTTATTTAGAGTCGAGGTTTGAAGTTATCTGGCCACTTGTGCACCAAGAAGTTCAGCAGCGGAGTATTTTTTTTAATTTATTTATTGGTCCTTCTGGTTGCCGCCGTGTGACGGAGCCCGGAGGGCTGATGGAGTTCGCAGAGCACATCAGGACCGCCAATGTGGAGGGCGTGGTGCTCCATCAGCCGCTGCACCCTCCGGCCAGAGGCACCTTGTGCGTCACCGGCCACCACCTGCTCTTCTCGGACAGGGAGGAGGGCGGCTGTCGGCAGGTGTTGCTGCTCCTCAGGAACATCGATGCCGTGGAGAAAAGGTGAGGCCGGAGGACCGCAGGGCGATCGTAGCAACGACGCGATGGACAATGTAGAACAGTGGACCAAAAAACATTTGATTCCAAATACAGAAATCAACGAACCGCCTCAGTGGTGTGTTCAATGGCTCGGAAATACAGATTGCAGCATTTATTAAGGGTTTATAGCTAATCATCATAACTAATCAACACCCAATCGTCAGAGAACGTCTAATTGATATCTAATTCCATTGTTCCTCAAATCTTTCTAACCAGTGTGGAAAACCTTTCGGCCCACTCCGGGCCCTTCTGTAATCAAGGCCGCAGTCAAAGGTTGGACATCGTTCGTGTTGCTACTCTGATTGCCCACAGGGCTGAAGGAGGAAGTGTCCTAACAATATCTCAACGTGTTGCTTTCTGCTAACAACGTCTTGCTTGAAACCGCTCAATGTGTCTTTGGTCAGCGGGTAGGGTTCCCCTTCCTTCTGCCCTGCTAGAGTCAGAACAGGAGGCGGGTAACACAAGGGTATTGGTTCCAATCTTTTTAGGCGTAGGAATCATATGTGCGTGTGTGTGTGTGTGTGTGTTTAGGATATCTGGATCTTCAGGGACCATTACTATCAAGTGTAAAGATCTGCGTGTGCTCCAGCTTGACTTCCCGGGCATGGAGCAGTGCCTCAACATCGCTCGCTCCATCGAGGTACAATAAGTGACCAAATAATCCTGCTGAACCGTCAAACACACACGGATGGGGAAACGTGATGGGGTCTTACACCCGTTCTTTGAGGACAACGTTTCACAACATTTCCCCTGTTGCCCTCTCTCCTGTGCGTTCTGATAACGCTGTCTTTGGAAGGCAAAGCTAATCCCTCTTTCGCTTTCCCCAGACCCTGTCCTGTCTGGACAGTGTGGAGAAGATGTATCCTTTCTTCTACAGACCTTCTGATGTCAGCCTGCAGGACCAGTGGGGCCTCTCGTCCACTGAAAAACACTACAGTCAAATGAAGGAACTTGTAAGCGACACAGATTGTCAGGAAACAGATTGATACACACATAGTGGTCCAATAAGCACATGACAGGAAAATGCCCGGGAAACTTAATGCTTGGGTCATGACTCAGGGTATCCCTGTCCCTTAGCTTTTTATTTAGCTGCGGCTAATAAGCCAGGCTAGCTGTGTCCCCCCCTTGACTCATGAATGCTAAGGCTTGTGTCCTTGTTCCCATGCTGCACTTGGGCTCTTTTGGCAAAAATGTAACAAACCAAGAGTGAAAAGTTGACGTGTCCTCTAGCTTTTCAGAGGAAGGGGGATCCACCTACTCTAGAGCTGTTTCCTGTAGCTTTCGTTTCCTTTGACACAGAGCAGGTCGGTGAGGGATGTGTGCAAGTTGCATGCATGCCCTGTGCGTAACAAAGATCAAATAGTTACCGTGACCTGCAGTGACGGTGCCCTCTCTCTCTCTCTCTCTCTCTTTTTTTCCTGTTTTTCAGCATGATAGGTGGAGACTGAGCACTGTGAACAGAGACTACTCAGTGTGTCCCTCCTACCCTCCAGCTGTCATCGTCCCCAAGAACACGGATGATAGCATGCTGGAGAAGGCGGCCAAATTCAGGCAGGGGGGACGCTTCCCGGTCCTCTGCTACTACCACAGGAAGAACGGCATGGTGAGGCGCTGTCACGCGTCCCCGCGGCCCCGCACCTTTACGCATGCAGCTAAACATTTTTAAATCCAACTCTTCAGGTCATCATGCGCAGCAGTCAGCCGCTGACCGGAGCCAATAGGAAGCGCTGCAGGGAGGACGAGCACCTCCTCCAGGCCGTGATTGGAGGCTCGGACAAAGGCTTCATTATCGACACGCGCTCCAGTCAGCAGGCCCTGCAGGCCCGGTTAACAGGCGGAGGGTTTGAGTCCAAATCGGCTTACGGCAGCTGGAAGAGACTGCACAGGCAGATGGAGAGGTGAGTGGGAACGCCGGTCCCCCCTCCCCCCCGCCGTTTTAATGATGCTGATGGGTCCCATCCGACTGAACGCCGCTGCCCCCACAGGGGAAAAGCACTGCAGGAGAGTCTCGTTAAACTGGTGGAGGCCTGCGGGGACGAGTCTCACAACATGGACCGATGGCTCAGTAAGCTCGAGAACTCAAAGTGGCTGTCTCATGTCCAAGTCGCCATGTCCACCGCTGGCCTGCTGGCGGAGTGTGTGGAGAGGTAGGCACTGCACTCACAGTGTGTGTGTGTGTGTGTGGTGGCATCTCTTGTCTGGTAGGAAAAGTTTTAATATTTGCACTCTTCCTACTCCCCTTAGAATACATCGAGTTTGATGTACTTGATGCATGTAAGCACATGAGGATAGCGTAACAAATAACGGGACCTTCAGCAAAGACCAATAAGTGCACTGACGCCTTTTCGTGTACACAAAGGAGTGACAGACCTGAGTTGTAGCGTGTCTATGGGTTTTATGCAGGGACGGTCATTCAGTTCTGGTTCACGGTTCTGAGGGGACAGACTCCTGTTTGCTCATCAGCACTCTGGCTCAGCTCATCATGGACCCATGTTGCCGCACGCTGGAGGGCTTCCTGGTTCTTCTGGAGAGGGAGTGGGTAGAGGTGAGTGTTTGTGTGTTAAGAAATTTGAAGAACAAGTGAAAAATCCTCAAATAGACTGACACATATGAACACAGTATTAGTGACACACGGTCACGTCAGCCACAGTGTGTATTTTAACGTACCGTCTTTCCGTTGCAGAATGCGCTACTCGTGATTTTTTTTTAGGTTACTTTCAGCTTAGTGAATTGTGTTACTTTTAACTTTGGCTGCAGAGCTTTCCCCTTTTTATCTCACATGGGCCACATCTCTTGCGGAAAGGATATTGCTTCACAATCTGCCCTTTCCAGGAAATGTCTTCAGAAAAAAAAAATGTTTTTGGGTGTAGCGCTCGTCGCCGTTTGCCTCCACTGACCCTCTATTACCAAATATTCCCTTCTCCAAAAATTGTACCTCCGGTGTAGTGGAGCATTTGACAAACATGTCAAAGGAACCTTTTTTCTTTTTTTTTTAATCCTTAAATCTATAATCATATTTCTGCTTTTTACACGATCCACCTTGCATGTGTTGGAATGACACAGAAAATGACCCACAGTACACAACAGTCTGTGGTCCCGTATGAACGCGTGTTCCTCCCTCCAGGCAGGACACCCGTTCCGGCGGCGATGCGCCCACTCGGCGTACTCCCACGCCCGCCTCCAGCAGGAGTCGCCGGTCTTCCTGCTGCTGCTGGACTGTGTGTGGCAGCTGTGGCGTCAGTTCCCTCTGGCCCTGGGCTTCTCCGAGGCGCTGCTCCTGAGGCTGGCGGCTGAGGCCTACGCGTCCGACTACGGCACCTTCCTGTGCAACAGCGATCGGGAGAGGTCAGTCCTTTCAGGCTCAGCTCTGCTCGACCGCTGCGCGCCGGGGGGGGGGGGGGAAACGAACGGCCGACTCAAAACCTCCCACCTCGCTCTCCTCCTTCCCAGGCGGGCTCTGCGAGCGAAGGACAACACCCACTGTTTGTTCCGGGCCCTGCTGAGGCCCGGGGAGAGGGACTGCTACTCCAACCCCCTGTATGAGCCCACCGCGCTCGCCATCTGGCCCTCGGTGCACCCCCAGTCCCTACAGCTGTGGAGAGGTGGGCTGTGTAACTTTGTTAATTCAGCGTCTTAGCGTCAATGCTTTCGTCGCCGTAAGCCGACCGCGTGGCCAACGTTGAACCTTTTTCCTGTCCTCAGGTCTTTTTCTGAGGTGGACCCCGCAGGCTCGGCACCTTGAAGAAGCTCAGGAGGAGATCAGGAACATGATCACTGAGTGGGGGAAGCTGGTGCTCAGCTGATGCCAGGACATGAAGAAGGGGAGGTTGTGCAACCTGAACATGTGGAACGTGTTCAAAGGAGGGACAATGGCGACGTGAAATGCCCTTTTGACATGTAGATGTAATTTAAGAATGTTCGACAACCTGCTGTGTTTTAATGTACAGTCATTTTTGTATTCTTTCATAAAGCATTTCAAGAAAAAAAAGCACAATTTCTGAGTTAATCTGAGGAACTTCAGCCATCACACCCCATTTTAAAATATGAATAAAATATATCATAATACACCATAGGTTATGGTTTTAGTTTACAATATAATTGTAAATAAAAAGCTGTTTCTGATATTCATTCACAGATAGCATCATAAGAAGGACGCTATATAACCGACACTGCCAGCCCCCCTCCCCAGTCCTGTTAAGCTCAGCTAAACACAGTTCACAATACAAATCCCTGTGCACTGCAAGTCAGCATGTTTGCACACACGGAGCTTTGCAGGCTGGAGACTGTAGTCCTCTTCAGTAAAGAGCCACAAGCCCCAGTGATGACACAACGTGGACATGAACCACACGGCCCAGCATGACTTTCTACCACTGTTTAGTCATCCAGTGGTTACCCGGTGAACTGAGATGCTCAGCAATCGGATGGTAATCTTTTAACTCTGATGCTTGATGCCTCCATCTTATCAGCCCTCATTTCGTAAGTTAGTTCAGAGTTCAATAGTTTGGGATTTCCCAAATAGCACCTGCTGGTTTTTTGGACCAAGAATCTGTGATTTCTGATTTTGTCAGCACACAGGTAAACAACTTTTTCCGTAGACTGTTTATTTGTTTGTCTGTATTGTACTGTATTTTTGTATATTTTAACACAACTTGTACACCCCCCAAAGGTGACCAACATAATTTGAGAAGTTAGAGGTTGTGTATTCTTTATTTTTGAAGCACGTCGGGTGGACATGCACCCCGGGCTCTGTAGGCCCAATGCAGCTTTGCTGCGCTCGTTTTGCCGATGTTGTCTCAGCAGGGCGCAAAGTCTGCCCGGTGGAAGCTTGAGCTCTTTGCCCAGGCAGATGAGCAGGTGGAACAGCCTGGAGAACAACAGCCCCTCACCTGCTCAGAAACCCCCCCGTGTCCTCATCACAGGTAATACATTACTTCTTTTTTTTTCCAATGACCTTTTAAAAGCTGAAGATGGACTTTTCCACAGCTGTGAAGCAGCCATTCTTCTCTCCCACTCTCACTGTGAGGCCCCTGTTTTGTACTCAGGTCCGCAAAGCAGTCACAACAAGGGGTTGATTGCCTTGCTCAAGGGCACCCAGTAAGGGATTTGAGAGCTTTGCTCACTTCCAAGCAGATCATATGTTTAGAGGAAAAGCAAGTGACTAGCAGGTGTAGCATAGTTTTTTGTTTTTTCAAGTTGTTTTCACCGCACCAGCCGCAGGACGCCATTTTGACGCATCACAATAGGCTACACACAGACGGTGCTGCTGATATAAAAGAGCCAACGAGTGACTGGAGGGGGGAATAATAGCCAACTGTTGCTTTTTGTCCTGGGATAAAGCTTTGGGACAAACAAAAAGGTGAAGCGTAGTACACCAAAAAACATTGAATCCGCTAGGACACCAAACTCCAAATATTCTTTCTATTTTCTGTTAAAGAATTAAAATACTAAACTGTGGTTTTATATGCAGGTGGTCTCGGGCAGTTAGGTGTGGGACTGGCACAGATACTGAGGTGAGATGTGTGGACACTACTTGAGACAACGCACCTTGTGAAAATGTTCGAAATTTGAACAATATCACATCTCTCTCGACATTTAGGGAACAGTACGGATCAGAGAATGTAATCCTGTCCGACATTAAGAAGCCTCCACCTCACGTTCTCAGCAGTGGTATGCAAATTGAAATGAAGTTGTTTTTTTGCATCTCCTTAAATTGATCAGAATGTACAACGTATTCCCCTGCTTGTTAAATCCTTCACTGACCAATATTTGTCTCTTTCCCCATCAGGTCCCTTTGTGTACGCTGATGTGTTGGACTACAAACATCTCAGAGAACTGATTATAAATTATCGTGTCACCTGGCTGATACACTACAGTGCTCTGCTCAGCGCTGTGGGCGAAGCCAATGTGGCTTTGGCACGCAAGATCAACATCACAGGTCTGCTGAACACACGTATGCCGTCTTTTTTGGGGGGGGGGTTATTATGTTTGAACTCCTCTTTGTGTGTTCTACTGCTCATCTAGGCCTTCATAATGTGCTGGACTTGGCCCTAGAGAACTGCCTGCGCATCTTCGTCCCCAGCACCATTGGAGCATTCGGCCCCTCTTCTCCACGTGACCCGGCCCCTGACCTCTGCGTGCAAAGACCTCGAACCATCTATGGCGTGTCCAAAGTGCATGGAGAACTGATGGGGGAGGCGTGTAATTCTTAAAATCAACATGTATACACACGCACGCGGTATTGTGACACATTGTTTTGTGAAATTTGGTGACATCTCAATATTCTTTTTCTTTAGTACCTCCATCATAAATATGGTCTTGACTTCCGCTGCCTGCGGTACCCAGGCGTGATATCAGTAAACACCCCCCCAGGAGGAGGAACAACTGGTATTGCATCACGTTCCTACTTGTGCAAGCACCATATATTCAGCGAAATCTCCTTGATGTTATTGACAAGGCACTCCGGTCCACTTTCCTCGCAGACTATGCCGTTCAAATCTTCCACGATGCCCTCAGTACGGGTCACTACGAGTGCTACCTGCGTCCAGACACCCGCCTTCCCATGATGCACATCTCTGACTGCCACCGTGCCACCATCGAGTTCATGCAGGCTCCAGAGTGCCAGATGTCTCTGCGTACCTACAACATCGCCGCCATGAGCTTCACTCCAGAAGAGGTGGCGGAAGAAATCCGCAAGCATCTCCCTCACCTCAAAGTCACCTACAATCCCGACTCTGTCCGCCAGAACATCGGTATGACGAGATGCACGTACCTACACACACTACCTGTGCAGGATTGTCCAACTTTACATTGTTTTCAGTCTGTTAAATACATTATACTGGTTTGCTATCTTCTCGAGTATTCACGTTAATTGTTATTACATTTTGAATTGACATGATTTGTATTGTCTATCTTCCATTATAACTGAGGTGATTGAACTTAACGTGGCCGTGTTGCGTGTCACTTTGCAGCAGACAGCTGGCCCGTGAGGTTTGATGACACCAATGCCAGGAGAGACTGGGGCTGGGCGCCAGCTTTCCAGCTCGAGGAGCTGGTGTCAGACATGCTGCGCTCCGTTCGAGACAAGAGGACAAACGAGGGTCTGCCAGTCAGTTAGCAAAAACATGGTCCACAAAGACTGACCGCCTCGCCCCTGACTTTTTCTTCCAGCTGCATTTATGCCCGATACACTTTCTTTCACTTCCCTATCACATGTTGTCAACGGGTATTATTCGTTACTCTGGAAAATTACATCAACCAGCCAGTGACTGTTTGCAAAGGAAAGTAGGACCTCTCTATCAGACAGTCTAAATATACAGTGGACAATGAGATGTCACACACGTGCACTCAAACACACATCTCATTTTTTTTAGAGAATAATATACTGTCAAACTGTCCCTTAATCGTTGTTGTTTTTATTGTAATCATGGTATAAGCATCACATTTTTTCTCTGACGGATCAACAAGAGACTGCAGAGATTTCCAAATGTCATGTGACTGGCATCAACGGACACCACAGTCTCCTACAATGTTTGATAAAATATGTAATACAATATGGGCAAGTTGCACATTGACAGCAATACATCTGTTGTACACTTTAATTCAAGGATCATCTGGAATGGCTGGTTCAGTTAACTCTGCACTGCAATGACACACAACATATTCTGCCTGTTTTCAAAGCCAGTATTTTATATCAAGTGAACGCTACACACTGTGTACAACCTCACTACTCTTGCTGTGGCATCTAACAGGTGTGATTTTATTCATGAATGAGTGCCTATAACAAAATACTGCCTTGTTTACTGAAGATTGCTTTGGAAAGCAATGTATAAAACATGCTGTGTACTTTTGAATCATACCTTGAGCAATAAAAGGTTATTTACCCAAACAATAGTGCTTACTTTCAGGCAATTGTACTACTCAGTAGGCCACGTGGATGGTTTGGGTGATGCTGATATTGATTATAATGGTAACTACTTACAGTTATTACAATATTTCAGGGAGAATTATTGTATTTTTTTCCCCCGGCGTTTCGACATTCGGATTTTACCTGCAAAACACACGATGGATAAATGATTTTATATTTCCTATCAGTCGGGCTGATGTTCTCTCCCCTCACTACAGCAGACGCAGTGCTCGTTTCTCTCTCTGGGGGCGCACACGTCATCCGGCTCGCCACTCAGAATTTCACCGGAGCAGCGCACGTCTTTCTCAACAGCACCTGTTAATATCCATTTTCTCTGATAATGGACGCGGGATTCTTCCGCGTAAGTTGTTTGAAATCCTTTGCATATTGTTGCGTGTCTTTCTGCTCAGTGCCACGGAGATATAGTCATTGTTGGAGCATTAAAATTGTGTTTTTAGTGTGGAGGCCCGCAGAGGCGGACGGTATGGTAACGATGTGGTCGGGGCTTCGTCTATCAACTGATAACCTTACTCGACAAGAGCCGTCTTTCCTGTGGTATATATTCAGAATGCACGTGCCTTCTAAAGAAGGACGTCTGCACGTTCTATAAACTTATTTGGAGATATGTGGTCAACAACTCACAGCCCTTTCACACGAATTTGAAGGCGACATAGTTGCAGGAAATAGACAAGCCAACCCTAGCTAGCTTACGTTAGCTAACCTACTGCTAATTTGTTAGCCATGGCTAAAGATGGCGCCTGGGTGGTGCATCGTTTTTTTAAACTGTGTGGTAGTGACGACCACCGCTACGCGAACGTTGGCTAGATTACGCTAAAAGCGTATTTAATATAGACCCTCGTTTTACTATTTGGTGTTCTGTCTTCGCCAGCGCTGCCGCCGGTAAAGGTAGCCACGAGGCTAACATTAGCCTCTTAGTTCCACTCACAGGATTAAGCAGGCAAACAATTAGCTTAGCTAACTTTAGCCTATTTATATCAATGTCGTGTCTGGCTCACGTTGACGATACGATACTGTCACCACGTGAGCTTACGTTATCAAATATTTAACGTTAGATTTTGTACGTTGTGTGTTACCAAATGCGCGTTAACTCGGTGTTTTGGTTTCGTTTCTGTGTCTCGCTTTAACGTTACGCTTACATGCGTGGATGTTTTTCTTCAACTCAACAGACTAATGTGAGACACGTGTTTGAAGCATGACTTTTCGGGTGTATGATTGTGAACCCGAATTGCTCTACTAAGGGATGCTTGTTTACTTTTGCTGTAGGGTACAAGTGCGGAGCAAGACAACCGTTTCAGCAACAAGCAGAAGAAGCTGCTGAAGCAGCTGAAATTTGCAGAATGTCTCGACAAGAAGGTACACGATCACGCACGTGTGCCTTTTCCGTTCGGTGTTTTTAGGCACAACAATATATTTGTTTCTCATCGCGTGAACCTCTTTCCCCCTTTAGGTGGACATGACCAAAGTTAACCTAGAAGTCATCAAACCGTGGATTACTCAGCGAGTCACAGAGATTCTGGGGTTCGAGGATGACGTCGTCATAGAGTTTATATTTAACCAACTTGAAGAGAAGGTAATGTCTCTGTTGTGTTTTGTTTTAATTTTCAAAACTGTCATGAATTTGAGGGCATTGTGTAGTTAGTAAGAAGGGATATAAGCCAATAATTGCACATCCTAGTCAAATTTGAAATGGGTAAAGTAACAATTGGTATAAACTGATTAATAAATGACATAACTATGTTTTGCTGTTATGTGACAAAGTGCCTATACTCAGCAGTCTTCTAATGATGATGTGATTTATGATTTAAAAGGCCTGAACCAATATGGATGTTATACCTTGCATCAGAAGTATAGCACCAACACCTAATTAGCTCTCTCCTGAGCCCAAAGTCACTGAGCCCAACTCTCCTTCATGATGCAGTGTGTGGTTTGAGGTGAGTTATATGCAGGGATCAACAATATCATGTTAGTGAAAGACACACCTGAACAATGCCGTAATCATGTAGGTATAATTGCCCAGATCCCTGTTAAAAGTGATTTCCTTTTAAATTCTTTAGAGAGCAACTGCAGGAGCATTTTAACACCAAGCGGAAAAGTATCCTCCAATGATCCCCTCTGATTGAAAGTGTTGTCTTATGCACCTCTTTTGGGTGCGGTCAGAAGTGTGTTCTGTTGCACCCTAACCACACCTTACAGTGACCGGAGGGGGCCATGAACACACACCACAGGTCACTGTAGAAAGTTGGGAACGTTGGAGGTGAACAAAAACACTGGTAGAATCCGGTAAACCTCTGACGACACTCGTATGCAACACACTTGAGTTTTTCCAAGTGTAAACAATACTTTTCTTTTTGGTGTTAAGTTACTCTTTTAAACTGAAAGGCCATTAGAATATCTGTATTGGTCATGTTTTGGATCTTAAAAAAATCCTTCTCGCCGGTAGGGCTGTAATGCTGAGCCCCCCTGATATTGTGTATTTTATTATTTAATATCAAATTGTGCATGTTTTGTTCATCCCATAGGCTACTTTAATTTATTTAAACATAATTTGTACCTCACTAATGGGTAATTTCTAGGGGTGTGTATCTTTCCCTCTCAAGACGATTGAATACGCATGTCGATACATGATCTGCGATGCAATACAAAAGCTATACAGTTAACATGTACAAATGCACCCCAGGTGAAGTTACAGGAGCTTTATTTAACTTTTCTACGACTATTTTCTGCGTCGAGATGCAGTGGAGTAATTCCTTCCAGTGCATGTGAGCGTGCTCCACGCGTATTGTCTTGGTCACTGCTCCGCGTTGCTCTTAGACCACAATTACAGCGTATAGCGACCCCTGTGGAAGCTTAGCCGCCCCCTCAGGTAAACTCTGTGCTGTGAGCCATCATTGCAGTTGTTTGCACCGTCCGCTGCGTTCAGAGGCAATTTAAAAAGCCTTCAATCTCGAATCTTGCACCATTTTGATAGTATACTCTGTATTGTCCCACACTGAGAAATGCTAATTGGGATTGTCCAAAAGACACTAGGCGTTCTAGGCTTGTGATGATAAATTATTAGCGCTGGCGTAAGTCTCGCCAACAAGCCAAACAATATAAGTTTCTGCATTCTCTGCTATTGTAACGGAACACACAGGACGCGTATCTTAATCTTTCCATTCATTTGCACAGATAAAAAGCTCCTTGGGTGAAGCAGTTTCTGTGAGAGTTAAAGATTTTTCAGACTAAATTCAGAGTTTTGTATCGACGTAGCCGTATTTAAGACTCTTGTATTGATTTTCCGAAGTGTATCGGTAAATCTTAACACCCCTAGTAATTTCCATTTTTGAAGTAGGAAAACTGCTTAATGAGCGGGAAATAAGTAATTCCTGCACAGTATCCTTTATGATACTATTACTAGGATTCCATTCCATTGGATTCTTCAATGCAAGTATGGAATATATACGTAATGACTTCGTTAATTACTTTTATTCTCCTTCGGTGCTAAAAACCACATGTATCTAATATCAAAATGTGTCACCAGTACTTAACATAAAATACATTTTCATCTTTTAATGCTTTTGTGGGGTTTGCCTGTTAAAGCTAAGATTAAAGAGTACTGTTGCATTATGATGAGAGAAATTTAATTGAGATTACGGTATCTCACAATAATCAGATGTTGAAAAAAACAAAAACATTCTTGTGTAACTGTGTACTCATTATTGCTTGTTCGTCTCTTGCAATTTAGATAAATGATATAACATTAAGCTCAAGGTGGTTGAGTCTCAAGCAGTAGGGATGCGGAAGCAAGCCAAGGGAGCTCGGTGCCCACTGATCCCACGGGACTCACGGAAGACACCGGAACTGTACTTGCAGTGTTGGGTTTTAATGCACTCTGTATTGTGGCTTTTTGTTTAGCTCCTGAAGTGTAGACTGTGGGGAGACCGGGGAGCAAGGAAAGACATTTAAAGTAGTGGGGATAGTAATGACACATGAACATTTCTTTCTTTCTGTTGTTTTCTTGATTTGTAAATTTGGGGAATAACAATCTGAATGGGTTTAGCAGAAGTATTGCATGCCATTTTTACACAGATATGTCTCCCCTTAGCTAGCCAGCCCACATTCCTAGTTTGATTATGTGATTTAAATCAATCACACATTTGTTTTGATTTGGTTACTGACTCAATAATTGGACCCAGGTATGTTCAGTGTACCAATCAGTGTCATAACATGTTTAGAGTATGGTTAAATGCATAGCAACAGTTTAGTTAGTATTAGAGGGTAGGCAGACCCATTTGTGGGATCCTTAACCCCCCCCCTCCCCCCCACCCACCAATATTGTGCCTTCTATTATTTCAATGGCCATCTGGTCTTTTCTCTGCCTCCTTCGTGTGTGTGTGTTACAGCACCCGGATAGCAAGATGATGCAGATCAACCTGACTGGCTTCCTGAACGGGAAGAATGCCCGGGAGTTCATGAGGGACCTGTGGCCGCTGCTGCTGAGTGCCCAGGAGAACATTGCCGGCATCCCGTCTGCTTTTCTTGAACAGAAGAAGGAGGAAATCAAACAGCGACAGGTGAGCTTCTCCCAAAGGTTAATTTGGTGCAATGTCTCCGTTAGTGGGCGGAAGGCAGAAGAAAACCCAGAGTAAATGTAAACAATGCTGTAATAATCAGGCTGAATGAACCATAGACTGGGACAGTAACACAGCACCCTGTGTTTGGACCGTATGTGATCATTGCAGGACAGAATGCATCGTGTGGCTCATAGTGATGTGCTTGTACCCTTTCCGGTAGATTGAACAGGAGAAACTAGCTTCGCTGAAGAAGGTTGATGATGATAAGAAGGAAAAGGAACTCCGAGAGAGGGCTCAGTCCAAAAGCCCAAGGAGGTAAGAAAAAAAATAAATGTCTTCAATACTAACATCAGTGGACAGAACTAGAAATGTGTGTTTCTGTCATTGGGCGTGATCACAAACTCTGTTTGCCTCTTGTCTGTCCAGGAGGAAGACCCGGTCACCGTCCCCCCGTCGGAGGTCACCGGTGAAGCGGGAAAGGAAACGTAGCGCCTCTCGCTCCCCAAGACGCAAAGCCAGTCCAGTTGTTAGCAGTTCACCACCTCCACCTCTGATGCAGCTGCCAACAAAACCGCTGGAGCAGCTGGTAGAGTCAGAAACATTAGACAGAGCCCTGCCAGAACCAGTCGCCCAAGAAACTCCTTCTACTGGGTTTGTAGAACACTTTCCTTGCTTAGAATGTAGTTTTCGTAGATGATAGTTGTTCCTCATCTATACGTTTTTCATATTGATCCTTTCATCAACAAAATATTATTAATTTATATTTTATATATTTACAATTGGAACCTCTTCAGGAATCAGGAAACATTTATTGCCAAAATATGTCAAACATACAAGGAATTTGTCTTGTCTCTGGCCCGTAGCGACACAGTTGTGGAGGTGGTGAATCCAGACCCAGTGACTGAAGTCAAAGAAGCCTCACCAGAGAAGAGCCTGAAGAAGGAGGAGAGGCCCAGGTCTCGGGAGAGAGAGAAGGACATCAGGAGGGAAAGACCTCACCACCGCTCTCATTCCCACACTCGCAGGCGGCGCTCCCGTTCTCGGTAATTTATGATATTTACTTTGGAGTCCTCTGAATCTTCCAAAAATATTGTTTTAAGTGTAAGATCAAGAACTTAAACCTTTTAAAAGATGATCTCCCTTTTCTATATCCCATTTTAGATCTTTCTCCCCACGTAGAAGACCGAGTCCCAGGAGGAGGATGTCTCCTCGTCGAAGGAGCCCCCCCAGACGTGGCCCCACCAACTCCAGAAACAGACATAGACGCTCCCCTGTCCGCAGGTCAGTAGCTGGAGCATAAAAGCTTCCTTGCTCTGCAACTTTTTATATTTTTTAGAATTTACCGTCCAGACGCTTAATGTTGTTTGGGTGTTTGCGTCCTGCAGGAGGCGCTCTCGCTCTGCTTCGTCCTCCGGCAGCAGCTCCTCCAACTCCCGCTCGCCTAAAAAAGCTATGAAAAGAATATCTACCACGCCGCCCCGAAAGCCGGTGCACCATCCCAACAACCCAGTCAGCCCCGCGGGGAAGGACAGGCGGTCCCAGTCTCCACGGGCCCGCAGGGGCCGCGGCTCCGCCTCTCCAGCCAGATCATCCGGTATAACCCCTTCATCTTTGTCATCCGTCCGTCCGCAGGGACATCAGGGACATCCTCCGCTGTGTTTTTATCACATTTAACTATTCATTATTTGGCTATCAAAGGTGCATTTATAACTAGTGGTGTCTGTTTTTTTTGTACAGGTTTAAAGAGAAAACCAGGAGGAAGGGCGGATTCTCCATCTGATAATGCCAAGCCTAGAGCTTCTGAAGGGTCTGAGTCCGGTAAGCGTTTAATCGTGTCTGTTTTTTTTTGTTTGTCATTGCTAAACTCGCCCTGAATGAGTATTTATCTGGTTACCAGTTTTGTTCTATTTAAACATTTTGGACAATAACATTTAAAAAATGTTTTTTGCTGTGTAGACTTTTAGATTCGTGTTGGAGGATGTTTGGCTTTTGATCCACCTTAAAGTATAAATAGTGAAAAAGAACGTGGTAAAACTACACTGACGGGAAGTATAAAGCAAATGCAAATATGCATTTTTCTTTTGTATAATCTAGGCCTGTCGCGATATGCATATGTGAATATGTTGACATATCGCACAATATAGGAAAATGAGTGCGATAATTTTTGGTGGTGCGAGAATTGTTTTACATATAAATGAATGTCACCAACATTTAGTCGATTCGTGCTTCCCTCGTCTCTGCTTTCATTGTCAGAGGCGCGGCTTAGGCAGTGCCTCCACACGCAATGCTGTTATATTGTCATTATGTTATCAGTGGCATAAATGGTCTGAAAATTATATCGGAATAAATGTTTGTACAATAATCACACAAATTTAATATTGTGACAGCCCTAGTATTATTGGACGTTTCTATGGAATTTCACTTCACATGAGGCTCTACATTGCAGATGACGATAAAAATGAGAAGGGCGCCACTGCAGATTCGGTGCAGCAGCGACGTCAGTATCGCAGGCAGAATCGACAGACTTCTTCAGGTTATTAGTGGTTTATTACCTCGTCTCTCGCTCTTTAACTCTGTCCATGTCATCTTGCTCTCATTGTCTCATGGACGTCTAAAGCTGTACCCTAACACCTCCCTTGGTGTTTTCTCCCCCCTCTCGCAGCATGCAGTTAAGGCTCTAATGAAACGGCTGTTAACTTTGTCTTGTCTGTTTTCAGACACTGGGTCTTCCTCTTCCGAAGACGAGGGACCCAAGAGGCCAACGGCAGGGCCAGTGGCCAGAAACGGAGACATCAGAAGGAGACGCAGCCGTACGCCGTCCCCACGGAGGCGACACAGAGATGGCTCTCCAAGGTTAGTGCTTTTTGTATCTGAATCATTAGATGTGATGTGTCATCAAATATTGACATATGTCATTTCCCCCTCCCTCCCCCAGGAAAAGACGTTCTCCATCTCCTGGACGCAGACGGCGCACACCGTCTCCCCCACGACGCCGCAGATCTCCGTCTCCCCCTAGAAGAAGGTATGACCTGGCTCATTTGATCTCTTCGGCTACTATTTGAATGTCAATGTCAGAAAATGTACAAGATGATGAAAAAGGTTTTGACAAAATTCTGCTTTTCCCAGGTCTCCTTCTCCGCCTCCCCGTCGTCGTTCTCCATCCCCCAGGCGGTATTCTCCCCCTATCCAGCGCCGCTACAGCCCCTCACCCCTGCCTCCACAGAAGCGGAAGCTGTCTGGCTCCCCGATGAAACGCCCGTCTCCGGGGGCCAAGCGGCGCGTCTCCAGGTCGCCCAAGCGCAGAAGCTCTCTCGCTCCGAGGAGACGCACCCCTCCTTCCTCGTCTCCGTCCAGGAACCGGAGGAGCCCCATGTTGCCTCTCGTGAGACCGGGCAGGGACAACCGATCCCCCGTGGCCAGCCGCCTCTCCCCGTCGCTCGCCAACGGCGGCCGCGGCGCCCGGGGTTCTCCAGTCCTCCGAGCGCTTCGACACCTCTGGTTCGTCTCCATCTAACCAGCGAAGGCAGCAGTCTCTTCACACGGGGGCAAGCCCATCGCAGAGTGTCCCGCACCCCGGAGCCCCGCAACAACCAGAGGTAAGCGAGGCAGACAACGCTCTGCTGCTTTGGGATTATATCAGTAGGATGCACTTCTGTCTTTTTTTTGTATACGTCCCACTGCTCTTTTCTTTAACGATCCCCGTCGGCCTCTCTGCAGACCATCACCAAGTCCCCAGCCTCTGAGGAGAGCCCCCTCCAGGTCCGTTTCCCCCCAGCCAGCAGCTCTGAAACGTCCAGCCCCTGCATCTGCCTCCCCCTCGCCGTCCCGCTCAGCCAGCGGTTCTCCACCACCGGCCAAGAAAGCCAGCAGTGGTTCCGGCAGTCAATCCCCAAACAAGGTTTGAGACTTATTTTGAAATTCTGACTTTGTTGATTGCAAAGGAAAGTGTGCAGATACTGCAGCAAGCCGGACTATTGCCCTTTAACCTTCTTTAAAAAGAAACAAACCATTGTGTTTTTCTCTGGAGATTAAATCTGCAACATCGGCTCATCTCAAGCACTTTTACTGACTCAATAGTATATAGGTTCCTCAATCTATTCTGAACGGCAATAAGAACATTAATCTTCTACATTGCTGTTACAGCGTAATCGCTACCTGGAATAATAAAACATTCCTTTGACCATGTCTGTTATACAGTAGCGCTGTTGATGCTGTCCCCATCCAAAGACCCGTTTTCTTTTTTTCACCGCAGAATTCAGATGTTGACGCCAGCGGAAAGAAAAAGAAGAAGAAGAAGGAAAAGAAGCACAAGAAGGAGAAGAAACACAAGAAGCACAAGAAGCACAAGAAGGAGAAGAGCGGCGCCCCCGTTGCTGGAGACGGACATGAAAACCACGGGGGGGAGGAGGACGGAGAGTCAAGAAAGGTGATGTCTAGTTTCTGCATTTAGTAGCTACTAGCGCCCTGTTCTCAGAAGGGATTCCAAGTAGATGATGTTATTTAGTTTATTGCCACGTCCCCGCAATTTGGTTTTGTGTGTATTTCATGCTGTGTTTCATTTAGGAATCAGACAGTGAAGTAGATGACAGCTTGGATGATCTGGAGAAACACCTCAGAGAAAAGGCCCTCCGCTCCATGAGGAAGGCCCAGTTGTCTCCGTCACAGATGTCCTGAAAACAAGGGGCTTTCTCACTTTTGAATTTTCCACTCACTCTTGATGTTGGTCATCAACCTGGTTCAGCTATAGAATGTACAAATTGTTAAATCTTGAGTCTTTTTTTTGTTTTTGTTTTTTTCTTTTTACTGGTTTGGTACATTCTGAAGAGTGTTTAAGAGCTCGATTTATCAGTTAGTGTATTATCTTAACTGTAAAGAAGCTTGTGTTGTCCATAATTTTAAATTGTCGAGCAGGGAAAAGGTTTAAGCTTAGAGGTTTGAGTTGTGCAGGTTTCAGATATTTTCCACAGCCTACAATAGATTCAATTTGAGAAACGATTGCATGTGCAGTGATTGTCTCTAATGTGCATGAACCACTGACCTTTATGGAAGGAAAAACCATCGTACAGTAACACGCTGTTACTATTTGCCTTTTGTTAGAGGAAACATTTGCACAGCTGTGTGAATTGTTAGAGGCTGTAACAGAATGTCTTATTGTAACTTACAAGAGGTGTTTAGCATCGTTTAACCTGCAGTTTTTCCTGAATTTGTAAGTCTTGTTTTAAGACTGAAACAATCCAATGTGAGACAGTTTGCTTTAATTTTCCTGATTGATTTGATATGCAATTTTACGTTGATGCCCTTGCCCCATGTTAATCTCTGTGGGACTGCTCTATGATTTGTATTTAGTACCTGGCTCTTGTCATCTTGTCATCCTTTCAGAATTAAAACCTTTTTATAGGAAGTGTGGTTTCCTTACTCTTAAGACTGTCTTTTCTATGTGGGTTTGGATCTGTTTGACAATATCATTTAGGCGGGGATGTTTCCTACCATTTCAAAACCTCCCTTTATGCTGTAAAAATACATATTTAAAAATGTGGTTCAATTAACCTTTTCCTTTGTCACCTTTAGTGTGAGCTAATTCCCCAAACCCCAACCTAAAAGGTACATATTTAAATAGATGAAAGATAACACATCTGATTTATGGCAGAACCAAACAACATAACAGCTTTTATAGTATTTGGGGGAAATGCATGCAAATTGAGTTGAGCTGAATGAGCAAAAAAACCAAACAGCTTGCGGAGAAGTTTAAGACTAATGTCTGGTTTTCAAAACGACATAAATGAGGAAGCTGCGGTTTTATTTCATGACAAAGGGCAGAATATAACCGTACGCATCTCCTCATGCTCCGCCTCACTTCCCTCCTCCATCCTGCAGGAAGACTCCTCTCCCTGGACCCGCCCACGTTGCTCCGTGTGTGTGTCTGCGCGTGCTTGCGGGCGCGCGCCTCGGATGACATCACTGCCTTAAATATTCCCGTTGCTTCTTCCCGGCCGTTGCGTTCATCACCTCCACCCCGACCAGCGTGAAAGAGCCCCGCCGGATCCCCGCGATGTGCGCGTAGCTCAACTCTGGTTTAACTGAAACACGGCTCATCGATTCACGCCGCTGCGCTTCCACGAGACGGAGAAGAACAGAAGAAGAGGACCGAGCTGCTAACGTTAACTCGGGCGTGGTAGCGGGAGAAGAAGAAGAAGAAGAAAACCCCCGCTCAACTTCGTTAGCTTAAAGAAGAGGAAAAGTCCGAGCCAACATGTCGCTGTCGGTGCCGCAGAACGGAGTGAAGGCTGACGACGAGCCCGTTATCGAGCTGTTCGTCAAGGTACGACAACTTTACTCTTCGTCGTCATCCTCACGAACGTCCGCGCGTGTTTCTGAAAACGAGTGCCAGTTTCTCGCCATTAATTAACGGTATTCTTTCTGCTAACTAGTTTTTATTTGGTTTGTTTTTCTTTTAGCTAGCCGCACGTTGGTCTTTCTTCCACGGGGAGGAGGGGTGGGGGGTCCTATCTACCAACCAGCCTGGTAGAAACACCCGCAAGAATATTTAAAAGAATAGTTATTTTTTTAAATCCTATTTTCATTTTAGTTTCAGATCCATTTGCCTGTTTCCCCACAGCGTCACAAGCGGGGGGGGGGGTCAGTCACCTTGTCATCACTCATCAATCAAATATATGTGTACATTTTGTATTGATTTTCTGTAACCGTGTTTTTGTGATGGGCCGTGTTCCTTTGCTATGGTCCACTAATGGCTCCCCAGGCCCTGCTTGTTATTTAACGGTCACTGGTTCCTTTTGGAAAGCATCATCCATCCCATTTAGACACAGTGATCGATGAGGGTTTTGTTGACGTAGGCATCTCTTTTATGAGATAGCCCCCCCCCCAAAAAAAAAACAATCTGAGTGTGTTTTAACTGTGTGTGTGTGTGTTGTCTCTTTCTTCAGCCTGCTGCTTTGCAGGGCGGGAAAATGGCAGAGGGAAGAAAAAGAGGGGGGAGCATGAGGCTTGGTACAAGTGGGAGGGAGTTATGGGGTCCGGACTGGGGGAAGGGGTCCAGGGCTCAATGGTAATGCTGAAGGTGGAAGCGTGTCGCTCTGGGGTGTGTGTGTGTGGGGGGAGAAAAGGGCCCTTGTTAAATGCTCTGGCCTCTGAAGGCTCCCAGTACTCCTGATACAGCAGAGCCTCTTTAAACCCCTCTGCCCCACCTGAAGGTCGCCCACTCTAAACCACGAGGCCTTTTGTCATGAGGCCGAGCAGCAGGCCCCTGTGGAACCAACGGAAACCAACCATTCCTCTTAACTACCCCCCTTTCCCCCGCCACACACACAGGCCACAGGAGAGGTTATGTCACCCTTCACGTGTCGATGAATCTGTTGTCCTTACCGTGCTGCATTCAACACGATAATGGGAGACAATGGTGTGTTGCCACAAGCTTCTGGGAAACGTTCGATACCGAAGCTGCGTTGTCGCCCCGACACCCTTATATACACACACACCCCCACACACACACGTGTCAGATCTGTGAGGCCCGCGCCACATATCAACACAGACTAATTACTGATGAGTGGCCACGGCGTCTGCACACAAAGATTCACCCAGTAAAAGTAGGCGAATGTCCCAGTTCAGAGGCCCTCGCAACATTTTCAACCTGTCGTGTTTACAGCCACGGCGGCCGCGCTGCCATGGGAACGTTTCAACATTGCGCTCATCTTTTGATGGGCGCGGATGTGAGGTTTATATGGCGCTCTGTTGCAAATGAGTGTTTTATAATGCCCTGTTTATGAGGGAGGATCGGCCCTTGAACTCATCGCCGTGCAGCAGATTAGATATTGTTTTGCACACATGAGCAGTATCCGACGTGCTGCTGAGGGTGGATTCCCGAGCATCCACCCATGTCTGCTTCGCTAGGCGCTTCCGCACATCACATGGTTGAAGTCGTTCAAACGAGACCCGGATTCTGGTGTGAAACAGAAAAATCGTATAATGATGTAGAATAATTCTTGTAGTATTGGAGGAACGTCCCCCTTAAACCGCAGTGCGCCGGTTTACTGTAACACAACGTGTTGGACATCTGCTGTTTATGAATCATTCACGAGTATGTTTACGTTTTCATTCCAGTTCTACAAAGCTGCGTAGCGAGTCATCCTCCGACCGGCGTACGAGCCGGCTGTTCGGCGCTCGACAGAATATAGATGAGTCAGGCTCCTGTGTGTGTTTGTCGAGATCACACCACCATTTCACAAAACCTTCTGCTGCCCCCAGACTCCTACGCTCTCGCCAGCAGGGACCGAGAACCTGTTGCAGGAGTGCTTTTAAAGTCTGGACGGCACAAGAGCCCTTCAGGCAACATGGCGGAGAGCGGGGTGGCGCTCGCGTAGACCTGTTGTTCGACGCACAACGCAGTGAGCGGAGTACGCTCCTCATTGCTAAACGCCTCGGGGAGAGCCGCTCGCGTCGTATGGCGCCATGTGACCGACGTATAAAGACCTTGTGATGAGCGGTTTCAAAATTCGTGCAAACGAGTACTGCTTTTTATGGGGAAAGGAATTGTTTTTTTGTTGTTTTTCTTTCTCTCCTTGAGCACACAGCAACGCTGCGGTCAGCATCATGAGTTCAGGGACAAAGATTAACTTCTTCTGTCGTGGCGTGCTGGGAAATGAGTCTCTGTAGCACCTGACCCGTCCATGTCTGGTTGACTCTGGACGAAGGAAGGCCCGATCGAATGTCTCACATTTCCGCTTTCATAGCCCGATACCGCCATTATTAAAACAAAGAATGTTCACGAGAGAACGGATCAGATTGAAGAACTTTTGTCGGAAGAAATGCGTAAATATGACCGCTTCTACAAGCCGTCATTGGCGGGTTGGATTCACGGAGGGAGATCGCCGCAAATGCCGGTTTGCCGGTCGAGAGGTGCACAAAGTTGTGGAGGAAAATACGGGACAAATGTGTCCGCGATGAAAAGCAACAGTGGCGATGCACGGGGCAATAAAGTCTATGCTAAAAAAATAAATAAACAAATAAATAAATAGACGTGACTCTCTAGGTCGACAAAAAACATGAATTGAAACGAGTGCGTCGACGCAACGACGCAGACGCAGAAGCATGCGCCAGCCTTTAGACTTGACCCACCCAGAAAGTCTTGTTAGTTCATGGGTTGGTGTCTGGCTCGAGTTACCGACCAGATCAGGAGTCACCTCTGTCTGAACGGGAGGTGGGGGGGGGGGTTGTAAGACCCCTTTTTAGAAGAGTAGAATCTGCCCTTCTAGCTACCCATGCAACTCAATCACTCTCTACATGAATCCAGCTTGTGTTTCACCTGCTTGTTCCCCTTAGCAGAGGGGTGTGTGGGGGGGGGATCTGTCCTGAGCATCATCAACCCTTCGAGGTACATAGTGCTGTTTCCCCAAATATCAATCCAGGTAGAGACATAAAGGTTCGCTCATGTAAACACAAAGCCGCCCGCTTTGGATGTAAAAACACATCGTCCCACACGGGGACGAGAGACGACTCGACTGCAGGTCGAAGTGTTACGGGTGAATCCTTACTGCCATGCGTGTCCGTTGGGGGGGGGGGGGGTCTAATGCTGAGACCTTTGTTTGTTTGTTTGTTTGTTTGTTTTCTCTGTTGCTCTGGTTCTGAAATGCTCGTCACCGAACACCCGTCCACCCAAACTTGGGTAGCTTGGGCAGCGTGCCTCCTTTTCTTCTTTTTTTAGACGGCGCTCACTTGCCTGACGGGAAGCGTCAAGGTTTCCACTGAACGCCGTCGGCCTGAGTCAGAGCCACGCCAAGGATGTGATGGCGAGTCCGTGTTGTGGATCTGACTCCTCTCTGAGCGTGGTCACAGGGTTTCTAGTCATTCAGTCATCGGAACCCTGGGAACTTTTATAATATGCAGCTTGAACTTTTGAATGGTTGAATTCATACTCCTCTTTGCTTATTGGTTCATCATGTTTCAGGATCTGTCATTTATCCAGTTTTTAGACTTTCATTTGTTTTAAGAAATGTTCTTCAAAGGCTGCTTGTGCTGAGGTGATATCATATTTTAGGAATTTGGTTCTTTTTTGAAACACTGGAAATGTACTCTGTGACCCACTGAAGGTTTTCTGGACCTCCGGGTTGCTGCAGAAGAGCATATGATGCCATTGTGGAAGTTAACATTAATTTTTATTTAAATGAATATAAACAATATAGTTTTTTACCAATTCCTCTGCTATGTGGCTCTAAACTCGACGATATTGAGGCAGATCCTCTTTATCCCGGTTGTAACTTCCTGAAATGTTGAACACTTCTTGTTTCTTCAAATGTGTAAATGGGGAAAAAAATGTCCGCATCTTGAATCTCTAAATATTGTCTGTGAAGTCTGAAATGTTTGTAGTTCACGTTGATGACTTGTGTTCGAGCATCCCGCCCCGCTGACATGCTCTTAAGCAACGAATCATTCCAGGCTGTCGCTGTCATGCCGCGACCTCTGAACCTTTTTGGAGTTTGACCTAATTAGAAAAAGGTTTAGCCTGTCTTCAGATCTTGGGCGTAGACCCTCCCCTCCGTCCCCGGCCCGCCCTGGTTTCAGCTGCTTTGTGAATTCAGCCCTAACGGACTGTGTACTTGTCCAGCAAACAGGGAGAGGCGTTGTCGTGACGTTGCCATAGCTGCCCACCCTCAAACGGACATTCCTGCTGTGTGTCAGAGCAGCAGGAGGAGGAGGAGGAGGAGGAAAGCTGCAGCACTTGTTATATCGTCAAGTCCTTTTTCGGTCAGAGGCTCGCCGAGCAGCCCACCCAATTTAGAACATGAAGTGTGCTGGGGAGGGGAAAGCAGGGCGGCCATGTTGCTAAAATTAGGCTGTGAGCAGAGACCGGGAGGAGGTCCGTGACTGGCCTGAACAGTACCCCAGTGTCCCCGAATGCCCGACTACTGCAACGTGGTCTGGAAGACCTGTCGGTCTCTCATGAATATCGGAGGAACTTATGACGAGATATCTTGGTAGAGAACAATGGCTCTTGTGGGTTTTTTCTTCTTTTTTCTAATATGCCATCTCGTAACGTTTTATAGGCCGTGACGCCTTTTTGTACCTGTAAAAAGCGCAAATACCATCTAGTGCGTGCGTGGCTATATGACGTTTTAAAGCCTCTTTCACCCCCCCCCGAGATGAGAGACTTTGGTCATTGCATCAGGGTCTTCACAGGGGAACTGATAAAGAGGTAGTGAAAACGCTGTGTGGGTGTTTTTTTTTAAAGGGAAAAGACACCAGTGGCCCCGCTGAGGGCCAAGATCTCATCCTGCTGTTACGGGAGCATTCAGTCCTGGACGCAACCTCCGACTAAACCGTGACTCACTCCACTGGGCGTGTGTGTGTGTAGCATTAAATGAACACGCATCTGTTGACTCACGGGCCTCCGCTGCTCCTTTTTATAAGCTTTACAGTGTCTGTTGGCTCTGGTCAGCTGTCGCTTCTGTACTAATCTACGAGAAAGATGGTGTAACCGTCTGCAAGATGTGAGTCATTTCTGCTTGTATTTGGAAGGAAACTGCTGATTTAAGGAGGAGTAAGGGGAACATTCTCAACTGACACGCTTTGCCTTTATAAGGGTCTGCTGAAAATAGTTTATTTTTATTGGGGTGTTTTCTTTTTTCTTTCCTTCCCTGGCCGACTGGCGGTGACGTACCTGGAGCTCGACAAACAAAAACGGCTTTGTTGTTGCTGGAGGTTGAATGTCACAGTGTATTAGTGGGCCCCCCCTGTAAAAACGTCCGTAGGGTGCAGGGGTGTCCTTCACACACGTTTCTTTTGAAATGTTGTTGTTCAGCCCGATTCTCTTTTTGGCCGACCGGCACCTGGCTTGAGCTTGTAACCAGTCTACGTCTAAGTCGCAGGCGGAGGAAACGCGGCTCCGACAGACATCGCCGGGTAAACTAAACAAAGCACCCTTCTTGGCGGGAGTATCCGGACATTTCTGAAATAGTTTCCTCCCTCCCTGACTTCGCCAAGGGGCCGGGAATAAGGGGAGAAGAGGAAGACTACACAAGCAGGGGGCCAATGAAGTACACAGCCACGAGCCCGCTGTCTTTTTCTCTTCCTCGCACTTAAAGCATCTATTACCCCCTGCTCCTCTTCGGTGATGCCTGGTTTCCTTCCTATTCTCTCTCTCGCTGTCTGGCAGCAGATCCCTGTGAGCTCTGCTGCAGGCGCCGGTGAGAAAGAGAAAGACTGAAATGTCCCCCTCAGCTGCTGTGGCCTTTCTTCTCAGCCACTCGAGAACTGAGAACTTGAGATTTGAAAGCAGCTCATCAGTGTTTGATTAATCAAACGCTGATGTCAGACTGTGTCTGTCTATCGCTATGGAAACGGTCGCTGCGACCCAGCACTGAATGCGCTGTGGGGGAAATAGGAGTAATCGTCCCATTGATGTCCATCAATCATGGCCGTGGACCATGATACCCCACACCCCCCACACACACACACCAACACATCCTGACCTGAAGCTTTATTTCAGAATTGAGTCATGTAAGGTGAAGGGACGAGGGGGGGCTTTTCATTTGCCAAACAAAGGCAGTGACCTAATCCAAGCTTTTCACATATTGAATCCAGAAGGGGCTGGGGAGTAGGGAGGACAGGCGGAGGACAATGGGAGACAGAAGGCAGATCAAACGGAGCCATCCCACTGGGCGTCACGGCAGCAGCAGCAGCAGCCAGCCTGTCCCCCCTCAGCGTGAGCTGCTGGACAGATGAAGTCCACTATTGACCAGTGACCACGGTGCAGAACCCGCATCTGATACCCAACAAATCCATTCTGTTTAGATAATGGTCCAGCAAATCAAACCGATTTGAATCCTCCTTTTATTGTTTCTTTGCAGGTGGGACAACACAGTTGTTCTGTGTACCTCCTTTGCATTGCACGTGTTGTCACACTTTGCATGATACCTCACCCGGAGGAAACTGGGAGGGACCAGTGGCAAAAAACCCAACATATTCAGCCGTTTGGTTTGGCTCTCCGAGGTTCATCTCAGAGCCTGAATAACCTGCAGGCTTGTCCTGTCAATAGACTGATATGGTGCATTCTTTATTTTCCTGGACAATTGCGTACCTTGACAGGCTTGGTATCCACAGAGCACAGTGTGCTCCGTGTATCACAAAGAGGCACTGGCGTGTCAATGTTCAAGGGTGGGGTTGGGGGTGGAGATGGCTTTTCTTTTGTTAATTAAAAGAGACAAATGACTGATGATTTCAGTCTTGCAGTGATTTCTCATTTGTTTTTTAGCCATTATGTGGTTAAAAATGTGTCTTCTTGAAGCGGGAGGGGGGGGGGGGCATTATTTTTGCACCGGGCAGATTTCATTACGATAATGTGCAAAGCTTAGTCAAATAAATGAAATGCTCATTCTTCCGTTGGATATAGGACTCAAACCCTATCTGTCCCCGCCGCGGTCTGTCGAGCACGGCTGGGAGGTGATCAAAGTGAGGGATCATTTGGGGAGTTGGAGAGAGAGCGAGAGAGACGGGATACAAAGAGATGGAGGGTTGCCGGGACGACCGGAGATATCTCTGATTCTTAGCAGCCTCTCTGTTCTCTCCTGCATGTGTGATCGCAGAGACCCTCTGCTACAGTTACTCGTCCTCACCAGAAAAACGATTTTCCATGTTTGAAATCTCTCCCTGGAACCCCACCTCCCCTTTCTTAATTTTTCTTTATTTGGAGGACGCGCGCCTCCTCTTTTGATGCCATTCCCGCCTGCGCGGCCTTGTGTTTGTGCAGTCTGGCGTAAGAGGAACCAAGAGGCGGTCGTAGTCTTAATTACTCAAACGCTGTCCTCTTCCTCTTGGGAAGTTGTTTTTTACATTAATAGGGGGTAAGTGTTTAGATCAGAGGGGGGGGTTGGGGTTACCCTCTCCACTCTTACCCTCCTACTTGGTCTCTTTCGAGGACAGCCTGTAATTTGTATGAAGGAGTCATTGTCTGAAATGGGCCCTCTGGGTGAGCGCAGTAAAACAGCCCAGCCCGTAAAGGTTGTGCAACAGAGCTGTGATTTCTACCAAGACGTTTGGGTTATTCTGGTCTCAGCGCCGAGCCAGTGATAATAAACCTGTTGGAGATTTTTAACGATTTGCTTATCTAATGTATGTCATTATGTTTTATGCTTGTCGTAATTGAATCCCTCGAAGATAAAAAACAAAACAAAAAAACAAACGAACTGGTGTCTTCGAGGATTGGTACCTGTGATTTTTTTATATATAGTTGATCGCATTCTTAACTTCCTTTCTGTCTGTGTTTGCTGAAGGCGGGAAGCGATGGAGAGAGCATCGGGAACTGCCCCTTCTCCCAGAGACTTTTTATGATCCTTTGGCTTAAAGGAGTCGTCTTCAACGTCACCACCGTGGACCTCAAGAGGTGAGTCCTCCCTCCTTCCCTCCCTCCCTTCCATATCTCCCCCGTCGGCAGCTTTTCCCTTTTTGTTTCGATAGCATCCTAAATCTTTTTTTTTTTTTTTATCTGGGCGATTCCTCAAAGGCTTTGGCGGCTCCACCTCTGACACGCTCGCTTTATCCCCTCTTGCTTATTTGGTTTTCCCATGACCCTTTCTCAAGCTGGGGGGGATCTGAGGAAAGTAAACACTGTCTCTGGAGAGGCTATTTAAGGTTATTTCTCTGCTCGCTTCCTGTCTAGATTTGGGTAGGCAACATGTTATTTTTTCATCACAAAACTCCGATACTCTGTAATTCCGCCTGCTAGGAATCGGATTCCACATGTGACTGCCAATACCAGCCGCTCTTTACCAAAACCCGCCGCGTTACTGCCTGTGTGACTCTTCTAAATGCCCCTCAAAGGTTTTTGTGTGGTCTTTCTTCGTCGCCTACCTTTTTTTTTTTTTTTTTAACTCAAGAGATTAAAGATTTCCGTCATCTTGCTGGCTGGCGAAGCCCAACAGAGATCTACTTGATAGATACCGGGCTGCTTTTGTACAGCTAAAAGAAGGAAAGCAGTGTCCCATTTGACTGGACCTTTGGTCTCTGAACGGGCCTGTTCGAGATGGCTGCATAGGTTCCGGTATGTTTGCATGTATTTTCCATAACAGAGGGCGAGTAACTCAAAACGGGGCCAGCTGATGTCCTCTAAAGAGCAACGTGGGACGTCCTCCCACTGAGAAGCGGCTGTTCCCCTCATCAAACAAACCTTTTGTTCAGCCGGCGTGACACTCTCCAGAGGAACAAGTGTCCCCGGGCTCTGCCTCGTCCCCATCGGGTTTGTAACCTTCGAGTAAACACAAAGCGTGTGTAAAAGGAGGCGTGTGCCCGCCATGTTTATAGCTCTTTTTATTGTTGTATTTAAATGGGACAACGGCGCTCATTGTTGCACCTGTGGGACACGTAGGACATGAATGTCACGTGTCACTGGCATACGGCAAAATATGTTCGCATCCCTCAGTTCAGGCCTTCTGACGGCCGTCGTGACAATATATTTGTTCCAGCGATGAAAGACGTGAAATCCTGAGGCAGTTTGTTGCGCAACGAGTGACATCAGCGGGCGAGGTCGCCACTTCCCCCTCCGCATGCCAAGGAGTCAAAGTCACTTCCCATCTGCGCTGCCCTCGGATGGCCTTTCCCCAAAGCTCTGCCGCCGTTGGGAACGTCGTTGTATGCTTACATGTTGTTTTTTGTGAGGTCAGAGCGGATGCTTGCTGCCCGCTGGCTAACAGGCGCCTTCATGCTGCAGGGGTTAAAGCTCTGTGCGTTTTCATGGCTGTGTTCACGCTGATCATTCAACACATGCAAATTTTTGTTTTATGTTCGTGTCATCTGCCTGCCAGAGACATCTGGTTAAAAATGTGCTGGTTTCAAGGCCGCAGAGACAAAGGGACGAGTGCAAACACACACACACACACACACGCACAACCGCTTATGATTCTTGTCTTATTTACAGATCATTTGTTTTCTAATTCACAAATGGGAATGACTAATACTTTTACTATTAGATTATAATCCATTATAATCTTCTTTTCCAGGAAGCCGGCAGACCTCCAGAACCTGGCCCCCGGCACGCACCCCCCCTTCATCACCTTCAACGGCGAGGTCAAAACCGACGTCAACAAGATCGAGGAGTTCCTCGAGGATGTCCTCTGCCCACCCAAGTGAGCACTTTCTCATCGCCTCGGCAACGCTTTCATACACTGCTGCCACGTGCACACAGCGCTGGAGTCCTTGTATGGATCCAATGGAGTCAAATCTGTTACTTAATGCATAAGGGTGAAATGTTTTCTACCGTATCCCATCAAAAACGTTGATTTTCCACTCAATCTTTCTCACTTGTATGCATCCCTCTACTTAGAATTTGGCTCTCGACTGTATACGTTTATGTATTTATTGGAGCTGAATGATTAAATTTAAGCATCTGGGCTCTGTGTTGGAAGCTTATTTACTCCAAGTTACATTTGGCCTTCTTGTTAACAGCTTGGTTCTAGAAATAAGACCTATATCTGCGTTTGACAGTGCAAACAATCATTTTTTTATTATTTAAAGAAAAATCTTTTAATGCGTTTCATTTACACCAATTCCAGTAATGAACCTTTCTAGAACTATTCTTTAACCACCACACATAATCTGCGAGTGTGTTTAAGCTTGTGTGTTTGTGTGCAGGTACATCAAGCTGGGTGTGCGACACCCCGAGTCGAACACAGCTGGTATGGACATCTTCGCCAAGTTCTCAGCGTTCATTAAGAACTCTAAACCAGATGGGAATGAGGGTAAGTTACCCATGTGTGCATGTGACAGACACTCGCTGGGAGCGGATATCCAGGAACCTTCCAGTCCTGTTTGGAGAGCTCTCTGGTTGCTAGGCGACATTGATAGCCCTGCCCTGATTGGTAGTTCACAGACCCACGCTCATGAACACAGAGCCTTTGTTCCTCACCTGGTGGAACTCTCTGGAAAAGAGAAAAAAAACGCAGAGCAGCTCTCCTGACTCCTGTGCTCACAATCTCGTCGCTCGTGTTTTCCATTCCTGCATCAGGTCGAGTGCCGGCGGAGCAGATAAGACTAAAATATTAGGGCTATTGTCTCGTAGATTGCGTGGCATCCGGGCTGCGCCACTAAAAAGATGTCAGTGTACCAGGATACCAAGATTCTGTATCATGGCTTCAGTCGTCTGCTCCCCACCTTGGGAAAATATTAAACCACAGTGAGCTGGATGTGAAAACGAAGGCTGTGTCAACACAGTTAGAGGCTGAATCTCACGATTCAATGATAAGTGCCGTCTCCAACGCAACGGGTCGGGTCTGCTGTAGCGCAACTTGGGTCGGACATTCATGTCATATTTTCCAACAATGGAGTGACTTGTTGACACCATCCACATGGATGGATGGAGAGACGCGGCGAGGACAAAGTGCAATGAAATGTGTGTCTGGTAATGCGCTTTGTTTCAGCTGCACATTATTGTATCACAATGCTACCGTAGAGTTGTGTACAGTGCAGCCCATGAGGATTTATAATGCGCACAGTGTGTAGGTGCACATGGGGGCTTGTCTCTAGATCAAATGCTGCCCCCATGTGGTTGGACCGTGTATGACGCAGCAGGAGGCTTCAGGAAAAAATATACTTTTCCACTGCTGAAAGGTCACTTGCTCATAGCGACTATGAAATGAAAAGCATTCGTCACAACGTCTCATGTGCGTCCTCGCAGCTCTGGAGCGCGGCCTCCTGAAGACGCTGCAGAAGCTGGACGAGTATCTCCGCTCGCCGCTGCCCGACGAGATCGACCACAACAGCATTGAGGACGTCAAGTTCTCTGACCGCAAGTTCTTGGACGGTGATGAAATGACCCTGGCCGACTGCAACCTGCTGCCCAAGCTGCACATCGTCAAGGTGAGCGAGGGACTGATTCATCGTGCCGCCTTTTGTTTTAATCAACATTGCTGCATCGTCGGCCGCAGGAAAAACGCCTGCGAGCGTCCAAAAGGCCCGGCGTCGCAACATTTCGGCCAGAAGTCCTTTGCTTTTTCCTCATGCATTATTTTCTATTGTTGCAGAAAATGTTGATGCAGTTCTTAAGGGCTTTTGATCTTAAATATTTCTCAAATAGTGAAAAGTATTTTGGTTTCTATAAATAAAACGTATCACAATTTCCCCCGTTTCCGATGCCATCAAATATTTCAATGGGATTTGGTTCACTGTCCCGGGGATGAATAAAAACTGCAAATCTCCATATTTTAGGAGCTGGAACTAGTAAATATTTGCTTTTTTGTTATTGTCAAGTTATTGAAAAAAGTTTAGGAATAGAAAATTAAATAAATTCTTCAAACTGTTACAGAAGCGTAATCTCTTCATTGAAGATTGTTTTGGGTTAGTGCGTCACAACGATGGACCCTCATAGACCTCCGATCCTTTTCTTTTCCTCTGCAGGTGGTGGCCAAGAAGTACAGAGGCTTCGACATCCCCAAAGAGATGACGGCCATCTGGAAGTACCTGAACATCGCCTACACGCGCGAGGAGTTCACCAACACCTGCCCCAGTGACAAGGAGATCGAGATAGCGTACGGAGACGTAGCCAAGAGGCTGGTCAAATAAGCTCCGCCCCTCCCCCAGTCTCCCCCAACCCCCACCCCACCCCACTCCACAGCACCGGGACTGATGTGCTCTTTCACAAGAAAAAACTCTGGACTTGGTTTCCTTCTCATTATCTAGAGCAGACCCCCAAATGCATGAACCCATCTCATTCCTTTTTCTTTTGTTATATATACACAAAGACCCCCATTGTTAGTTGATTCAACAAAAAGAGCCACTGTTGTTCCACCTTTTCTATTGATCATTTAACTGCTTTTACTTTTTTGGTTTTCCGATGGATGTTGTGAGGCAGAGAAGCAGCAGCAGCAGCAGCAGACCTGTTGTTCCAAAGTTAGCCTCGTCAAACACACTCCCTGATAAGTGACCTTCACGTTGACTTTTCTCTTAGCTTGTTGTCCGTCTAATACTGACTGGTTGCTCTCTAGCGTTGCTTTAAAGGGAACACCGAGCTTTTAGGCGTCATAAACGGTGTTGGAGCTTCACTGTAGTCGGCAGGTTTAAGCGGAAGCGAAATTCGAATGTGCAAAAACGATTGTAGCCGCAGGTAAAGCCACCTGCTATCCGCTGTCTGAATTGAGCAGAAGTCTTGTAGCTCAGAGGACTCGTAGGGGACTTCATTTTTTTTTTTTTTTTTCACCGGCCCGCCGCAGAAGTTACGGCTCAGGATGAATCTGAAGTCTGAAATCTCTGACCGCGTAGCTCGCAGATTTTGCCGGTTGTGTAGATGTCTGAGGCCTTTGGCCAGTCGCCACAGCAGAACTCAGGCCGACCCATTTCTTCTCTCCTTAGAGCAAGTAGGAACGTCTTAGTTTACACTTGGCAGCCACCCCCCCCCCCCCACCAAAAAAAAAGAGGCTGTACGCCGGTCTCACTGTGGATAAGATGACTCCTGCTATGTAAACAAAGTAAGAAGAAACCACACACCCACTGTTTCCTCCTCCATAGCGCGCGGAATGAAGGACGCGGCGTGCACTCGGGCCTCAGGGAAGGGGACACGAGACGTATTTATGAGCGACGGGAGGACGGGGGCGCCTTTCTGTTCTGCCCGGTGCAGACGTGTGTTATGTAACAGGAGCTCCAGAAGTGCTTTCATGCTGACTAAGCAAAGTTTTCTCCCATTTTGCCATTTTTTTTTTTACAGACATTTGTTATGTAACCAATTTGATAAAATCAAAATAAAAGAAGGAATTGTAAATATTTTTTTTGATTGCTCAGAATCTGTTGTGTAAATTGTAAACATGTCGTGTGACTTTTGAACAATATGGGCTCATTTTTTTTGGCCTGCTTTGATTTTAAGTCTAAATGAACCTCCTATTTGCCTTACTCGTTTTCTCGCTGCGGATGTTTTGCAGTTTCTCAGATCACTTCATTATGATTGTGTTATTGTACGAAGAAATTATCGTTATGTCATTGCTTTTTCTTTTTTTAACAATATTGACTGAATTCAAATAAACATAATGGCATTCTGACAGCGTGTTGGTGTTCTTTTACTTTTAATAGATGTCGTCTTTGGTCCTCTAGATTTATATATTAATATAACATGTCTTTACAGCTCATAAGTAGCTTTTTATCTTGTTTCTTCTTGACCTTGAAAAAGAGTCTGGCAACTTCCTCAATTCAGACACTTAAACTGCATCTTGTGGCCATGTGCCAATTAGGAACTTTTATTGAAAAAAAAAAAAGTTTTTAACAGATCTGTGTCAGTCATACATGGAAAATAGATATCTTTTTATACATAAACACAAAATGTTATTTCTTATTGGAATTACAGTAGTATATATTGCATTGGGTTTCTTTCTTTGTCCCTTAATCCACAGACTGGTCTGGGAACCCCTGATCCAGAGCCTGTGTGTTTCCAGCTCCCTCCCTCTGAGGAATGTCCCACATGGGTGTCCACCCGCTGTGGGCTCCACCTCCCAGCGAAGACGTCCTCTGGCTGCCAGCGCCGCCGTGTTTTTCAGCCAATTCCCTACTGTTCCGATGCACAAACAAGTGTGTTCTGCAAGGACGTTTGCAGCCAAGTTTTGCGTTCTGAGTTTTAGGAGGGGAGAAAAAAAAGAAAGACAGGAATGCAGGAGTAGAGTTTTTGGATGCTCTCCAGATCATTAAAGTGTCATGTTTCAACCCCAGACATTCGCTACTCCCTCACTGGTGAACACGCAGACAAAGTCTCCACTTGAAATTCACAGGGAAGAAAATCCACCCATAAGCAAACAGACGTGTGTGTGTGTGTGTGTGTGTGAGGCAAAAGAAGACATAACAAAGGCTGGCTGTCATTCAGACCACACACTCATTACAAGCAGGTTGAGTGTATTAGTGTAATGGGGTTATGAAGGTGAGCCCAGGAGGGTGTGTGTGTGTGTGTTTAGAGAAAGCAGGACTATTATCAGACACCATGCGAGGGAGCCAGTCAGCTAAACTCACACGCAAGTCACAGTTGCTTCATTGGGCTTTTCTTAGGACGAGAATCTGCTTGACCATTGACATACATCTCTCCTATCATTCTTTCCACTTTCTAACAGGTGAATCAACAGCTGTGTATTCTCCTGCTACTCGATACGCTCAGCGGAGGCTTTTCTTGCTGCCTGGCATCGACCCTCTCAGTGCAGTGCCAGTTCAGTTTGCCGGTTTTACACAACACACATTTATACAGCTGGCTAAATATTTACACTGGTAAAGTAGCTCGCTCAAGGGTACACAGTGATATCCCAAGAGGGTTTTGAAACCTACAATGTGTGAAAATCCTTCTTTGCATATGGACTCTGTGCACCTGACCTTTGATGTGACTACATTGTGTTGTGTTTAGGTTCCCACTGTTAATGGCACACAGGAGTACAGGTAGAAAAATCCATGGCTGCAAGAATATTGGGATTCTCTCAGTTTGAAAATAACAATTTATGATGCCAACTCTCTGGGAATTGTAAGGCAGTGCTTTTCGGCCTTTTTGTGACACCTTATAATAAAGCTACGTATGTTTTTGACCTATCAGTCCCATTTCTTTACTGATTATTACCAGATCCTGTGAGAGTAGAATTTTTGTGTAGCTTTTTTATGCTCTTGACCCCTCGCATTATATCCTGTGACTGATAACTAATAAATAAATAGACTAATAAAAATGTTAATCGTATAACAATAGCTATGCTTTCAAGCAGCCGGAGGTCAGGCGTTTGCTTAATAGGCGACCTCGAAGCCTATTAAAGGAGTTTGTAGCTGTCAAAACACAGTGTTATAACAGCGCACTTGTGAAAAACTGTCAACATTAATAATGGCCCACTGAAATGGAACCAGCCCATTATTAATGTCATTAGTTCTGCATGGCACTGTTTGCTGGAGAGAGGGGGCGATAAAAGATTAGAATGATAATTGACATGACACCAGCGTAATTGCATTCGTGGCTTCCCGCCACAGTAGCTCATTAATACTCCTAAATAGCTGGCGTGCGCGATCATCATCAGATCATCATCAGCTCACTTGGGCACGTTGGCCGATGAGCCAATCGGAGCTGAAATGGCGTCCTTTGGCTGCCGGTGACCCCTCGAGTGCGAATGCTGCGGTGCAGCCGCGTCCCGGTACGCACACAGTTACGCGTGCGTGGGCCTAAATACTCTTGATAGCTCATGAAAACACATCACATGTGCTAAAGGCGATGCACAGTGGCACACTGGCAGAAAAGCGTGACACTTGAGTATTCTAGTATGTTTTCAAAGTGCAATGAAATGCAATGAAGCTCAATAGTTTCGCGTTTTTTGTATCCGGTGTCAAGGGTAGAATACATGACTGACGTGTTATTAGAGGTGTATTTTAAAAGGCTCAGTTATCCTACGTTTTACAAAAACGATTTTCTCAATTTAACTTAAATGCAATGCAGGTGACAAGAATTTACCTGTGGGGCTCACGCCATTAAAGATAAAAAAGGGAGCCATGAAGCTATCCTGTTGTATCACAACTAAAAGTCCTGCATTTTAAATTCATAAAAGTACCTTTTTTATCAGCAAAATCATCGCAAATTCTTAAAAGTACTCATAATGTGGTTAATGACCCCTGTGAAGGTCATACCGATAGTGTTTATTGCTGCTGTATTGCATGTCTAAAATTGTATTGTTGATCCAAAAACAGTTAATATGCTGTTGGGCACCTTGATGTAGAACAACGTGTCAAACTGTACTGTAGTAAAGTACGAGTACCTAAAAGTCAGTGCTTCAGTAAATACACTTGCGATTCTGAGTGTTTTCTTCCAGCAGCATATTTAAAATTCCTCTCTCCTCTCTTTTGTGTCATGGTACAGACTCGGATGGACGTCTCACAACCTCGCCAACGGAAAACCATATAGGCGCCGGCCCAGGAAGGCCGGAATATGTGTGGCATTCGTTTGGAGTTGACCACGGTATCAGAAGTGGTGCATCCAAATTAAAGGGAGGCTCAACAGGCTGTTCCATCCTTGTACCGTCGGTTATAATGGTTCATCCCGGTGTTACACCTTAGTGTGTTGAGATTGAGTCATAGTTATAACTTTATAACAACAATGAGTAACACACAACAAACACTCTATAACAGGGTAAAACACCACGACACAACAGCTTGTGACACATAAACAATTTGGTACACTAATAATTGTGCATTCATAAAAATGACCCCGCCGAACTGCATGCTGGGTACAGCTCACAACAAGAAGTTAACTCGGAAAAGAGCGATAGAGGAGGAACAACGAGAGACCAGAGATGCACCAGCTTTGGAAAATCCGAATTAAGTTACCGGTACGTTAGATCAGAAAACGATTTATTGCAAACTCTGTCGAGCCTCTGGTGGCAACACTAAGCAGCCACGACAAGCTAACACGCTAACTAGCTAACAAACAAACACGCTAACGAGCTAACAAGCCCAGTTGCGAGCAAGTTGGCCAGCAAGCGCCAACCAGCTGTTCGAGTAGCCGCGTCCTTTTCGGGTGATGTGTTTACTTGAACATGCAATACCGTGATATACCGGTATACCGTCAGAATATTTTACAATACCGCGATATGGATTTTTGGCCATACCGTGCAGCCCTACTTCAGTGTGTGTCCTATCAGGCACCCTTCCATCGGGACGACACGCCGTCCCTCCCCGTTTGAGCGCTGCTTAGGGGGGGGGGGGGGGGGGGGTCTTCTCACTCCAAGAGGAGTTCATAGTGCTGTTCCACCCCAATAACTCCCCCAGACATCGCCGAACAGCCCGGCTTATCTGCCTGCCTGCAGTCGACCAGTGGGCTTTTGTGTACTCGGGTCGTTTATTTCAGCCCTCGTTAAAATGCGGTGGGGTGGCTTTCTCTCTTGGCTTGGCGGCTATTGTGGTGAGGAGATAGAGGGACTGTGGTGGTACCCCTCCAGTCCCTCTGGGCGGCCCACAAAAAGCTGCCCCCCCCCGGCCCCAAACACACTTGTTGCCACTCACCCCATCTGGGTCCAGCAGTCACACTCTGTGGCAGAGCTGCGGTTAACTGCGCCTGTTGCCTGGTAAAGAGGCACAACGGAGGGTCGAGGGATACAAACGTGGAAGAAGCGTGTTCACCACACGTGCCACTAGAGGGTGCTCTACCACCTTGAGCGGAATGACGGGGGGGGGCATCTCAGCCCTGGCTGTGACTATATGCTGGTGGGGGGGATTGTTCTAATCTCCTTTACACGCTCAGCACTTTTTCACCGGAAGCCTGAGGGAGGTTTTGCGCGTGTGTGTGTGTGTGTTTGTGTGTGTGTGAAGGATAAGCAGAGATGTGGCCTTAAAGTAAGTGTTTTTAAAGACAAAAAGGGTTACTATGAGTCCTTGTCAGCTGCACCCTGTGACATCAGGTATTTCATACCTCCAGGGGCCTTTGTGGAGCTTGTTTAGTCTCTTTATACGACTACAATGGTGGCCTGTTTTATTTAGTCTGCGACAGAGAAAAACTATTAGACATAAAAGACTTTGCTCTGTCAGCGGGCACACCCCTACCTTAGCTGCACACAGAGAAAGACTTACCTCAGAGTTTATGTTATGTTGGTGTGTCTGAGCCCGGGGCGAATATCTGTCTGCTGTGTGCTGAATTACCGCTGTCTCTGTGCGCTTGTGCATCTGTGTAACACTAACTGTCTGCTTGAGTGTATTTTCATGACTAAACGATACTCCGGTTATTGTTCCTTTTTTAAATTTTTTTAAAGGAATCAGGAAATGTCTGTTGGGTGTGTTGATAATCCCAGGTGTGTGTTTGTGTGCACAAGACACGGTCTGCCTGAATGTCTTTGTGCTGAAGTGAACTAGCAGGTTCCCTTTCAGAGCTGTGCAGCACATCAACAGGGAACAAGTCTTTGAAGTCTTGGTTCTGTCGTTTGTCTCCAGCTCACTGACTTCAAGAGAAACGCCCCGGCTGGCTCCTCCCTGCGATGCTCCTCTCGGTTTTAATTCTGGCAGCCGTAGGAAGCCGTCAAAGTGCACCAGCAGGATAGACTTGAGACTGCAG